TATAATTTCATTAGTAGTATATATTTTGCAAAAGTATCGTTTTAAAAAATTGTTAATTTTTCAATTTCACTGGATATCTTCTCGATTTTCAAATATTCAGTTTTTAAAGGATATTTCCATTAATTAGCCATTTACCAAAGAAAAAAAATAGGAATTATTTAAAAAAAAAAAAATTAATGTTGGCGGGAGCGAACCCCAGCCGTCGGCATGCTAGCCGAGCACGTTACCGATAGGACAACGCGCATTATTATGAAAATATAATTTTATTAGTGGTATATATTCAACATATTGAATAATTTTTTCCATTGAAATTCCACAAGATGTGGTTTCTTCCTTCCGTACGTTCTACAGCCGGCTAAATTTAAATTTAATTTAATTTAAATAGCTATATCAAAGTTCTTTGAAGGTTTTCTGCTTGATTGATACTTTGGAAATTATATTGGTAATTATGAAAAATTTCTAGGTTGATTTATCTCACTTTACTACTTTGCTACTGAGTGCAATCAGCTCGTCGACGATGATTCTCATTGGTTCAATCATTTATTCCCCTTCTACTCTCCATTATTATCATCTGCATTCCTCATAAATTCCGGTGCTGTTCGTTGTGCGGTTCAACAGGTGTGGATTGATTACTAGCTGTGCAATTCAGTTAACAACTGATTATCCTGTGATCAATATAAATAATTCGATTTTTTAATTATGGTAACTGCGAAAAAATTCGTGCTAGTGAAGCATTTCGAGGGTGAGCCAAAGCCTGATGATCTGCAGATCGAGACCGAAGAGTTGCCGGCCATTCAAGATGGAGGTGAACAACGACTAAATCAAGTCTCAGGCGTTCTGGTGTTTTTATCCATAATAATAATTCGGATTCTATAAATATTAGAATTCCTCGTGGAGGCAGAATATCTGTCAGTGGATCCTTACATGCGTCCGTACTCGGCCAGATTCCCCGTGGGAATCACGATGATCGGATCCCAGGTTGCTAAAATTATTGAATCGAAAAATCAACATTTCCCAGTGGGAAGCAGGATTGTTGGTTACTTGGGCTGGAGATCCCACACAGTCGTCAACTTGAAAAATTTTCAGGGAAGTGGCGTTGCCGATGCCCCTCCAATGCTCCTCCCTGACATGGGAAACCTCTCTCCATCGCTTGGACTGGGTGTTCTTGGGATGCCAGGGTATTGTTTTCACTCCAAAAATCATATTTTCCACAAATCTGAGATTTTCATGAGAATTTATTATTTTTATCCTCAGACAAACCGCGTACTTTGGTTTCTTAGAAATCTGCAAGCCGAAAGCAGGTGAGACCCTAGTGGTGACTGGAGCAGCTGGAGCTGTTGGTTCTCACGTGGGACAGATTGGAAAGATCGCGGGGCTGAAAGTAATCGGAATCGCTGGATCCGATGACAAATGCCAATGGATTACCAAAGAATTAGGCTTTGACCACGCCATTAATTACAAGACACAAAATGTTGGGGTTGAATTAAAAAAACTTGCCCCCAATGGCATTGACTGTTATTTCGATAATGTGAGAATGGGTACCTCAGAATTTTATTCAGCAATTCCATTTATCTTTCACGAATTTTCCTCCATAGGTGGGCGGAGAGATCTCCAGTACAATTCTCTACCAGATGAACACTTTTGGTCGTGTCTCGGTCTGCGGAAGTATCTCTTCGTACAACGCAGACTCTTCGGCGTATCCAAAAGCAACAGTTATTCAACCTGCTGCGGTTTTTGGTCAATTAAAAATCGAGGGCTTCCTTGTGACACGCTGGGCTGACCGTTTTCTTGAGGGAAGTGTCAAAAACCTCCAATGGATCAAAGAAGGAAAACTCAAATACCGAGAGACTATTACTAACGGATTCGAAAATATGTTCAAAGCTTTCGCTGGAATGCTGAAGGGAGAAAATATCGGAAAAGCTGTTGTTAAAGCTTAAAAAATACTCATTCATGTCAATATGCTATTACTAAATATTTTTTATAAACATGAGAAAAAATAGAGGGGTTTTTAATTTTGGGAATAAAATGCTGCAGGACTACTCGTTCTTAAATCAATTTATTCCATCAAAAAATTCTGGTAATTCTCCAAATCCTATAGATTTCTCACTCTCACTATAAAAAGTCCCTTTCTCTCCCTCAACACAAAAAGATTTAATTTCTTTAATCTCCTGAAAATCCTGAGGTATAAATATTTTATTTAACGAGTTGAACAATGACTTATCTTTGTCGAAATTTTGCATCTCAGCCCATCTAGCTGCAACTTTTTTGTCAAAACACTTCCGAAAGGAAATACAGTGGATGTGGGTTAATTTTTCGTAAGTGATCCTCATGAATCCGAGATGAGCCAAAACGAATCTCCAGGATTTCATGATTTTGGCGTTCGCCCCCACGTGTTTAGAGTCAGGAGTGATGATTATGAGAAGTCCCCCAGGTTTTAAGATGTCATAAGCCTTCTTACAACAGTGGAATCGTTGATCTGGGGATGGAAGATACTCCAGGAGGAGGGAAAACACGCAGACGTCGTAATTATTCCTTCCTAATGAAATGACCTCTTGATTGTCTTTGGTTTCTGTAGTTTTCCCGACAGAAACATCCAAGAAATCGCACTTCAGGACGTGATTGGAGTAGGGGGCTAGATCTATGGGAGTCACATCGAAGTTTCCATCATCTCCAAGAGGATTATAACAACTCCCCACGTCTAATATCCTTATTCTCGGTGAGAGACAATCATTTTCACCCGGTGGAGAAAACGTGGAAGTCGTAGGGAGAATTGAAGACCCTTGACCTTCGATCTTAAAGGAAATAAATTGTTCTCGTTCGTCGTATTTATCTTTACCCTTTTCGAAGTAATATTTATAGCATTGTTTCTTGATCCAGTGGATTCGACAATGGGTGGAGGGATTTTTGTGGAGTGAATTGTGGCTTTGGGTCCAGTGAGCTGTTGCCAACTCTTTCATGGAATCTGCATAATTCTGTAAGGAATAAAAATGGGTTTACTTTGATTTCCTTTAGCAAAAAAAGCGTGGACTGGGAAGTGTCATGGCGGAGAGCATGCGGAGATATCGCAGAGGATCGATATGAGGAGGTGAATAATGACGAACCCTCGAAACATGAATTATCATTCTCATAAAACATTCGCAAATGCATTTGAAAACGGGAATCTGATCAACGTCGGAGCGGTGCTACTATTATTAATTACAGATGAGTAATTGGTTGAAACATTAACCTGCAAGTCTCTGGTTCTTGACAGATGTCGATTCCAAGCTTCTTCGGACCCATAGAGCTGAGACTCTCGTCGAAGTCGATTGTGTATCTCTTTTATGAAGCCCGACAATTCTTTATGCTTCTCAGTGGCCATCACTGTACGTTATCAATTATTTTCTTGATTGTCAAGTGCTCCGATAAATTTCAAATAGTCGGAGGTGTCGCTGCTGCACCGGACGTTCAAGACAATTTCAAAACAACTTCTATTTTTTCAGAAATTATATTCGTAATAAATTTATTATGAGTAAATTACTCTTTATAATATTAATTAATAATCCATGAGATTTTTTAGAGTAAGTAATGACGATGATTTTCCGGACGAGGTGAATTCTGAATTTTGGGAATTGAGTTCGACATCCGGTTACTTTCTTTCCTCTCGTTGGCTTTAGGACGCACGAGGTAAAAAGTGAATTCCATAATTTTTCAGTGTTTGCAATTATTATTGATGCATTTCCAATGAGATAATTAATTCCAAAAACTCCTGCCAAGGTTTTTATTGACAAGCTGATTGTTTAAGTTTGGATATTTTTTTTTATTATTAATAAATACACGTGTCAGTGACACGATGGAGCATGAATAATTTTCACAATATATTTAGGCTGTCGTTTTGAAGGAGTGAGAAGGTTAATTATTCTCAGAAGTAATTGTTGATGTTCTGAAGTGTTCAATTAGTAGGGAAAGTTGACTGGAGCCTGTGAAAACGGTCGAACGGATCTATGATGGAATTTTAACCTCAAAAATTTATGCTTCAAGGTATTCATCATGTCGTCCCACTTGAATTGGATGATAATCCGCAATAATAATGCTTTTCTACTCAAGAAGAGGAACATCAGCAAGCCCTTTTCCACGGTATTTTATTTAATATTCAATTTAATCAGTTATAAAAAAGTTCTTCAATTATTATGTATTCCGTGGTGTAGGAGTCGAGCAATCTGACAAATCTCAGCAGCTACCGTTACTCTGGACTGGTTCACCGTAAAACACTGGGAGTTGTTGACACTCCGGACAAAAAGGGTTTTACTGTCGTCTACAAGAAGGGAAAGGTCGCCAACAAGCCAGCAAAAGCTACTATCAAGCGTACCATGAAGGCTGGAGCACGTCGTTCCCTGTGGAAACTGAAGAACCTTATCTCATCCACCAAATACAGGCGTGATCTCACCAAGGTAAATCAAGAATCGATAATTGCAATGAATTTGTACAAATCTAGTTGTGGTTTTAAAAAAATATATTTGCATGCATTTTTTCTAGGCTGCTCTTCGTCGTGCCAGTGCAGTCCTCAGATCCCAGAAGCCTCTCCCAGCTAAGAAGACACGTGCTGCGAAAAAAGCTGATTAACGCCTGAATTTTGTCTAATAAAAATATTCTAAAGCCATTTTTGGAGCGCATTAGAGATAGAATAGAGATCAACTTTTTTTGATTGTTTACGGACCAATTGAATTTCGCTTTTGTTGACTTTTTTGAATGAATGAATTTTTAAGGAATTTATCGAAAGGTTTATCTGTATTCTATTGGGGTGCGATTGTTTACTTTATTCATTCAGTATTGAAATAAGATGATGTATTTATATTGTGGATTGATTTTGTTCGAGGTGAGGTAATATTTTGAACTGAATCAGTGGAACATTGAACTTGAAAAATAATTATGATTTCTTTTTTCAGATACTCCCGGAATAATTGACCTCAGCTCTGGAGAAATTCCAGGTAAATTTATTTCATGAGGAATTCATTATTAAAATATTCTTTCGAATAACTATTCATATCATTTTGAAAGTTCACTGTGATGAATTCAGCAACCACCAAGATCTATGAATGCCATGATTATTCTGTATTTGCTATCTGAATAATAATATTCAAAAAAATTAATGCCATTTCCCAAAACTGTCGAGTAATCTGAAAAAAATTTTCTCTTTCAGTCGCTGCGAGCGTCGAAGAACGTGAATATTTATCCAGTATTCCAGGTAAAAAAAAAAACAAAAATATTCATGTCCTGACGTACGAACAAATGATGATATAGCAACCACCAAGATCTCTGAACGCCGTGATTAATATATTTGCTATTCTGAGTCAAGTCCCACCCACATTGGCCAATCACCTGACGAATGGCCACCCTAACACCTCAATTTACGTTCCAGATGCAGCTGCAGGGCGTTGGGCTATTGCATCACTGGACTTTCCTGATTACCTCACCAGGTTAACTATTTTCATTATATTTTATTCATTATTCCACACCCTGAAGATCAAACTCCAATGATGAAACATTTACAACCACCAAGATCTATGAGTGCCGTGATTTATTTTTGTATTTGCTATCTGAGTTCCAAAGAACTCATAAATTTTTTAGCCCTGGGGAGTGCTGTTTTTTTAATTCTCTTGTGTTTTATTCTGCCTGTTCAGGTTCAAGGATGTGGTCGAGGTGATCCAGACGTTGGAAAAATTCAACATGAATTACAAGAGTTGACTGTATTATTTAATTTTAATAAACGAAATAATGCCTTCACAATTGATTGGACTTTTTTTTATTTTAATTCTGTATTAATCCTTCCCTATTTCGTATCTATTGAAATAATTATTGAAACCGGAGTTGAATGTTGGTTGTTTCACTTGAGCTTAAAAAAAAGGAAATTTGAGGGTCACCAGAGAAGGCTAAAAGGAGAAGCTCACGTGCATGAAGGCCACTTGCGTGATTCATGTGTAAACACAAGGAAAGAAGAGAGAAAAAAAAAATTAAAACGCAAGTCACACGCTTCTCACTTCTGGTGTTTTTATGTTCGCACAAACACTGGGAAATTCCCTTGTGTTGATTTTTTCCTGGACCATTAGGCCAACAGGTTTCGCCCCGCCTTCATTCCTCCTCCGTTGGTTGTCGTAAACAAATTTGCAAGACGTCTATGTTTCATCGAGTTCAAGGACATGAAGCTGATATTTTTCTTGAATAATTTTACGCGGGGTTTGAACAGATTCATCATCCGTGCAAATGTGAATGAAAAAAAAAAAAACATCCGAGCAAAGAACCAGAATGTGCGTCACATCTAGGCATTGAAATCACTAACGGAGAAAAATGATAAATCCAAGTGATAAATATATAATATATAATAATATATATGATAAATTGCAAACTCGTCTAAATATCTCTCAGACAAATAAATCGTTATAACTTTATTATTATTCAGTCACTTCCTCCAACAGTTATTTATTCTCATATTGAAAATACGTGGCTATATTGAAAGGATTCAGTTTTTCTCCTTTTTCCACCCGCGCAAAAAAAAGATAATTACTATAACATTTCAGAGAAGTGCCAAGCGGCGATAGACAGTATGAAATTATCACATAATAATCCAATCATTATAGTAAAGACCCCAGCAATCCGAGAAAATTATTTCATTAAATTAACAATCAGTAAACCAATAGCGATTTCCTCAACACATAGCTGTCTTCAAAAATTTTCCATCAGTGAATCATTTACCAAGTTGATATTAATATAAGCTTTTTAAGAGTTAATTTCCTTCTGGCAATTTGTCGCGGAAGCTGTCGGTGTATTTGTTAGTAGAGTCAGTATTTTTTAGAGTCAATTTGTAATTGAGAAGAATGGAAATCCTGATTTTTATATGAAACATCTCATTTCAATAATGGGGGCTGGCATTGACGCAGGCGGATAGAAGAGGCTCATCATTATTCCGCGATGTATTCGTCGAAAAATCTTTGCAAAATATCCCGGGAAGATAAGGAGCGGAGAGAATAAGAAGTTGAGAGGCGAGAGTTCGAATTAGGATTCTGGTCATCGGTTGGGTATAAGAGTGGAGCGATCGGAGTCTAGACATCAGTTTCTCACCAACACTCGTTGCAAACAATCCCCACAATGAAGGTAATCTCACCGTCAATAATTACAAAAATTGTGAAAGTTTCGAATGTCCACAGGTTTCGAATTTCCACTTGCAAATTTGAATACTTCAATTTTCCTCTTTCTTATTCTTCCAACCGGGGTGAAAAATCTAGACAAATAAAATTCTGTGCAGGTCGCTCTTATTTTTCTGGCTGTCGTGGCTGTTTCTCTGGCTAAGCCCGACGGTTATACTACCAAATACGACAACGTGGACCTGGACGAAATCCTGAGGAATCAACGTCTCCTCAACAACTACGTGAAATGTCTGCTGGACGAGGGAAATTGCACCAATGATGGGAAAGAATTGAAAGGTACAATAATTAATCAACAATGGAATAATTCCACCCCCGGTTCATCTGGATTCGAATTTTATGGGTTTGAATGCAATGTCCAGGATTGTTAAAAAATTCCGATTTTTTAACTGGAAAATTCAAGTTTAATTTTCCAACAGTGTATTCAGGAAGGGAGAATTCAGAAATTCTTTGAGTATTACCCTGTGGAAAAAATCAATTAGTGAGAGAGGTAATAATAATTTAATCATGCAATACTGAACTTTCAGCTTCTCTCCCCGATGCCCTGTCCACTGGTTGCAGCAAATGCAGTGAAAAACAGAGGGCAGGCAGTGAGAAGGTCATCCGGTATTTGGTAAACGAGGTACGTTCACCTTCTTAAATCCCACCCACTGAAAATTACCTCCTCTGTAACGTGAAAACGAGTTATGACTGTAATGAAACTGTTACATGAACTCCTCATAATTTTACTCCTTTTCTCACTGCCTTGTTGTGCATACCGAAGGCTCCGAGAACTCGTTCAACTTTCACCTGCCCTAGATCGAGATCTCCGGGGTTTTTCCAGTGATTGCAAAAACAAAAATTTCAACATTTTCTGATTTCATTTTTGGCCTTTTATTTGCAGAAACCGCAGATCTGGTCGAAACTCGCGACAAAATACGATCCAAAGGACGAGTACAGGCAGAAATTCCAGGGTGAAGCCAAGGCACGTGGAATCGAAGTCTAGATTAATTGATGATTATTCATTACTATTGTATTAGATGTACTCGATGTGCTTGAAAGATTTGAATTTTACTTTTGAATTTATTGGCGGTTCATTCTCTCGCTGCGGATGCTTGTATATTACTTCTTTAATCTGAATAAATCAGGGATAAGACGATTTTTCATGAGTTTTCATTACTTTTAACCCATTTTACTGATTTTTCAAATCCTTCGTGGCTTCGATATCGCGCAATCGAAGGAAACCGAGAGAAATAAAAGAGAAATGATCATTGTAATGAAATCGTAATAACCGGAAGAGAAAGAAGTAGGTGAGAAAATAAGTGCAATTATTGTAATGACGTTGTGAAAGAATTGAGTACATGCAGAAGTAACTTTAAAAAAATTAATGAGATACCCGAATAAATGAAAATCCTAGATCAGCCCTTCGACACGGGGGGTGATTTTTTTTTTCATTTTTCCTTCTTCTGCCAGTATTCACTACAATCTTTCGAACGTGTACATGTCAAATCAACCGTCAGTGAATGAACAAAACTCGTGGGGAAACGAAAAATTGGCGGCATGCGTAGATGATTAAAAAAATAGTATGACATGAAAGTATGAGCTGAAGGCCAGAGTGTCAAACGTTCGAACTACTAGCGCCGAATGGATAGTACTAAAGTGGAGTCCTACCCTGAGCTAAGATATCAGTGTGGACTCTACCGTCGACGAAGAATTATTAAATTCCATTAGAAAATTTCGGTGCCTCGAATCGGTTGTCATGGCAGTGGAATTACTCTCGGGTAAGGTCTTCCTGGTGATTACGGGAGCCAGTCAAGGAATAGGTAGGGAAATAGCTGTGAAATTCTCAAAATTACTGAAGCCAACCTCCACGGTGTTGCTCCTCGCGAGGGGGGAGACGGGGCTCAAGGAAACTGCAGTTATGGTTTCAGATCAAGTTTCCGTGAGATTCCAGAGCGTTGATCTGTCTATCGCCGATGCTGCCCAATTGTCTGGTAATTTCAATCCTTTGAATAATTTTTTCAGCGAATTCTCACTTCAATTGCTATATTAAATGATTTTTTTCGAGCAGAAATAATAACGAAGGAGATGGGTTCATCTCAATTCGAGCGTTTTGTTATCGTTCATAATGTCGGATCTATTGGAGATCTATCAAAGTTCACGACTGATATGAATGATTTCAATGAATGGAGGAAATATTATGATTTGAATGTGTTCTCTCCGGCTGTATTGAATTCTGTAGTTATGAAAATAGTAAAGGATCATGGAAAGGCTAAAGCAGTTGTTATTAATATTACTTCGTATCTTGGGATTCAACCGATGAAATCCGTGGGATTCTACTGCTCTGGAAAGGCTGCGAGGGAGATGTATTTCAGGGTAAATGGAACAATTACGCTCATTGTTTATGACAGGGGCAAGATCCCTTTTATTTTTTAAACAATATTTCAGGTGTTTGCCGAGGAGTTCCCACAGGTAAACGTCCTCAACTATTCCCCGGGACCAGTGGAAACCGATATGTTGAAAACTTTCTCCGAAACCGCAGCTGACCCAGAAGTTCGAACAGAAATGAGTGACCTGAGAAATCAAAATAAGCAGTTGACAACTGAGCAAACTGTCAATCGTCTCATCCGAGTCCTGAAGGACCAGAAGTACAAATCCGGAGAACATATTGATTATTATGATGACATGGAAAGACCCTTGAGAAAATAAAAATGCAAATTGAGATAAAAAAATTTCGATGAATGTTAAAATTATTCTGAGCGATTACGAATGCGGCTAATGTATGAAATTATTATTTACATACTTGCCACTATAGTTTATATTAAATAATTCATTATTCATTTAATTCAAAGTTGATTTGATGATTTTTCTCAAGGCTGATCACGTGTCCACTTGTTGCCGGATCATGAATTCCGTGACTACTAGCGCCGATCAGAGATGAATTTACAACTGGAGTAGATAAAAAAACCATCAGTAATCTGACATCCACTTGTCAGTGAATTATTTGTAATTAAATCATGGGCGAGGAGATATTCTCGGGAAAGGTTTTCGTCCTGATTACTGGGGCAAGTCAGGGGATCGGGAGACAAATTGCTATCACATTTTCAGGACTTTTGGGGAAAGGCTCGAAATTGCTACTCCTGGCGAGGAGTGAGAAGGGACTCAAGGAAACTGCAGGCAACATTCCGAAGGGTATCTCCGTGGATTTTCAGGGGATTGATCTGTCTCTTGCCACTGCTGGCCAATTGTCTGGTACTATATTATACTATTACATTCTATTTTCAGACGAAAATATAATCTCAACGAGACAAAGAGTGGAGTTCCGGCAATTGATAATAATATTTGGAGTATTCATTATCAATGGCATTATCAATTGTATAACTCTTCTTTTTTCGCAGAAATAATCGAGAAATCTGTGGAGTCAGTTCAATTAGATCGTGTTATTATTGTTCATAATGTGGGAACGATGGGGGACACGTCGAAACTTACGGTGGATATGGATGATTTCGAGGAGTGGAGAAAATATTATGACTTGAATGTATTTTCACCCGCTGTTCTCAATTCTGTTGCTATGAAATTGTTTAGGGAAAAAGTGGAAAGGATATTTGTCGTTAATATTACTACATTCAGTGCTTTGAAATCTGCGGGGTACTACTGCTCCGGAAAAGCTGCCAGAGAGATGTACTTTAAGGTAGAAAGAAAAGTGATAATTAAAAAAAAAATGTCCACGTATATTAATGGACAATTTTCAAGGTTTTCGCGGAGGAATATCCTGACGTTAACGTCCTCAACTATTCCCCGGGACCTGTAGAGACGAATATGTTGAGGAATTTCTCGGCAACTGCAGGACATCCGGACCAGAGAAAAAAAATTAATTACATGATCGCGCAAAATCAGCAGCTGACACCTGAACAAACAGCTGATCGTCTCGTTAAAGTCCTCAGAGAGCAGAAATATCAATCAGGAGGACGAGTTGATTATTACGATGGGATGGCGCGACCTAGCCATCGCCAATAAACATAAAACATTGTCAAAATTTTCAAAAAACTGCTTTTATTGTAAAAATATTATTTTCAATTTACAAATATTGATATCAATCAATATCTCATATCACAATTCGTTCGGAGTATTTTATTTTCAATTCTTCTACCGAGTCTCAAAATCCCGTCAGATTATGCGAATTGATATCGATTGATTAGTCGACATTAATTTTATGATGAGTAATTATTGTCAAAAATATTACAAAAGTGTTGAGTCGATTAACATCACTCATTATTGTAAAAATGAAAACAGGTTCCAAACTCTACACTAAATTGAGCAATTTTCGGGAATTAATTAATCACATCTTCGACGAGCGAGGTGTAAACAGAGGGATTGATAGTTCTCGCATTTTTTCTGTCAAGAACAACAATTAATAAAAGAATACACAAAAAAATGAATCCAGATAACAAATAAACTGGGGAAGGGTAATACGGTGGCATGTAATGAGCGTAAAGAAAAGTGTACAGAGAGTTGGTAGCCAGGGGTAGAGTGGATTCTACCGAAGTTGTAAGTGAGAATACCTTTCCTGGAATGAATGACAGAATAAATGAATGGGTTTAGAAATTTTTATCATGATATTTGACTACTGAGTTATGCTTACCGACATCAGCTGGAGGCACAGATTTCGAGAGAATCGAACGGATAGGCGGGGTGAGGAGGGCACTGAATACCCCACAACCACCTGCCAGGTACATGTGCCAGGGTTTAAACGTGAAAGCTGTGATCATTGATCCAGAAAATATTGAGATCGTCCCAACCAGTGCAACACTCAACTCCGAAAAACCTAGAGACCATTTTTCCCCATTTATTTATTTTTTATTTCAATAGCAAATGGGACTTGGTTAGTGAATTTATTATTCTGTTGATAAATCTCTCACCAATTCTTCTGAAGATTTTCATCCCCAGGGAAACCCCAGCAATAGCCAGAACAGTGCAAATAGCACTGACTTCCGAGTACTGTACAACATTCCACCCCAGCCTAGCATTTGCAAATAAAAATCCAGTATTTATTTCTCCACTGATTGCAATAACGTAGAGAGATAAAATCAATATACAACTCCAGAGGGTGGAACGGTCGAGTCCTGGTCTCTTCCTCGTTGCAGTTTGGAATAATTTCTTGACGAGACTGACGTCGAAGGGGTTTTTCCACTTGTGCTCTGGCTCCTGCCTCTTTACACTCTCGGGTATTAAAAATAAAATATTAAATAATGTGAGACCGGATGTGAAAGTTGCAGCGATGAATAGCGTGGTGTAGCCAAATCTCTGGAATATAAAGGGACCCAGAAAAGTCCCCACGACGAGACCCGCAGCCAGAGAATTCTCGACACAGGCCAAACGCCACGCTCTGTTCCCATCATTCGTGATGTCTGAGATGTAGCAAAAAATTGATAGCATCAATCCACAGACGCCCCCCAGAAGGGCACGAGGAATCGAGGCGATCAGGTAAATCCAGGGGTTCAAATTCCAAACGCTCAATATCGAGAGCATGACGAATCTTATAAAAGGACCTGTAAAGGCTGCGATTAAAATAGGCTTTCTACCATATCGGTCGCTCCAAGGGCCTAGGAATAGAGAAAATATCGCTGGTAGAATGCCCTCGATCAGTGACTTGCTGAGGAGAATGTAACTCGCTCGAGGCTGAATCAATTGTTCCAAATCCCTCGCCGCCTGACTGCTGCTATTATTATGCAGTAAATTACAGGTGTCGGTGAGGGTTTCATTTAGAGTTATACGACACGTTTGATAAAGGATCAAGTCTGAAAAGACTGTCTCTGAAATACGATAAGATGAGTTTACTCAATGACGAGGGAGGAATTTAAAAAATGTGATTTATTGGAATTTTCCAAATTTCAACATATCTCATGTGTTCTTTAACTCCATTGTTCTCTTCCCAAATATTGAGTAATTACCTGTCATTCCACTGGCACAAAGATCCAAGAAAACCGGTATTTCTATAAGATTGTAACGTCGCCACTTGGAAAATATGCCAGTGCTACCTTCACTCTCCATTGTTGATGATTTTTTTAAAACACACACGTCATCAGAGTCAAGGCGAGTCAAATCATCCCCGAGGCTCTTCGTAAGTAGAACTTTGTAATTAATTGAGAAATTGCCGTCGTAAATATGCAGGAATACTATAGGACACTTGTCAATACATCTCTGAGTAATGCGACGAACATTCGCTTTGTTCAGAGTCTCACGGGTTACTAAAGCACTGGATTCAATTATATCTTATATAACACGCCACTAAAGACAATGCATCAGTGAAACCCGTGTTCACTCGACTTTTTGGGGGAAGAGGCATTTTCGAGGTGATTGCGATGAACTCATGGCATTGCGTTTCGAAGCAGGAGTGATTGACAATCAGCTGTTCTCTGTTTATCAGGTTACGTTGGTGTGTCAACTGTGTATTCACGATACGTCATGAGAGCCATAAAGATGACTTGGAGATTGTGTGAATTGATAGGTTAATTGTTAGTGGTTGCGATGGTTGTAAATGGCAAATAAATATGGAGAGACCTAGAACTCCGAGGGAGGAGGACTGTTGTGGGAATGGATGCAGTCCATGTATTTTCGATGTACATAAGAATCTAGTTAAATATTGGGAGGAGAGGGACGAGAATTCTCCTGGGAAGAGGAATATTTTGGAGCTCCTGTCTTATAAATCGTTTTGGGTTGAGGAGACGGTTTCAATTAATGATGAATACTGTTTTATATGGCTGGTATATCCAGGTGATAATAAGAGTACAGAATAATAGAAGTTTATCAATATTTTATAATTACAAAATAATAGATAATTTTTTTCAGCATCAGAATCTGAAGAACAAATTCATATGAATGTAGGACAGCATATCATGATAAATGTAGACTCGTGGACGAGAGCATTTTCTCCGATTTCATGGACAGCCACTGGTATACAATTGCTGGTGAGAATCTATGAGAATAGTTGTTTCACGAGTAAATTGAAGAGCATCGAGATAGGAGAGAGAATAAGAGTGCGAGGGCCTTATGGAGATTTTCGGTACTCCAGAAATTCCTTCAGAAAAATTATAATGTTCGGGATTGGCAGTGGGATCGCCGTGTTTTACCCGATTCTCAAGGCCATTACTGAGGACGAGGTGGAGGACACGAGAGTTCACTTGATCGTTGGATTCAAATCGATCGAGTTAATTCCGTTGAAGAAAGAATTGCAATTGTTAGCGGATTATTGGAATGTCAATTGCACTCTTCAATTGGCTGAACTGGGTAAAATAATTATATTAATTCCCAGTTGTAGAGGAAATTCAACTGAAACAAAGGATATAATAAATTGAACATTATTTCAGCGGAAGGGATGAAGATCAATGGAATTAATGTCAAACATGGGAGAATTAATGAGCGCATTGTCGAGGATATCTTGGGGATTGAGAAGTCTGAGGGAATTTTGGTTCTTGTTTGTGGCAATACGTCTTTTAACCGTATGTTAGAGAGATGTTTAAAGACATTGAAGTTGAATAATTATCATATATTCGAGTGAATTCTGATTAGACAATTATAAAAAATATTTTCATAGAAAAAAAAAATTGGTCTTTCAATTCATGAATTATTTACACTTTTTAATTAATTGATTCAGCACGATTGGTGGATAGTTAAAAAATATTGCTTTTATCAAACCTTGACAGCACAGGATATGTTTTCTTTACAAACTGGACAGGTCCCATGGCATCGAGCGAAGTACATTTGTTTACCAGCAACTGTCTGCAGCCACTGAGATTAAAAAAAAAAATAAATAAGATCCCTGGTATTTTGATGGTTTGTCTCGAATTCCAGTTGAGAATCTCACCTCCAAGAGACACGAACTATGGAAATGCTTTCTGCACTTTTCATTGCTGCAGATCTCAGAGGGAATTTCTCCATTTTCAGATTCCATTGAAAAACAGATGCAGCACTCGTCGTCCCCGAAGATGGCTCCGTCATCTTTGGGCTCGTCTGGTGGACGCTGTGGCAATTCCTCGATCTGCAAAAGTTCCATAATATTCTCCAGAATGGACCTGTCAGCGTCCCACTTGCACAAATTGTCACTGAGAATTTCTCTAGTCTTGTAGACTTCTTTATCACTCCCCAGGAGCTTCATCTCGGGGTGATGTCCGTCTGAGTCCAGGGGATTGAGTTTGATATGGAGAGAAAGTGCTGAATTTATATGAATTCTTCGGTACAGATGACATGGCTTGGGATTCACGGGATCAATCACCCAACAATTTTCATCTATCTCTGCAAGTTCTCTCCAGATATCCTCAAGAGCATTGACCTTTGCCTGAAGTGTCTTCGTAGCTTCCATCAATGTTGAAATGCATTTGTCGAAGGGCCGCCAAATGGGCAACTCCGGTAGGTCCGAGGAAATCAGAGCCCAGGAATTGCCCGTATTCTCTGGCTTGAGGGTAACAGAGATGGATTTGTAGATTATTTTTACAGCACTGAGATCATTATTCCCCTGGACCTCAATGTTAGGCTCTTTTAAAACAGTTTTCAGTTCCTTTAACATATCTTTATTGAAGAAATACTCCTTGGTTGTGGATTCAATCCTTTTTTTCTTGATAATTCCTTCCATCAACCCTTGCAATTGCCTGAGAAACGACAGAACCGATGTGGCGTTCTGCAACAATCCCTTGTATTTGCTCCTGAACTCACTGCCCTGGAAGAGGCAAATCTGCTGTCCAAAATGAACACTGGCTCCCCTCAATTCTGGATAATGTGGGACACGAAGTTTTATCTCGATCCTGGTGTCCTTGTTCACCACCATAAATCCGTACCAGGTCATCGGCTTCTCGGAGATCAGGACGAGCAGGGGATGACATTTTACAATGTCCGAATATTCAGCCATTTTTATAATCAATTAAAAACCACGTAATTCACTATACTAAAAAACTGCCACTGTCTTGCACATTTATTGCAACCTTGTCACCTTGCTGCTCGTTTGTTTATGTTTTCAAAGGTCCCACAGCTGATTAGGTGGAGTCACCGTAGACACCCCCACCCCAGCATTGTGTGTGGCGCCCTCCCTCTCTTGGGGTGCAGTATCACGATGCCGCTGGGGTCACTCAAATCCCCAGAACTAAGCCTCTACTTTAGTCAATCCTTTTTGCTTTTGGCTTGTGTATTGACATTCCCCAAGTGGGGTTATAAAATATATACGATTGAGATTGATTCGGGGAATGTTCTTGAGAAGATTGTTTATGCTTTTGGATAAATATTGCTGATACGAGGTGAGCAAGAGGTCCAACAGGGATTTAAATAATAGAAGTGTTTATTCTGTGGAGGGTTTTTTATTGAATTTACCCTGGACCATTTTGGAGCAACAATGAGAGGATAATTGTGAACAATGAGAGTAACCGCAATTGTTTTCGTTGGACAATTATATTCAACTCCTGTCCTCTGAATTATTCATTACTGAAAATATCTGCAGACTGCGAGGAAATGTCTCCAGCACAATTATAATTATTCTTTTTTTTTCAGTAAAGAGAGAAAATATCGAAATGGCTTTAAGAACGTATGGAGATAAGCCCATAAGTTTCCAAGTTGAGGAAAATGGGGAGTACTACTGCATCGGTTCAGAGGTGGGTAATTACCTCCGCCTCTTTCGAGGATCTCTGTACAAACGATACCCTGGAATGTACCGGAGATCAATTACAAACGACGAGAGGAAAAAATTGGTGGAGCTGGGGCTCAGTCAACACGTTTTGGCCTCGAGTGTTTCCCTCCTGAGAGCCAGTGAAGTCGAGGATATAATCGAGGGAAATGATGATAAATACAAGGCTGTGTCTGTTCATTCGACAGAACCACCAGCTCCTCGGGAGGGAAAACCCAAGAAAGCAATGCCCTGGGTCCCCAGTTTACCCAACAGCTCGCACTTGGATGCGGTGCCACAGGCGACACCAATTAATCGGAACAGAGTTCACAATAAAAAAGTCAGGACGTTCCCCTTATGGTAAATTTACGTTTTAATATCAATAAACTAAATAAACTGAATAAACTTGTACTAAAATCCATTATCCCTAGCTTCGACGACACAGATCCCTCCGCAAACCTGGAGAATGCAGCCCAACAAGAGATGCTGGTACCAATTCGCCTGGACATGGAAATTGAGGGCCAGAAATTGCGTGACACCTTCACATGGAACAAGAACGAGAGTCTGATAACTCCTGAGCAATTTGCAGAAGTTCTCTGCGACGACCTGGACCTCAACCCCTTGACATTTGTCCCAGCAATAGCCCAGGCCATCAGACAGCAGATCGAGGCCTTCCCCCAGGAGACAATTCTGGAGGATCAGTGCGACCAACGAGTCATCATCAAGCTAAATATTCACGTGGGTAATACGTCATTGGTCGACCAAGTGGAATGGGATATGTCAGAGAAGGATAATAACCCTGAGAAATTCGCAATGAAACTCTGCGCGGAATTGGGACTTGGAGGGGAATTCGTTACTGCAATTGCCTATAGTGTCAGGGGTCAGTTGTCCTGGCACCAGAGGACTTACGCCTTCTCCGAGGCTCCACTGCCCACCGTTGAGGTGCCCTTCAGACCTCCCTCCGAGGCTGACCAGTGGGCACCATTCCTCGAGACACTCACTGATGCAGAAATGGAGAAAAAGATCAGGGACCAGGATAGAAATACTCGGCGTATGAGAAGACTCGCTAATACGACCCCCGGGTGGTAAATCCGGGAAATCATCCGAGGAGACTGTGGGGAGATCGTTTTGGAAGCCACGTTTTAGTTTAAGATTAAATAGTTTTGAAAATTCAAGGTTTCTGTGGAATTTAACATTTTTCCAATTCAATTTTGTGCACTTTTGGTTAATAAATCTTTCTAAAAGGATATCAATGTTTTTTATTTTTTTTTTCTACCTTGCCGCAGCGGTTTTAGAGAATATTTTGCATGAAGCCATTTTTATTTCAGGTCTTTTCGTCTTATAATGCGTAACAAGTCTTATTCATGAGACGATCTATAGAAAAATTCCGTGAAAAATGAATGAATTTAAAAAAAAAATGAGAAAGTCACGATGTCGACATCGAATGACACAGAAGGCCGAATAGAAAAAATACAAGATAACACACATGTAGAAATGATAACGATGCGGAGGGGATTGTCCTGGAGGGGGTGAGTGCGGGTGGGGGACGACTCGACTTTCATGTAATTCCAGTTCTCCTCCGACGGCCGACGGTTGGAGGTGGCCAATTGCCATTTTATATTTATTTTTCTAAATAATTCACAACAATAAATTGAAAAAAAAAATCGTTCACTTGAGAATGGATCCTACCTGGCTATCGAAACAGCTGTCCCCAGCATCTCCTAGGGGTACACCAAGGAATCCTTATCCATCACGACCTTGGCTCCAGGATCGTGCCGCCGCCGCCCCGGCTACGACGAACGTCGGCGTCAAAGGAATCATTGCCGGTGCGTTAATTACTTTCACCTTCAAATAGTGCATTACCATGCAAGTGATGAAATTGCTTTTTCCGCGGAAATTATACGAAAATATCATTTTTTTGCCACTCGTCCAATTGCGAAAAGTCCGGGGATATCCTGAGCTCTTGGAGGGGCTTTTATTATTTCGGGGGAAATTATTTTTAGGTTTATTCAAGTGGTTATGGATTTATCGGGCGAAAATGGGTCATTTGAATTTTTTATCTGGAAGAATTCCAAGTGATCGCCTCTATTTTCAGGTTTTTGTATTCATTTTGGATTTGTTTACGCGAAACTGAAGGTCTCCTGGTGTCTTTTAATAATTCTCTTATTCATCCGATGAAATTATTTAGAATATCCCAATTTTAAAAGCTAATCACAAGCCATTGAAGGACATGATAAATTATAATGAATTAATAAGTCAATTGATTACTAATTAATAAACTTATTCCAATTAACCATTCCGTGTCCCTCGCGTTTATCGAACCTTTGGATTCATATTTTTTTCTGAGTGTTCCAACCTCAATTTTTCCATTGACAGACAAGTGCATTCACTTGCCCCAATTTACATTGGAAGAATTGAAATGACCTTGAAGCCTTTTAATTAATTTTCATTCAAAAATGAATAATACATCGCAAATGAAATTAATCTAAATTAATATAGCAGATATTTTTAGACACGAGATAAAGAATAATTGACTTATTTTCTATTCAATTATTCAGGAGGAATTACTGGTGGAATTGAGATCTGCATAACATACCCAACTGAATACGTAAAAACTCAACTTCAATTGGATGGAAAGGCTGGGGCTGGGAAGCAATACTCAGGAATTATTGACTGTGTACAGAAAACAGTGAAGACTAATGGAGTTCTTGGATTGTATCGAGGATTATCGGTTTTGGTTTATGGTTCAATACCTAAATCTGCTGTGAGATTTGGATCGTTTGAGACAGTCAAGAAACGATTGGTCGATGAGGATGGCAAATTGAATGCCCAACGTCGACTTCTTGCTGGTTTGTGTGCTGGTGTCAGTGAAGCTATTTTTGCTGTGACACCTATGGAGACTGTCAAAGTGAAATTCATCAATGACCAGAGGTCATCCAATCCACGATTTCGTGGATTCTTCCATGGGGTGGGACTCATTATCAAAGAGAATGGTGAGTTACACATCATTTCATTTACTCACATTTATCCAGCTCGAAGGTTTTGTAAAACAAATAAATTTCGCAACTGATAACAGTTATCTGTAGAATTATCTGGGATGTACTCGGGAAAAATTTCGACGATACATTTCTAACGCTTTGGAAATTTCTGCAGAAGAAATGATTAAATAATTATGGAGGTAATTAAATAATTAATTGGAAGTGTTCAGCACTTGAGCGGCTGTAATTTCGTCATGACGTTTTCCTCCAAATAAATGATAATCCATTGGAAATAGACGTTGGGGTTTCTCACCTTGACTAAATTACAATTTTTACTGACGTTTGAACGTACGAGTGGTCAAAGTTCTCGGTTCTTTTCGTACAAAATAAAAAGTGGAAACCGAGAGAACTCAAGGCTGCTTACGTAGACGATAACTTGACGCAAGAAATCTCTCTGCTTGACATTTTTTAACTAAATCTATTTTGGCATATCAATTTGTTAATTATTTTTTATTAACATTTAAATTTATTCATTCATTAATTGCACTATTTTTTTTTGGCGTTCTCTTATAGGATTTAAAGGAGTTTATCAGGGACTAGTGCCAACGATAATGAAACAAGGTTCTAATCAGGCAATTCGATTCTTCGTCATGGAGTCATGCAAGGATTGGTACAAAGGTGGAGACAATAATAAACCTGTACCTAAACTCGTAGTTGGATTTTTTGGAGCTTGTGCTGGCGCAGCTTCAGTTTATGGCAATACACCAATCGATGTTGTGAAGACCAGGATGCAGGTAATTAGTAATAATAATAATAATCCCCTGAAATGGTATTGTTCCAGAGCCCAGGAATTATTTTAATATCTCTATCTCGAATGGAGCATCTGAATCTTTTATTATCATTTATTATTTTAATGAAAAAAAAAATCAATCGAGAGAGTTGACACCTGAAATAATTAAGTAAGAGTTTTTAATTGATATTTCAGGGTCTTGAAGCAGCGAAATACAAAGGGAGTGTTGATTGTGCAGTGCAAATATGGAAGAAGGAAGGGCCAAGTGCATTTTACAAAGGCACAGTACCTAGATTAGGAAGAGTGTGTCTTGATGTTGCAATTACATTCATGATTTATGATTCATTCATGGAGCTCTTCAACAGGGTCTGGCCTTGAATGACCTTCAGTCGTGAGATAAGTCAATTGCGATATCAAGTGCCCTCAGGACAATGACAGTGAATTCGTTAGTGGAGTGGTAAACAACGAAACATTGGTATCATACGAGCGTCTTTATCACTTCCGAGGTATTTTTTTAATCGGTGGGTCTGTCAATCGAAAATATCTGATTACTTGCGGGACCCACTAACTTTGGAAATAACATGCCATTTCACTACATCACTACAGAAATTGAAACGAATTCCAGAAGTCAGTGAAAAATTTACTTTTACAGGATATTTTTTACATGATTGTGAATACTGAATATTTGATGTATATAAAAATATTTTGTACACTATTAATTTAGACTAACAGAAAAGAGCTGCAGTATCGATACAATCAAGATTTATTTTTCGAAAGTTCATTCAGAATTTAGAATTTTGTAATGGTACAGAATTTATAATTACGATGAAAATATCTATTTTTATTTGTGAGTTCTACACATTCCATAATTTTAATACAGAATTGAATCAATTATCACTCATTCCAATGGTTTTACACTCGAAGGCGAGTAAAACAGTCAGAACTAATATATTCAGTGGATCAATTGAGTAATCAATTAATTTGTTAATTGGAGAATAGAGGAACGAATAAAAATCCCAAGTGCGACCAAAAAATCAATTTTCAATTGATCAATGATGAATTTGTAATTTGTCAAGTGAAAAATATATATGGATTGAAAACCGATAAATGTTTGTCATTAATTACCTGGACGATGAGCTTAACATTGAGGCGAGGTAAAAAATGAAGGGAATTTTACCGAGTCACTGGTGTACGTAACGTGAGAGTCAAATTCCAACGGTATTAAAGTGCGGTGTACTTGTGTACTCGAGCATCTGCGGCTTACCACGGGGATTCTTACCATGTGTTATGCGATCCTGTTGGTGTACAGCATCCCTCATTATTCTCAGTCTGAGAATAATCTTGCGAGGATTTTCTCCAGAATTTAACAGTAAAACTCCACGTCAAGTTGTGAAGACTAGAGCGAGAAAACGAGTCTAGAATATCCTGGGATTACTTCTGACATCTTCAATAAACTCAACCGTTCGAGTTCATTAACTATCCCACGGATAATCCCCAGAAAATTCTGAGGACTGCAAAATAATTGGTAGCAATTATAACTCTTTCATCATTCCATCATAATTATATAATAAATAATCTGCTAATTAAATTGGAAATACAGTAGACAAAATAAATGGATGAACAATAGAATTTCAGGGATATTCTTGGAAATATTATTTATCAGGTGAACGTCTCGTTACCCTTGTCTCTTGAATTGATCATCCGCGGTCCCCAGGGTCCGTAGGGCCCCGGCAAACGTCTGAACCCCACAAAAACGCAAATAACGTTGGGAGTTAATTACAAATGACTTTCCTCCCTCAATTTCCAAAGCGGAAACCTCAATGTTTGAGGGACTGGTTGAGGCTCATTCCCCACTCTTGCACCCGATGAGGCCCCGAAGGGGGGACCTGGGGTCACATTCCAAGATGGCTGTGCCTGAGGAATGCAGTGGGTGCCCCCCTAAGACGCCTTCCTCTCTCCTTTTTTAAGCGAGCCAATTTCTTTCATACCCATCGAAAAACAACTACTTACCCCACAATTCGCTAAACCCCCACGTCAAATTCATCTCCTCATTCTCAATCACCGATTACTCATTTATCGTGACTCCGTGAATTTATTGTGACTGAAATATTCGCGGGGGTTGAAGATAAATTCGTTTTTTTTTTTTTAAAAAAGGGTAGAAACGTGTGTGAGTGAGAAATAAAAAAACGAGAGGTAATCAAATTTTCGAGGGACTGTCAGTTACAAGTGTTGGATTTTTTAAATTACACTCTGGACCTGGAGGATGCTTATGCAAAACGATGCAACCGGCTCGTCTTAAACAATGTCTCATCGTGATATCTCTGAGGTAAATTATCCATAAGTTCATTGATAATTGCCCCAGAAATGCTTTTCATTGCGCGCAGAGCGGAAAATAAATAATTGAATTACATTATAACTGATAATTAACTAGTATTGCATTGAAATTAATTTTGCGAATTGATTCCAATGCGGGGGATTTAAAAATCGATTGGAACAACTCATTGATCATTTGATGTGATAGTTGAATTTATCGAGTGAGTAAAAACGCGATTTATTGGATGGCATTTTTATTATTTAGTTATTCATAATGTGTGTCGTAGAAAGTTGAGAAAATTTGCCATTCCATAAGGTGCTTAATGGCCCATTCCACCTCATTCTCTTATCGTAAAAGTACTCTTCAAACAATCTTTCACTTCTCGAAATATTTAACGTTCACCTGTTGATCAGGTGGGGTAAGGGCAGGTTTATTTCTGCATTATGTGGCAGATCGTGGGAGTGGGAAGGGTTTAACATCAAGGGGCTTTTTGTCAAGAATTTTATGGACTGTCGTTGAATTAATGTCTCTTCAGTATTTATCGGTCATTAATGGGATAATCTAGTGGATGAGAGAATGAATGAGTAGTTCAAGACGATTTAACGAGATCGCATCAATTATTTGAGTGAATGTATTTAAAATGAGTTGAATGACATTTCCAAAATAATCAGAAACCAGCCGGCGAGTTGTAATAATTGCGGTAAATATTATTGGAAATTTAATTTAATTAGAAATTATCGGTATTGCATCAATTTTTCGAAAAATTAATCAAGGGAGATAGAAATATAAATAATAATCGATTTATCTCAATTCGATCGTGAATATGAATTTTGAGCTCATGTGTGTTAATGATTTGACGTCAAACCCAATAATTAATGATGAGAAAAAAAACAGGTGGAGCCCGAAGGTACGTCGGCCCTGGCCGCAGGATCGCGGGCCTTATTTCTAGAAACAGTGAAGAAGAGCAATGCAGCCTGTCAGAATGGTGATTACGCCCTGGCTGCTAATTTATATACCGAGGCACTGGCCCTTGATCCACTCAGCCATGTACTGTACTCCAACAGATCAGCAGCACGTCTCAAAATGGGTCTCTTTGCTCTAGCCCTCCAGGATGCGGTGCGAGCGACAGAACTCCTCCCCCAATGGCCCAAGGTGCATCATCATCATCATCACCCGCAAAATTTACCCCTTATTAATTATTAAATTGCACATCAGTCATTCAAAATTTCATCTAGTCTCTCCTCATCCTAATTCTTTTATCCAAACCGTTGAATTACCTCAAATAATAAATTAAATTTTTTCCCTACTATTTTTTAAATTGAATTTTAATTGAGATAACAATTTGAAAAATCTCAGTAATTGGAATAGAATAGTCACCGTCGACAAGTCATCTTCACATTTCCCCTTTGCTCCAGGCATACTATCGCCAGGGTGTGGCACTCCAGTGTCTGGGACGTCACGGAGAGGCCCTGGTTGCTTTTGCAACAGGACTGGCTCGTGATCCCCTCAATTCCCAACTACTCTCTGGTCTGGTGGAGGCCTCCCTGAAGTCTCCACTCCGTCCAACCCTGGAGCCGACATTCCAGCAGTTGCGTGCCATGAAGCTGGACGAATCACCGTTCGTCGTCATATCGGTGGTGGGTCAGGAGCTACTAGGAGCTGGGCAGTACAAAGCAGCTGCAGGTGTTCTCGAAGCTGCTCTAGCCATCGGTACGTGTAGTCTCAAGCTCCGAGGATCGGTATTTTCCGCGTTATCCAGTGCATATTGGGCCCTCAACTCTTTGGACAAGGCTATCAGCTACATGCAGCAGGATCTGGGGGTCGCCAGGTCCCTGGGGGACACCCAGGGGGAGTGCAGAGCCCACGGCAATCTGGGCTCTGCTTACTTCAGCAAAGGAACGTATAAAGAAGCTCTTACTGCTCATAGGTAGGTGCAATTATTTTTTAAAACATTTTTCAAATAATATTTTACTATTGAAAAGGAATAAATTTGCGGATATATATTGGAAAAAAAATTCCAAGGCTATTGATAAAATGCACAGGTACCAATTGGTCCTCGCTATGAAGTGTAAGGATGCCCAAGCAGCTGCATCAGCTCTGACGAGTCTTGGTCACGTTTACACAGCGATTGGAGATCTGCCAAATGCCCTGGCATCCCACAAACAGTGCGTGCAGCTCGTTAAGCAAATGGGGGATCGTCTTCAAGAAGCCAGAGAAATCGGCAACGTGGGAGCTGTTTATTTAGCAATGGGAGAGTTCGAGAGTGCTGTGGACTGTCACACCCAGCACCTGAGGATTGCCAGGAGGCTGGGGGACAGGGTGGAGGAGGCCAGGGCATTCAGTAATTTAGGATCGTCGCATCATTATCGGAGAAATTTTTCACAAGCCATGGCTTACCACGAGAATGTCCTGAAGATTGCCCAGGAGCTGGGGGACAGGGCCATCGAGACCAGAGCATACGCTGGACTTGGACATGCAGCAAGATGCGCGGGTGATCTGCAGCAGGCAAAATTGTGGCACCAGAGGCAACTCGATGTTGCACTCTCGACGAAGGACAAAGTGGCTGAGGGCAGGGCCTGCAGTAATCTGGGGATCGTTTATCAATTACTCGGGGAGCACGATGCAGCCTTGAAACTCCATCAGGCGCATTTGGGAATTGCCAGGTAAATGGTTTGTTTATTATTTTTTTTAATCACTTGGAATTATTTATTTCAAGAAATCTTGCGGTGATCCCCAGGTCCCTAGGTGATCGGGCAGGGATGGGCAAGGCGTACGGTAATATCGGAAACGCGTACAACGCCATGGGATATTACGAGCAGGCGATAAAATATCACAAGCAGGAATTGACGATCTCGAAGGAAGTGAACGATCGGAGCTCAGAGGCCTCCACCCATGGCAACCTGGCAGTGGCCTATCAGGCAGTCCAGGGACACGAGACAGCCCTGCGTCACTATCGAGCGCATCTCTCCATAGCCCGTGAACTCAAGGATGCAGCAGGTGAGGCATGTGCTCTCCTGAATCTCGCCAATTGTTTGTCCTCTCGTGGTCGTTTCGAGGAGGCAGTCCCCTACTACGAGAACTACCTGATGCTCTCTCAAGAGCTCCATGACGTAGAGGGCGAGGCGAAGGCCTGTCACTTCCTGGGGTACGCCCACTACTGTCTGGGTAATCACCGCGAGGCAGTTCGTTATTACGACCAGGATCTCGCCCTGGCGAAGGACCTGCAGGACAAATCGGGAATGGGTAGAGCCTATTGCAATCTGGGACTTGCACATCTCGCCCTGGGGAATCTCGACACAGCCCTTGAGTGCCAAAAATATTACCTGGCAATAGCTCACATGATGAAACACCTGGCAGGAAAATTTCGAGCCCTGGGGAACATCGGGGACTGTCTCCTTCGTCTTGGTGAGACAGACGAGGCAATTAAAATGCACCAGCGACAGCTCAATCTCGCTAGACAGTCAGTGGATCGTTCACTGGAGGCTGCGGCGTACGGCGCCCTGGGGATCGCCCACAGAACCACCAGGAATCTGGATAAATCCCTGGGATTTCACACCCAGGAATTGACCCTCAGGCAGGAGTCAGGGGATCTCAGGGGGGAGTGTCGAGCACATGGTAACCTGGGGGCTGTTCATATGGATCTGGGACAGTACACACACGCTGTCAAGTGTTATCAGGAGCAGTTGGACAGGGCCAGAGAGCTGGGGGATTCAGGGGTCGAGGCGCAGGCTCTCGGTAACTTGGGGATTGCTCGACTGAATATGGCGCATTACGAGGATGCCATCGGCTATTTTGAACAGCAACTTGCCACTTTGGAGCCTCTGACAACTGCCACTGCTCTCATTGATAAAGCCAGGGCACTGGGCAATCTGGGGGACTGTTATGAGGCCCTTGGGGATCCCGATGAGGCTATCAAGTGTCACGAGCAGCAGTTGACTGCTGCTGTTAAGTTGAGAAGCGTTAGGGATCAGGAGAGGGCTTACAGAGGTCTTGGACGGGCTCGGGAGGCCTCGGGAAATCTTCCGGAGGCTTTAGTCTGCTTCGAGAAACGTTTGGTCGCTGCACATGAGGTTTGAGTTTCAAATATTTATTAGGGCATTAATAGAGATATTTATATTATATATATTAAATTATTTACTTCTCGCAATAATGAAAAAAAATAATCAGGTTGATAGCACGGAATCAAGAGGAGCAGCTTATGGGGATTTGGGTCGTGTCCACGCAGCCCTGGGTAACCACGAGCAGGCAGTCAGCTGTTTGACTCATCAACTGGCCCTGGCAAGAGGTCTCGGTGATAAAGCAGGTGAGGCTGAGGCGGCCAGTGGCCTGGGAGCAGTTCACCTTCTCATGAACGATCCAACGAGTGCCCTGAGACATCATCAGCTGGAGCTGACAATAGCCGAGGAACTCGATGCTGCAGGACTTCAAGCTCGAGCTTGCGCCAATCTAGGAGTTACTGAGGAAGCTTTAGGGCAGATGGACGAGGCCATCAGACTGCAGGAGCAGTCCCTGAGTCTGGCAGCAGCTGCTGGTGATCAGGGGGCACGAGCAGCTGCATTCTCATCCCTCGGGAGGCTACACCATTTACGTGGGGATCTCGCCAAGGCCCTCAGTTATTTGCAATCTGGATTATCATTGTCCGAAGGTCTTGGGAGGCGCGAAGAAGTGGCGAAGCTCAGGCATCGACTGGGACTCGTCCACTGGCAGGCTGGGGAACCATCTGTGGCTGTTGAACAGCTGGAGAAAGCTGCCAATCTCCTGGAATCTCTGGACGGCAATCATATCCAGGGGGGACATACAGATCTCTTGAATGAGACTTATGGTACCCTGCAGAAGGTTCTGGTGGGACTCAACAGGGCGGAGGAGGCACTCAATTGGGCTGAGAGATCGAGGAGAACCAAGTGTTACGAGTCCATTAATCATATCGATGATGCAACCCACTACTCGGAGATTGTCGACAGGCAGAGGGGAATTGTTTTGTATTATAGCGAAGTCGAGGGGGAACTGCATGCCTGGTGTCTTGCGCCAAGCCGAGGACTCTTGAGGTTTCACTCGACCACTTTGGAGGAGGGATTGAGTCTCGAGAAGCAGGTTGTGCTAGCCCGGGAAGCCCTGTTAGGGGAGTCCTCGGAAATCGTCGATGAGACCGCTAAAATTCCCATGCGGGGACATCTCAATGCCAGTTCTTACAGCTTGAGCTCGTTATTCAGTGTTGGATCTGCCTCATCGAGGGCTGGCAGTGCCAGGTGGGGGCGTGGAGGTAAAGGACCTGTCTGGCAGGCTCCTGGGTGTGTTCAAGCACTCTATGATCTTCTCCTCGGTCCCTTCGAGGATCTTTTACCGCCTGTCCGGAAAGAATTGATTCTCGTTGTGGAGAAGGCACTGTACCTGGCTCCACTGCCTGCCTTGCAGTCCGGACCTGGGGAGGATTATCTTTGCGAGAGATTCTCTCTGTTGATTGTTCCCTCGTTGGCTGTTCTCAGGAAGAGGGCGAAGATACCGATGCCTGAGGGTGGGGCCACTGTGGCTGCACTCGTTGTCGGAAATCCTCTCCTGCCAGAAGACGTCAGGGAGGAGAATGGATGGCCAGAGAGTGCTAGCTCGGCTGAGACTGAGGCTGGAATTGTCGCAGAGCTACTGGAAACTCGACCGCTGACTGGTAATGAATTTATTTATCAAATTTGTATTGCACATCACAGTTGAGAAAAATGAATTGTATTTTCAGGGGCTGAAGCGACAAAATCCGCAGTTTATCGTTCACTTCCGGATGCTGAATGCGTTCACTTGACGACTCCAGTACTCTGGGGATCGCCCTCCCTCGCCCTGACCCCAGACCAGAGCGAGGACTCTTCAGAGCCCCCTGAGTACTTGATATCATCATCTGACATCGCGAGATTAAGACTGACAGCACGTTTAGTCGTACTCTCCAGTGGACACTGCTGGAGCAACGATGACGCGTCGAATGTTACCCCTGATGGGGTTCAGACTATGGCGAAGAGCCTTCTCAATGCTGGGGTGCAGTGTGTCCTGGTGGCCATGTGGCCTGTGCCATCGACTGCCGGGAGTATTTTACTCAGAGCTTTTTATAGTGCTCTTCTACAGGGGGCACGGGCCTCCAGGGCTCTTGCCGAGGCTATGCAGACTGTCCAGCATACGAGACACTTTGCACATCCAGCTAATTGGGCTGGGTGGCTACTCATCGGTGGAGATGCTCGATTATCGAATAAAGTAATTGGTCTAATCCTCTCCTAATGTTCTCTTCAATTTTTCTTTTTGATTCGCTTCACCGCAGAAAAAAAATAATAATTTTCTTTCATCTCTCTTCTCGTCTCCTTATACATTACAGGTTGCATTGATGGGTCAAGCACTGGCAGAGCTCCTGAGGAGTGGTCCGGATCAGTCCCGCGATGCCCTGAGAGTGACTCTCCATCTGGTAGAAAAATCCCTCCAGCGAATTCATCGGGGCCAAAAGAACGCGATGTACACCACCCAGAGGAGTATCGAGAACAAGGTTGGGCCTGCGACAGGGTGGAAGGAGCTTCTGATGTCTGTCGGATTTAGATTCGAACCTGCAGGTAACGGGATCCCCTCCTCGGTGTTTTTCCCTCAGAGTGATCCCGAGGAGAGGCTCACCAGGTGCAGTGCGAGTTTACAGGCTTTGCTGGGACTGGGACCAGCCTCTCTTCATGCTCTAGTTCGACTTCTTCAGGTATTATTAATAATTTATTCTTTTTTTATTTGATGCCTCTATAAGATTTATTTGCATTTTCCAGGCACCAGAAGTCGCTGAAGATGTCATCACTGCAATGCGAAAAGCAGGAAGTGCAACAGAAGGTCAAGAAGTGTCTCTTCCAGTTCGAGTTTGGAGAGCCTCAGGGTCTCACGAGTTGTTCGCAAGTTTGGGTATGGACTTGATGGAAGTTGGACAGTCAGAGGTGACCTTGAGAACTGGAAAACAGGCATCGAGGAGGGCAGTGCAATTTGCACTTCAAGCTTTACTTGCTTTATTCGGTAAAGACAATCTCACACTTATTCCGCAATTTAATTCCGACTTCAATTAATTGTGATTAATATTTCAGATACGCAAGAGGCGCCGAAGAGCCTCAGCCTCGACTCAAGCAGTTCAATGGAGAGTTTAGCATCTGTCCAGCAGCCAGAAAAAAATGGCCTCCTGGAGCGTCCAAGATTGGGTGGTGCATTTGCTTCGTACGTCAGACATCGTGGGGAGCCTGATGGCAAGACAACTGAACCACCTTGTGTCCCAATGGCACGTCAATCTTATCCAAATGAAGGAGGTATTTTGTTCGGATTTTAATTATCACGAAGAAGTAATTACGGAGACAATTCACTTTTTTGATTTGTTCAATAGGAGAGTCAGATGCAGCATTCACTCCAAGTCCACCAGTGGCCTTGACCCTGAACCATCAAGCGCGAATAAGAAGTTTATACCAGGATCAGGCAGTTCGTCCAGACTCCAGTTCCAGTAGTTCAGTGACAGACTGGGAAAATGGCCACAATACAGTTCTGAGAAGGCAACCACTGCCCCCAATTCCTCCAACAGTCCTGGAGCGTCTCAGTGTACGAACAGAGTTGGGTTCGAGTGCCACGAGGAAATTGAGACACCCAGGAAGTAATGAGGAGCTCAATCAAGCTGACTCCACCACTGGAAGCGATGGAATGCCACAGATGAGGAATTTGGGGAGTTCTCTGACGGGATTAACCAGAGAACTCACTCCAACCATCTCTGATGTTTATCATGAGCGCAATTTGGGGCTTGGGCTGGCCCCATCACTCTCTAAATTACTCGAGGAGGTTGGCAATGTCACGGAGAGCGAGCAGAGGCAACTCTCGAGATCTGACACGAGTCAGACACAGAATTGGCTTCAAAATGAGCCGGAATTGTGCAGAAGGGATGAGGCTGATGGGCGATCCATTGCTGAGAGTCAATGCAGTGCTACTAGCTCTAACAAAATTCATCGGAAAGCACCGCCACCGCCTGTTTGATACCCCAATTTTTTCCATGATATTTCATCGATTGAATCGATCGAATTAAGTGGTGAAAATTCACGATTCGCAATATCATAAAATTCTCGTAGTATTTGACGAATATCTCAAAAAGTAAGATTTCGTCATTATTTCGCCACTGGGGAAAGGGAGCGATCTGGATACTTAATAATTGTTCTTTTCATATATCCCTAACTCAGAAATGAATCCTCTAACCTGTCCATTTTGTCTCGCCATCCCTTTTCCCGTTATCGTCATTTAATTGTTCAAATAAATTATTCAATCTTGAGAACTCAAAAAAATAGAAAAGGGAACGAAAACTATTCTAGATAAAAATCGTTGAGAAACGGCGAAAGAATGTGTATCCGTCCGATTTAAACGATAAAAAATCGAAAATTGATTAGTCGTTGGTACAATATGCTTATGAATCATTCCAAACGTTAATTGATAACATATTTATAATGAAGTAATGAAATAAACGATGTTCATTCATTAGAAAAATCACTGACGATTTTATTCCCGTCTCAATATAATTTTAAATGACCAGTTACTTGATCGACGATTTCTCCAGGACCTGGACCCACACAGCAGACAGTTTTCGATCCAGCTGCAATTTGCGTACGACCTGCATCACGAATTGTTATTGCGATCAAACCAGCAGCTCTTGCTGCTTTCTGTATCTGGTCCAGCTCTTCTTGACTGTCCACCTTCGATAAAACGAGATATCACTCAATATGCAAACGGCAATTACCATCCAAATTAATCTTCAAGAGATGTCAATGCGTTTTACCTTGACAGTAATTTTTTTATGCCCATTTTCCGTCCACTCCTGCAAGAGTTTGGGATATTTGAGAACAGCCTCGAATCCTGCTACAGCTGCATGAGCACATTGAGCTGCCACTTTTCCTTTTCCCATTTTTAAATCATTTCTTATTACCAGCACCATTTTGTGCTCATCAGAACCCTCACCAATCACCTGGAGGGCAATCACAATGTAATCAATAATGTAAGTGAACTATTTATCAAGTTTTATACCACTTACAAGGCTGTCACCGGCATTTCCCGCGCGGTTTCTCGTTGTTACTTTGTAAAAACCATAACCTGCCACCATCGCTAATAAAAAACCCAATTTGAGTTCATCAATGCTCGATAAAATTTCGTTCCACATGTTTCGAGTGTTAAATTAATTACTGGACATCAACAAACATAAACAATTGCAAACAGTTCTTTGTACACGTTGTAATTTCATTGATGGACTCATGGGAGGCTCCACGGATAAACACGATAAATATATAGACTATATTTCAGGTTATAATCGTTGGAGAAAAAAATTTTCTCACCATCGGCACTACAGAGGGCTCAAATATTCAGGCAAAAACCAAAATTAATACTTTTGCTCTATTTTTTATTTCTCAAAATATCAAGTTTCCATTTTTCGATTTTATTTACAAACGGGATTCATTAACTTCAGTCGTACAACGGTAGAACTCATTATGACGAATAAAAAATGATGTCTCGAACAGATAAATTCAGAAGCAAAAATATCTCATCATTTTCTCCTAAAATCAATAATGTCTCTACATTTTACCACTCGTCTCCTGATCCTCCGTACAGAGTAGTAATGATCTGCTCGCAATTACTCAGTACACAATATAAAAATAACAATCATGATAAGTTCTTGGAAGCTTGTGATGAAGTGCTGTAAAGAATTACAAATAAAAAATCGTCACAGATTCCCTCATCCTCTCCAGAACGATCGACTCGTTCCATCAATTAAACATTCGAAAATTCAATAGTATTTCCAATTTGGCTCTATTTAGTTCCCTTTTTCTTTTTCGATTTGACAGGGGTCTCGATGGCACTGGCACTGGCACTCCTCTTCTTCCCCAGAGTTCTATTGTCTTCCCCGACGCCATTCTCCATGCCCTCGTTGCCTCCATTGAGCACCACAGAGCTGAATTCAACTCCATCGAGGCCCTCACCCATGGCCTTGGCCCTGAGCTCCCTCGCTTCCTTCTTCAGCATCTGTTTCTCCTTCTTCTTGCTCAAATTTTTCAATTTCTTCTTAATCTCCTTTTTCGATTTCTTGATGGATTGCTCATCCCCACTCTCAGCTGATTCGTCCTCAACCCTCACCCCAGAGTCTCTGTGAACTCCATTGATCTCCTGCTTCCTGTCACCCTCATCTTGAATATTTTTCGGTGCCCCAATGAGTGTTGCCAATCTATTGTACGCAGTTTTGGCGTCCTTAGACAGAGAGACACCTTTCCTGTACCCAGCGATGGCCTCGCCAATCTTCCCCCAGTCCCAGACACCCTCCATCTGCTGAGAATGCACAGCATGCAGCAGTCTCCAAAGAACTCCTAGGAATTTCTGTCTCACCTCCTTTCTTCCTTCTCCATTCACCTGTCCCTCTCGCAGTTCCTCGAACAAACTCAAACAATTCCGGGCCAATGTTCTCTCCATCGTCTCTTTAACACTCCCTTTACCACTGCTGATCAGTCTGTGATTCTTGTAAAACGTCGTCAAGAACTCCAGAGCCTGTCCCCTCCTGAACGATCTTATGCTCCCATCGAATGCATAATCCACAATGAGAGGCACTAGCTCCCAGTTGCCCTCCCAATTTAACTGCAGAGCATTTCTGAACAACGTAGCCGGCAACACGCAATCTCTCTTTTTGAAGAAAGCTGTGAAATTCTCACCATAGAACCTGACTAGAGTGTCAGAGGCAAGACGAGCCTGCTGGACACATCTAATGAGAAAAGTGCAACACTCAGCTAATTTATCTCCCATCTCCTGGCAAATCAGGGTCGATCTCTCCCCCTTCTCCACGAGGAGTTTCCCCAGGTCCTCTATCAACTGCTCATCCACCCCCTCTGTGTCCCTGAATTTCTTAACACCTGACAATTTCTTCAGACAAGATCTTACCCGGTTCTCTAGAGGTTTTTGATGACTATCTTTGATGCAAAATTCCAAAAGTGCAAACAGAGGAACGAGCATGTCGAGAGCTAGTGCCATGGATGGCTCAGAGTCCAGATAAATTTCAAGAAGATCCATCACCCGAACTCTGAAGTGGGTTAGAGCCTCTGCTGATTTTCCTTGTTTTTTATTTTTATTGGAACGATTCTCCCTGAGGATCTTGAAAGCAGCTGCCAAGGATTCGTCCAACCTTTTGCCCTCCTCCTCGTCGATATCGTCGATGTCGACGTCCTCGTCGTCAGTCTGGGCTGAGGCTTCCCCCAGGGCCTGTCGCACAGCTAGCCTCAACTTGTCTGTAATTGTCTCATCCTCGTCGACGTCATCATCGTCTGAAGCCTCTGACACCTCTTCCTCCTCGTCGGACTGCTCCTCCTCATCAGATTTATCGTCATCTGACTGATCCTCGTCGGACGACGAGTCGGAATCCCCTGAGCCCTTCCTCAGGGGTCCCTTGTCGTCTTTCGGATCCAGTGCTGCCAGGATCTGATGAATTGATGTGGATGTCAGCAGGGGACACACGTGAGGGAAGACACAGCGAACTAAAGATCTCAGTAAGTGACTGTTCCTGGAGAGCAATGAGAGCAGCAGATCAACGATCACCTCCACCCACACAGGCTCTTCATCCTCCGCCTGGGCATTCTGCTTCTTCGGGGATTTCGATGATTTTAATCGATCCGCACAGCAGTGGATCTCGTTGATAGCAGAAATTGCCATCTCTGGGTCTGAGAATAATTGGAGTCCCATGTTCAAGTCCATCGTGTAGAAGATGAGAACAGCGTGTTTATTCTTGAACGATTTCTCTGGCTTCTTGATGAAGGAGATAACCTTTTTCCAGGAGTCAACAGCAGTCTCTGGTAATGGCGTTCTCAAGTTCTTCGTTTTCTCATCAAAGAGTTCCTTATCGATTTGGGTTATCAACTCTGTGAGGACTGATTTTAGATCGTCGAGTTTTGGGAGCTTGTGGTCTAGGGCTCGATAAAAACTCTCCTTGAAGACAGGAGCCAGTTCTACCCCCACGTTGGACGTCTCACAAAGTCCCAGGGTGAACAGCAACTTGAGCTGCTCCAGTCGCCAGGACTGCTCCGAGGCGACTGCTGGGTGTCCCAATAATTTACTCAGCAATTGCCCCACGTATGTTCTCTCTGAATTTGTCCAAGGCTCTTCTCTCTCCTTAATTCTCTTCATAACTGAATTCGACACGATTTCGTTGTAAAACTTCGAGAGCTTCTTGACTCCATTCGTATCCAGGTTGGAGGTAATCATCTGGAGAATTTTTGTCCCCGTGATCTTCTCGATCATCAAGTCCCCTGGATGCATCACGAGCTTCTTGATAACTGATATCGCTGTCTTGGATTTTAATTCTTTGTCGTCCAATTGAGTCACCAGGTGACTGAGGAATTTTTTGAAGGCATTCGCTACGTCGTCGTGCTTGTTTCTCTTGTTGCTGGTGAATCTCTTCAGCATGTGATGGAGGAAATTCGGAGTGAGAAGGGCGGGCAGGAGGGTCTTGTCCTTGATGTTGGTGACGATGAGATTGAGGATCTCGAGGGACAGATGCTCGATGGTTCTCGATGGCTTGACGAAACGTTTATCCAGACCTGTCCAGAAGGGGATGAGGTAGTTAGAGGAGACCAGCTGCTCGCAGAAAATGGGGTACAGGGGATGACGGTGGCAGACTATCCTCGGAATGTCTGTCAGGAGCTTCAGCTGGCTGTCCAGAGATTTTTCATCGATTATTGAGTCCGTCCCGAGGTGCTCCCTGAGGAATTTCTTGTTGACGAGAGTGGGAAATTTGGTCGACATTATCAGAAGAGTGTAGAAGGTGTCAAGGGTCTGCTCTGACCACGGTTTCCCCAGCTCCCTCTCCAGGATCGGCCAGATGCTGATCTTCAATGACTTTGGCGTCAGTTGATGGAGGAACTCCAGGAGGAAGGAGCTGCAGCTGAAGGAGAGGTAACTTCGTTTACTCCCAGCCTGGAGTAGTATCTCGATCACCTTCTGCTGGAAGTCTGGAGGCGAAGACTCCAGAAGTTTTGAACGTATGAGGGAACCGCAGAAGAGAATTCTCCCCATGAAGATATCGGCGTTCTCACTCTTGGAATTGTGACCTGAAGACTTTAACTCTGTCTCCATCGTCTCCAGGAGAGAGTTCACCTCAGTTTCTGGATGGAGCTTCAGGTAAGCTGTCAAGGTGGCATAAAAACCCCTCCTGGAAGAGAGACGAGAGCCTCCTAGACCCCGAATGAGGCGTCTCAAGGAATAATCCAGCTCTTTACTCTCTGGATCGTCCTGGAAAGAGATAAAATTCCGGAAATTCTATTACGTCTATTAAAATTCCAGGAACATTTCGTTTTAATTCAGAACATTCTTGATATTTGTTGATTCTACTAATATTAATATTCATATTGAAATTTCTCAGAATAAAACTGTTCAATTCGTAATAAACGAGTGTTAGAGGTTACTCACGCTCTTCTGCTGCGACAAATGCCTCAACAATGTTGTTCCACCCTCAACCCTCGTCTTCTCATCTTCAGAAGTTAATTTGGTGAAACTATCAAGCACAGATGTCCCCATTTTTCTATATTTCTGTGGATTTTCATCCTTATTACAATTATAATCACTCGAGGCCGATTCCATGTCGACCATGTGCATCAAAAAATCAAAATCTGTCCTTCTTCAACACATGGTGTTTTACAGCTAACTTCAAACAACTTCAGTCAGCATTGAGTTGCCCAACCTAACCCCTGAAGTTCCTCCCCCATCTTCAAGTAGTCTTGACATAATTGTCGGCTTTGTCTTGTTATAGTTTATTTACATAACAACTTTTTAGAATTTATGTCGTAAATATGGGATCATTACCTCCTCTTCAGGAGTACCTCTGCGCTTATTAATAACCGATAATTCATCTTAGACGAGTGTAAATAGGGCACATGTCATCAACAACTCATAATACACACAACAAACATGGTCTCGACCGTTGTGGGTTTGTTGATGAGCTCCAGCAGCTTCTTTTACACATTTCACGTGCTCTACAATTTCATGTACTTCACGTCTTCCCAGAGTTACAATAAAGAAAGCACAAACACCCCCACAGGTAATTCCACGATTTTATTTCAATTGATCATGTTTAACTACTCATTTAATTATTTCCTCCAGAGGAAGACGAATACCTCATAATCATCTGGGGCCTGATGGTAAACACTTGTCTGCTGAGTGTTTTCATGTTGCAGCACTCGTTCATGTGCAGTAAATCTGTCAAACAATTTTACGATAAGCTTTGCATCTTGGAATTAGAGAGAAGTATCTACAATGCAGCAAGTGCTGCAGCTCTGCACTTGATACTGGAAAATTGGCAGGTGATCCCGTTTTTCTCGTTATGGCACATCGACACGTCTGTCAACTATAAATTGTGGCTCGTGTTCTCGGGGTTCCACTTTCTCGCGTGGTTCGTCATCTACAGTGGATGTGTCATGCTGGATATATCTGAGTTGACAGGGCTGAAGCAGGTCTGGTACAAAATATCCAACAGGCCCTGTCCAATGTCCACTAAGTCCAGGGAATATCAACGGTATCTTCTGCACATGAGACACCCCAGCTTCACTGCGTTTCTCATTATATTGTGGATTCATCCTCTCATGACGTGAGTTTCTAATGCGTGATTCCATTTTTTTTAAGTAATTTTGTCATTGTACTTGTGATAATTCCACATTTTTTTTTTTCAGAATTGACAGATTTCTCATGGCTTCGATAATCACCATTTATATGCTGGTAATGTGGACCATTGACGAAGCAGATTATAATTATCATGCCATGAATGTTGATAGAAAGCGAAGGGAATTATTCTGATTTTTTTTACGATTCAAGGGGTTCGTTCCATTTATTGCGTCACAATATTTTCATATTAACTGTTTATTTCCCAAGCTTTCTCAAACCGTTGACGTTCCTAAATGCAATACGGGAATTATTTCTCAAGTTTAATTCATGGACGAGTGCAAAAAATTGCTTGGTGCTGATTGCGCTGTTGAATTGATTTTTTATGTGTTCAATTATAATTTCTCTTGTCATTACGATTACTTAAGGATTAAGTAGTGCCTTTGTAAATAAACGTTTATACATATTCCCACAGATGTAATTTATTCCTTTTAACGACTTCTGAGCTGAAACACTCGCTTGGTAATAAATAGACTGCAATTTTGTGAAATTACAAGTGAACCTGTTCTCTAAATGAGAACAGCAATTTTCCCGTGAATTTCCACAACAAATTGATCACATCTCTAGGCATCATCAATTCTGTTGAGAATAGCCTCCTGATTAGCCTCGGAGGTCGCCCTCCCTGAAATATTCATCAGTTCCTGGGAGTATGCGAACGCCCCCAGACCCTCGATCAATGTCAAAGTGATTCTGACATCCGGTTTGAACTTGTAATTCAATATCGCTTCAACCTCGAGCCAGTGGCGTCTCCGCAGATGTTTATTCCTCAAGCAACTGATCGTTGGTAATTTGTCTCGGACCTGTCCAACATTTTCCTTCAAATTCAAAACGATGGGCCTGCGACCGAGACCCGTCTCCAGCTCTCCGACATTATCCTTCAGCTGGTCAGTCGTCTGCGTCATCTCTTCGGGATTCAAATCCCGGAAATCTCCCTCGTACCATCGCCGAGAGCTCTCCTCCCAGAGGAGTATGCACTCCCACAACAGAATTCGCAAATGAATTTCGCGGCGCACCAGGTCCAGGATGTCCAGTCTGATTGTCTCCAGGTCGAAGGACTTCTGATAGTCTTGGTACTTGTCCACTATTTTTATACATTCCTGGAGATTCGAGTCCAAGTCTTTCAGAGTCTTCAGGCAAATTGCGGGTTCACTCGCAGGATCGAGCAGCCACGATTCCTGGTATTTCCATTTTAAATTAAAATTCAATCCACTAATCATAGCAGAAAGGGCCGGAATTAAAAAAAAAAACAAAAAATCCACTAATCATTCAATTAAAAACTCACTGATATTAATTCATTGATGACTGATACATCATCCGTTAATTTCCTCACGTCATTACTGATTTGTTCATTAAATTTTGCTATCAAGTCGTCGCGTTTTTTCAGCCGGTCAGCGACAGCAATTTTTAAACTCGTCAGAGCAACGTTGATCATCTAATATAATCAATAAATTCATTATTCAATATCCTGCATTTTTTCTGAAGTCATATAAATTTTTGTAAAATTAAAAAAACGCAGGAAAATTATTGCCCGATCATAATATTTCTGGAGACTAGTAATTAGTCTGAAAACAATTAATCAATTTTTCACCAGATAATTAGCGAAATCCTCAGGATCCACTGGAATGGCGAATTCCTCCGTGATATCGTACAGGTCCTTAACGTAATCTCCATCGATTTCCATGGAATCAATCCTCCGTTGTGCGTCATTGATAAATTCAACGTAATTCGCAAAACAATCTGCTGTTGTTGGATCAGTGTCAAGGTAAGTAGTGTCGTCTAATATCTTGGACAGGAGAATATCAACTTTGGACTTTCCAATTCTATTTATAAAGCAATAAAAAAATAATGAGACGATAAAAAAAGGGCTCAATAAATAATGTACTTGGGTATGACATCCGCAATGATCCCACGATTATAAAACAGAAGAGATAACGCCTGAGTTTTTAATCCATCCAGGTGCACCATGAAAATTCCGAGGACCTGAGTGTCGACAATTTCCTCGATCTCCTCTTCCTTCTCTCTGTACTCGGTACACCAATTTCTAAATACCTCAATCGACTCGTTCCCTCGGATAATTTCTTCCGTACACGCTCTCATGCTCTTGTAAAATGTCTCTATGACCCCGAAACGCTTGCAGAATAGATCCACTGCGTTGGTGTTCAAGTTCAGTTCTTTCGTCAGCTCTTCTTTATAATTCTGAATGGGCAGACTGTTTTTTATGATATTCGACAGACGCTCAGCGTCCCCCACACGAGATTTCGAATATCCGCAGGGAATTACAGATCTAGCAATCGAATAATTCATGTACACCCGTTAATTATCGAATTATTAGGATCATTACCCCAAAGAATTGTCGAAACGCACAGACGACGGATGAGACTCCAGGATTTCTCTCAAACACTTTTCCCAGTGATTTTGAATTTTACTGATAATTAAATGAAATATTTTCAAAGCGGGATCGATCGCGACGTCGCCGGTATCATTCGATAAAATCATATCGATCTCGATATAAGACTGAAAAAATAAAACTGAAATGTACCGATAAGAAATCGCCAGTAATTACCAGTAATTGCCCGTAATTATTTTCCGTAAGTATTTTCCTTTCTAAATTAAATTTCTCGGCCATAAAAATAATACCCTGACATCCAAATCGAAGACTTGATCATCTCCATCGGCTCCATCGAGCTTCTCATCACTCTTCAATCGCTCTTCATCAGGTAATAATTTCGTGCAGCTGGTTATCACGTTCAAAAACTCGAAATACGTATTCTCAAGTAATTTCATCAGCAAGAAAATGCTTATGTAATCGGCGAGACCAATGAAACTGCAATATCCGAAAATAAGATTGTTTGGTGAGAGCAATGAGCAATTGTGCCCCAGGGAATTTCCACTTCATAAATAAGAATAAATATTTTTTCAATGTTAAATAATTGAAAAATCTACAACAATATCTGCAACCCCCGGGCGTTTGAATAATTGCTACCGGGACAGCCTGTCGATTTTATTCCTCCTCCTGGCTTCCTGGATAAAACTCATACTCGAGTCCTCTTCCTTTCTAGCCCCAACACCTCCAGAAATATTTAGGTACCCATCACCTGCCAGGGAATTCACGCAGGCATCAATCAGAGTATCCACCGCTGATCCCCTCAAGACCTTCAATTTCTCCTTCATGTCCTCAATTTTCGTAAACTGAATGAAAACTGGTTAATTATCTTGAGAAATTCATCACCTCTGATTCTATAATAGATTTATAATTTTTATTCATTTAATAATCTATTTTAATATAATATGATTGAGGTTAATAATTTATATGATATAATAATAAAAATGGTGTATAATAATAAAAACAAATTGAATTGATAAAAACCTGAATTTCAACGAAATGAAAAACCGTTTCTTCTTTGGAACGTGACAATTTGATAAAATTACTCTCGGCGAGGATCCATTGGAGGTCTAGGGCTCTCATAAGGGCCGTCCTGAGCCCCTCCTCGCACAGGAACAAATTATCCTGGATAAATTTCATGGCACGTGTAATCCTCGCTGTTATTATCGTCCTCCTCCAGACGTAAAACGCCTTCCACGTTCGATAAACGCGGAATAATTTCAGTTCGACAAGTATCAGATATTTTTTATACTCTCGATTCCACATCGATAACGGTGTAAATGTCATCTCACCAGGTATATGCAGTGTTACACCACTAGCACTTACAGTCATGTAACACTGATTGACATCTCTGTGCGAGACGAGCCTGCATCGGGTAATTAAATCGGGAATCAATTAATCGATACGTCCACGAGAGTGCGAATAGAAATGTGAGACTATTTCGATATTAATTAATCGAATATCTCCAAACAACGGAGTAATTAACTCGAGAGATTAATCCATCACAATTTTTTTCATTTTCAAATCACAAAAACAATGAAAAATAATTCACAGTAATTTTTATAATTGGTAATATTGTAATTATTGTTGAACAAATAGTTGATAAAATTGAGGAAATTAATTTGTAAATGAATTTGGAAATGAATATGTTCATTCACCTACGAAAACACTTAATTCTCCTTCCCAGTTCTATTTTAATGTAATGTACGGGTGACTCGGTGTAATAAAAAATAACAGTAATTCAAATATAGAACAACTCGAATACTTAAGTTAGACTGAATGACAACAAACTTGTAGGTGTAGGGTGCGAAGAGCTTGGAGGATCTCTTGAACGCGTGTCTTATGTAAACGAATCGACCTGTGCGATCTCCACTGACAAGAGCAGATACTTCCAGAGGATTTAATTCACCATCTCGAGGACCCCATCCATCAACATTTCCCCCCATTTTCACTAATTAAATTCAACTAGAGTTGTTAAAACTGGGTCAAATGTACGAGCGTTGAATCAAATTACAGAATTCATTTCATTGGTTTAATTGTTACCCCGGTCAATCGAACTCGAATTTTTCAATTAATAAGTTCTTCAATTTGCGGTTAATGTCACAATGGGCGATCGATAATGCAAATTATTGCTGTTCATGGATTTTTTAGTTCAATCGATGCAACTGTTTCTCGAGAAGTTCTTTTGTCTCTAGTTCTCTCGCTATCGATTTCAGTATTTCATTTTTTATATCAAATTATATTTAGAATGATTAGAATGGATTCTTTAAATAAATTCTCCCAACTCTATTTACCGATGAGTTTCGGTAATTAGAATAATTATAAGTGGCTCGAGTAAAATCGGATCGATTGACTCATTTCCCTTTGGATTTAACAATCTCTTCACAAAAAACGTCAGTTATTGTGGAATTCATTACATCGAAGTTATAATCAACCAATTGAATAATTAATAACTAGCGCAATTGCAAGGGCGATGTATTCTTCAATCAATGTTTCCCCAAGAGTTTATTTCTTCCCCTTCGATTAATAACTTTCCCCTCTGACGCAAAATCCCTGAATTACAGAAACTCCCACCGAACTTTATTTCCCCTTCAGAATAATTCACCAATCAATCCCTCCACTTATTATTATTCCATTATCGCCCATCCTTATCAAAGTTATTATCAAAATAAATAATGTAAAACCAGAATTATCCGGAGTGACGTAATTATTCCCTTAAACGTGTAAAAATTCCTGAAAACTCCCACAAACTCGACAATTCATCATTCCACATACGTAACTCTTCAACAATCGATATCCATTTATTTAAAAAAACCACACAATAAAAAGTTTAAAATTCCAAAACCTGTCAAATTTCCCGCGCAATTTTCCGTTTGAATTCGTGTATGATAGAAAAAATGTAAATAGAAAGAAAAAAAAATCAAAATATTTCTTTTTAAATGCACTTAGATGTGCCCGATGATACATGCACATATTACGAGGAAAATATTGCGCACGCAGGCGCAAGTGGTCGATTCGATGATTGGTACGGGCGGGGGTTCGAAATGGTCGATATTTTAGCTGTAGCGCCCGCTACAGTGGTGCGACGACGCTTAAACCGAGGGCCAGTTTGCTTAAAACCCTATTAAAAAAAAAAAGTAAAATCCAAGTAATCATCACGGAGAGTAAGAAACCAAGAAAAAAATCACCACCGATTTCCTATTTTTTTAATTTTTTTGTAGTGAGGTAAATAAAACACAATTGCACCTCGAGTTATAACAGACTACCCGAGGATACTCGTGCGCCTGTCATAATCCCCAGCAATAATCCAGTGTTCGAGGTAATTATTAACAATTCCCATTGACCCAGTGAATTAAATTTTCCATTAACAATTGTATAATCGAATAAATCGGTGGGAGAGGAAATAAATCCCCGGAATTTCGTGGAATTTTGGGGAATTTCGGGGAATTGGTGATGGTTTCGAGACGTACGTCATGATCAGCATCGGACGTCATTAATGCTGGATAACATGGGTATGGGGAGGATTTGGTATTTATACATCTGTCAATATTTGGTGATGGTGATCGTTGATTTTGATCTCTGGTTGTGAGGAATACTGAATGAATTTTAGTGTTTTAGGCTCAGGCCCTGCCTTCATCTATCGATTTTCTCATTCACTCGGCAATACACATCACTCAAGGCTCTCCATACTTTCCTGTACCTATCCGACAAGCATGACCGATTTATTATCGCCCACATTTATTTCACGCAATTGTTTATCATTTGCCACAGCATTGATAACTCGTTTTAACGTGCACTTCCGGGGAGTACGATACGTTTGGATTGAAAAGTAGTTCACCGCTATCACCTCCATTTCCTTCTGACACTGTTTTCCTTGGGTATTGATACCACGAAAAAATTCAGGCTCTTATCGTCTCGAACTTGAACTTCTGGGGGATGGATGAGGTGACGAGGGTCCATCAATTTCAGTATTGATTAATCCTCAATCAGACCGAGATGTTGGAAAAATTCTGAGAGAAAAATTGAAGCGGCTAAAATTTCATGGGAAAATTGGAGTCCAAGGTTTTATTAAAAATTCCACAGCTACTCCCCAGCTTTTCCCTTTTTTTATTGTAATTTTTTTACTGCATTCTTCACTGCAATTCGACAAGAATTCTGGGAATTGTATGTCCTGGGATGCATTTTCCCGGGAAAATTCTGGTATGCCATATTTTTATTGAATATTCTGCGGATTTTGGATTTTTTTTCGAGACGTGGGATATTTTTTTGAGAACTTGAAGGACTTGATGAATGAATTTTCTCTCGGTAATTCACTCCCTTGAGACGTAAGATCGTTTGCTCAAGTGGTTTCTTTCGGTTGATTAATGCGCCTGTTGACAACGGTAAATGCCCTACCAGGTGACCAATTGAATTGAGAATAGTGCGATAAGAAAAAGTCGTTAGAACAACGAGCAGGTGAATACAATCGCCACAAGAGTCTTTCCTCCCGAGGATAACGTGCAAAATAATTTTCAGTTCTTATCGAATTGAATTAAGAGTCCCATCCAATTGTTTACCAAAAAATTAAATAATTTGTGGACAACTCGTGTAAATCCCAGAGCAATCGATAACAATGAAAACGTGGTTCGAGAGGAAAACTTCCGATACGAATGAAAAATCGAGAGAATCTCGTCTGAATCTCCGTACGAAGATGGCACGAATGATATCTATAATCGAGATAACCCACTCGGTATTCAATTGAAATAAAATTCACAAAGTTATTGTTTATATAATATAACGTACTATAAATTTATTGTGACCCCGACAATCAATATTGCTCTACATTAAATTAATGGTGACCTTGTTTGATATTAACAGATGGCAGTGCAGGATCCAAAGTGGCAAAAAGATGCTGCGGACCAGAATTTCGATTACATGTTCAAACTCCTGATTATCGGCAATTCATCAGTGGGAAAAACATCGTTTTTATTTCGTTATGCTGACGACTCGTTCACGTCGGCGTTCGTTTCCACCGTCGGTATTGACTTCAAAGTCAAAACTGTCTTCAGGCACGATAAGAGAGTTAAACTTCAAATATGGGTCAGTGAGATATTCATTAACTCGTTAATCATTTTTTCAAATATCATTTGTCATTAAATTAATGTAAAATACATGAAGAGAATTTTTTATTCTTGCGTTGAGTACTAATTATTGGTTAATGAGGATTATTTAATGTTCAGGACACTGCCGGACAGGAGCGATATAGAACTATTACGACAGCCTATTACCGCGGTGCGATGGGTTTTATTTTAATGTACGATATTACCAATGAGGAATCATTCAACTCAGTTCAGGATTGGATCACGCAGATTAAAACTTATTCATGGGATAATGCTCAAGTTATTCTTGTTGGTAATAAATGTGACATGGAGGATGAACGGGTCATAAGTTTTGAACGGGGTAAACAGTTGGCAGAGCAACTCAATGTACAGTTCTTTGAGACATCGGCGAAGGAGAACATCAATGTCAAGGTATAAATTTTCTATTCAAGTCCCCAAATATTCTTCAGCGTGAAAAAATCCGGAAGTAACACCTTCTTTTAAAACTACCCGAGTCCCATCAATTCCTCTCTTTAATTCCACTGCTCAATATTTCTTAAAATTTACGTCACAGAATTATCGATATTTTTAATTATGTCAGTGTCAATTAGATTTTGATAATTGACAATTGACAATTGTCACTGAATTATTATTATTGTTTTTATTGTATTTTTCGGTGGTATATATTTGAATTGCTGGAAGGTTTTGATAATTTTTTTATATTGAATTGTCCTTCAGGCGGTGTTTGAACAGCTCGTCGACATAATCTGCGATAAGATGAGTGAATCCTTAGATAATGATCCAACTCTGATGGCTGGTGGTGCAGGCCAGGCCAAGGGCCAAAAATTAACCGATCAACCGGCGAATCCTGCTTCGACTAACTGTAATTGCTAAAGATGTTCCAAAAAAAGTAAATGCATATATCCGTGCATTATTAGATGTGAAAAAAATGTTTAAAAGGGAAAAAAATTGAAGCGACACGCGAGCGATCACAGAGAATAGATCGTAGCGTATGCATGTTGATGAACCACCTGATCAAACTAGTTTATTCTACTCGGGTTTTGACATTATGTTTTTTCGTTGACATTTCAACACTCTCCGACTATTAAAATCCATGATTAGGGACTCGAATCACCGAAATTCCTTTTTGTACGGATTATTTACCTGTTATCACATTTTTTTTACATGAGAAAAATAATATAACAAATTGACGACTGCATCGCGCATTAAAACAAGTTGATACCAATGGGCATATCTTCTTTTTAATTATCTCCAATTGTTTAAATAGCGAAAAACCACGAAGTGGTGGAGCAAGTTTTAGTGCGAACGACAGCAATATATCCATTTCCACTTTGAAAAAATCACCGAATTATTTCAATGATTTACCCACGTCAGAATAATTTATCATCGAGACACGACACTTGACAGCAATTGAGACAGCTTCTCGGGAGTAATGATCTGTAAAAAAATCCAAAGATGTCAATTAACTCCAGTAATTAATGATAAAGCCTAAACCACGAGAATTGTCGTGTGCAAAAAAACTTGAGCCACCTACTCCAATTAGAACCAAATAAATGCCCTCTGTATATATATAATTACAACTATTATTATGATTAATTGTGTAACGAGGTGTATTGTACGCGTTAATAATCTGTGTGAATTTTATGGGACCGATTTTAGTGGCAAAATCAGCAATGATTAGATATCAATGAGAGTTGGTGCATAATAAAGTGATTAAAAAAAATGCTATGAAATTTTCTGCATCACGATTATTACAGGATTACCTATGATTATATTATATAAATACACTATGTATGTTGATGACCCGATTGAACATAAAAAAAATCCATTCCGATCATAATAATTAACTGCAGAGAGCACACCGGTGTAAAGAGGGCTAATTGCCCGTGACGATTAGAGATAATTATTTAACCGGAGTACATTCATTCAATATTATTCTGGTAATTCATGAAATTACTTACTCGGAGGAATTATTGAATGATGGAGACGGTGAGAGAGAGTGAGTTTGGTGGTAGGACACGTGTATGTATGTATTGTATCGTATGTAACTATCATGCCTAATGTTATTGAAAGACAAAACAATAATGTATTACGAGAAATAAAAAGGTAAATAATTTACTTCGGTATTTGTTGTATTCATTATTTCAGGTATCTAGGAATTTTTAAATAAATGTTTAAATCCATCACAATAATTAAATCTTCTTCGATTCATAGACATAGTTAAAAAATTAATGGCTCAATTAAAGTGAGGGATGGAGTTTTAATGAATCATTGCGCTCAGTGCGCAATGTTAATTCGGGGTTATTGGTGAAATGTTATGGGGGTATTTCAATAATCGAATGGAATCGTTGAGCTGAAATCGATTGGATTAAATCACATCGATCGTGCAGATGATACAGCGCACGTTATCTATTCATTATTTTCCCTCGGAGGATACGATTGAGTGATTAAAATAATTGCTCCATAATTCTGAATGGCTGGGGATAGAGGAGGGATTTTAAAAAGTGGTGATCCGTAAAGCGGTTATCGTCAAAGGTCTTGAGATTAATCATCCCTTCGCGGTTCAGAGAACTTTCTCAGACCATTAACATTATTACCGCACTCTCGGAGTTCTCATGGATTCGTTCCTCCTCCCACAACAATAAAACCTGGGACAATGTATTTTATACATTCGGTTGGCACTCACCAACTTTTCGGTTTTCGTCATGATTCAGACGACCAAGACGTCAGCCAAAATCGTTCCGCGGAATAGTAAGAATTTTAGTCTTGAAGTTTCAATTGAAGATCTTGAGATATTTTATTAATACAGATTTTCATTGGATTTCACGGGTGGAAAATGGGAGGAAAGTGCTTGGAAATTTCTGTCGACTTTTTTATTGACGAATCATTTGATTTCCTGAATATTCGGGGAATTTTCCATTTTCGGGTCTAGTGACACGGAAAAATCGTGGAAATGTTGAAAATTCAAGTTTTCAGTGAATTTTCAATAATATTTCGATTATTGTTAATTCCCGATACTAAAAAAGTTTATATTTAACAAACTTCAAATACCAAAAATAGTATAAAACATCTCCGACTCCAATTTTCCCTCAAATCGATAAAAACCATAACTTCAAACAGAAAAGTCAATACTTAATAAATGATTCACGGAAATAGATAAAAATCTGGGAATTTCGAAAAGCGATCGATGAAACAAAACAAGTGGATAAAATCTAAAAACGAGAAAAACAATAAACCTGCCAAATTGCAACATCCAAAAATACATTCTATATTATTATCATCATTATTTAATCGAATATATACGAATCACATATCAATTATATACCATACGCATTTACATCAAAGACAGAGACTTAATACATAATAATAAAATAAAAAATTTAAAAAACTCAGAAAAACGCAAAAATAAAATGGAAATAATTTTGTCTTCCGAGTGGTCGAGGTATTGGTATTGAACACCCGAATTACTGAACATCCCGTAGATATATAAGTTAATGAATAAAGCACGGATGATCGGAAGGTCGGCTGGATGCACGTGGCCGACAGTAGGTGTGCAATTGAAGTGGGGGAATACCGAAAGTTTAACGCGTGCGCAAGTTAATGTTACCGAAAATAAAATTCTTCAATTTACATTGCCTCCCCCGGATGGAATTTATTTATTATTTCAGTGACACGTAGGATATTGCGTGAATAAAATGATGATGCAGTGTCATTTCGTCTCAACATCAGAATTACCGATTCCACCGCAATAACACAATTCGAGTAATTAATTAATTATTTGTGAAAATAACTGGTAATTGGGCATTGATATTGTTTGAGGAGTGGTGGGGGATGCTGACACGTATTAAAATGGAGGGGAATTTAAAAAAATAAAGAGCATCAGTGGAATATGTGCTTGAGAAGACAGATGGGCTGATAGCTGTTGTTTCCCCAAGTCGGTTGGCACTAGAGTCAGTAGTGCGCGGAATCCCGAACAGGGAGGACCGTTCTTCGTTATCACTGAAAATTCAGCACGAGTCAACCCTCCGATAGTGTATTATCACCAGAGGTACATACGATCATTTAAATCAATAATAATTATCCAACGAAATGATCACCCACCGTTAGATCCCCCGAATCCCCAAATTCCCCAACAATTGCTTCAATTTTTTTAATTACTCTCACTCCTTAATTACATCCCTCAATTCTCCTCCAGCAATATCTCTATGTATTCCGTTATTTACTAGTGTATTGCTAGTGGTCATGTCGTCACTATATATAGCCAAAGTATAATTAAATCCTCTTAGAGTATTGCCAAGAGCTCGAGGCTTTTCTCCCTAGACTCGATGAAGTCCGATTAAAACACGGGATAATTATTTAACGTTTGGTAAATAAAAATCTTTCTCGCTGGAGCAACGCCTGATCCACGATATTGATTGTATCTGATGGGGGATGGTGATTGACCTTTGGTTGAACATTTATTTCGTTGCTTTCCGCAATTTCGAGGGATCGGGTGAATTTTTATGAATGTGAAATTCCCGCTTGGAAATAAATCGTTGATACCGCGGAAATTATGTAATATCAATCGGCACTGGGATTGTTTGGGAAAAAAAAAAACATTGATGGATACGAGTGGGAGATCAAGTGTTGGTTTATTTTTGGAACATCGGGCTTAACACTGTTGCCAGTACTTTGACTTGTAAAATTTTGTCTACCTCTTGGGGACTCGATCCAACATTTCCCCAAGATACGTTGGAGCTGGGGCTCGTCCTAATGACTTCCTAATTTCATTTTACCGATGTTCTTGGCTGCTTTCATTCGGTATAAATAGGATAGCGATGAATTGAGGTCAAAGATCGACGGTTTAACCTGATTTGGGGAATTCAGAGGCGAATCTCACCCGCAAAAATATACGAGTAATTAATCTAATACCGATCTACGTCGAGTTCTCCCGTCGATGCTCCAACTTCGGAAAATCGGATTGTCTAATCGAATTCGTTGTTCTCTCTGAGGATTATTCCTCAACTCCCGATTTTCCTTTTGGTGGGGACTTCCGCCCACAATCAACCCGAATGACATACAGCAGTAAATAATCTGCACTTAACGAAATTACATTTTTTACAGAAGATATATTATTTTTCTCCCCTCTTTTGTTATTATTCAATCCATTATTTATAGATTTTTCCACGATACCATCGATTTTCAAGAAAATATCCTTGAAATGCACATAAAAAATTTTTTTTTTAATCTATAAACAAATTATTATTCAAATCAGTCTATAATAGTTATAAAAAAATGATGCAAATGAGATAGTTCATTTATTTAGATATGGACATGTTTAAATCAATTCCGATAATTGATGTTCCAGGAAAATAACAATGTAGCCCCCCGCGTACCCTGCGAGCCCCCCCCGCACCAACGCAAGTGTAACAACCCCCAGAAAAATTCCCCCCGTCAGCGACAATGTCCTTCAAGTGCACCCTAAGTGAATCACCCAAAAATCAAAAAACAATAAAAAACAGTCGCTCACACCCCGAAATAATGAACGATGAATATAATCGTGATGTCTGGACACCCCAAGAATACCAAAAGGTACATGAATTATCCAAGGACTCTGTGCGGGGATGTACGTTATTTACCCGGCGGAGGAGCTTCTTAAAATCTACGAGAATCCAATTCGTTCGCTGAATAATACCCAAATAAATTCAATAAATCACGAGGCGACTATTTCCAAAGACCTAAACATTGTGTGTCAAAAAAATATCAACAAAGTACGGGCAAGAAGTGTAAAGAGTTGGCGTTATTTGGTGTTTGAATCCAGAGCAAACGAAAACCCGAGGAGCAATCCAATTATGCAAAACAATCGGAGTAACGGTGAGGAGGGTACCAACCCTCTCAAGGAATTGACACATGCCACCCTCAATGAATCTCTCAAGCAGCACAATGGCAACGCTCTCAAACTCGTACAGACCGGTGAGTACTGAGGACAATTGCTTGTGTTATTTTCAGCCACACGTACCACATAATCATCCAGGATGTGAGAATTCTTTTACAAAGGTATGATTCAGGTGAGAAATTAACAGGCACTCACAAAACTCATCAGCAACATCAGCCCAATCAGCCCCATTCAGCCCCATTCAGCCCAATCAGCCCCATTCAGCCCCATTCAGCCCCATCAGCCCCATCAGCCCCTGCGACCCCATCAACTCCATCAACTCCATCAATCCCACCATCCCCTTTATCCCCCTCATCCCCCTCATCCCCCTCATCCCCATCAGCACCATGTACAATGTACCTGGACACAAGGAGTGACCAGAAGTGGCCCTTTCACACCTGCCCACCTATACACTAAATATTACTTATTTAATAAAGCAAGGAGTCTGGTTGCTACGGTAACTGCGAGGTGAATAGGCAGGGTATTGATTCGCCCCACCTGAATTCAGGTCAACCCCTGACTAAACACGTTTTCTGTATGATATCCGACCCATGGAATTTCATCTTTTTTTTTTTTCTCACCCTCCCTGTCACCCTTTGTTTGTACATACGATACACTTCGTAGCATTAATATCGTGCGTGGCTTATGAATATAGGCCAAGAGGGAATCTAGTTATGCGCGACAACGGGGGGGCGATTTTTCCACCTTCTCGGTTAAATAGGCTCAGTCGGGGGGTAATTATGACTTGTCGACTTTATGAGTTATTGGATTGTCTTATTGATCCGTTCGTTTATTTTTATTTTACTGGACTGTCACGACTGGTGTTTTAGTTTTCAAAGTTTCAAGTCTTTATGGCAACTTGCTGGGAATCATGCCTTGGAATTCGTGGATATCTAAATTAATTCGGGATAATAATTCTGTTGATAAGATGAGGATGCACGTTTTGAGTATTGGAATATTTCCAGTGTCCGAGTTTGCTCAGGAGTTGGGCACTGCCATGGACATTCATGGTGCCAACATGCGTCGGTTGGTCGATGAATTTCGAAGCCGTTCAGGCGATATGAGAGGTGACATCGGTGGAATGAAAAGAATCTGGGAGAATTTATTGCGACAAGTTGAGACAGACGCCTCCTCCCACCTCGATCTAGCCACGACACTCAAACAACTGTCCCGACCGACCCTCGAGGCCAGTTTCCCCAAGAAACTACAATCGCGAAAGGTAATGAGAAATATCGTAATGTGAAATTTCAGGTGAATAATTGCCTGTAAAAAAATCCAGTGATTTCGATCAATATTCGTGAATCCAAACACAAAAACCCTTTCCTCCAAATCCAATTACAAAGAGATGAAATAGAAAAAAATGTTGTCACAAAAATATCGATATCCCCATCCGCGTAGATATTCCTGAATAGGAGAGAAAAAAAAAATAGATGACTTGAAAGCCCCCGAAATGCAATAACCGAACAAAATCCCCAGGTATTTGCTCATCGTGAGGCATACGATCAAGTGGTATCTAAAACGGAGGAAAAATTGAAAAAAGCCCGCCTCAACTACAAAAGGGCATACGATGGCTTTTTAAAATGCAGCATCGACAGCCCGAGTGTATCAGGTGCTGGAAGTGGTGATGACGAGTGGAGCACTCAACGTCGAGGTTACCTAGAGTCCCACAACGCCTACGTCCTCCAACTACACGCGACAAATGCCCTAAACGAGTACTACCAGATTCACTGTCTCCCGAGTCTTCTCGGTGAGATATCAGACATCTACGAGGAGTTGAGCAACATCGCGTGCAATTGTATCACTGGAATATCAGAGGCGAGTAATGAGAGAGCAGCTGAGCAATCACGACGTTATCAAGCCCTGACGAAGGAGGCACACGCCATTAGCCCCCAGAGTGATCTTCAATCGTTGGCGAGAAATTTATCATCGATAGCTGTCAGTAAAAAGCCCCCACGTCGGCTGTTCGTGGCGCCAGCACCAGCTGACCAACTTCCCACAGACAGAATAAACTCGGTGCCAATTCTGAAAGATGAAATTGTTCCAACTGGAGCACCACCAGCCCAGGATACATTCGAGGAGCTCCGACGAGAGGCTGACGATCTCACATTGAAAATCGGTAGACTCAGGGACTCCCTCGATGCATCAACTCGAATTCAGCGCAAGTAAGTTACATGTGTTATACACTTATTGGATATTAATGCACGTATGCCGTTTGGAAACCACAGCATAACTAATCTCATTAATGTACCTTTTGTTTTCGTAGGAGCGCCGAGGGAAGCCTCTTCACTAAAGTCGCTGAGTTACAGGAAGATATATCCATGAAACGCTTCGACCTTGGTGTTGCCAATTTGCATCTAGCTGCTGTGCAAGCTCAGGTAATTTTTTCTTTACTCCATTGTCATTATCTCGGACTCCTTCATATTTTGTCTATTTTCAGACTATTTATCCGTTGAGACGATCAATTTCAAGGAGCTTATCACTTTATAATAAATTAATCCATATCCAACACAATTATTTAAAAAAAATATATCATTCAATCCTCAAGTATTTCGTGGTATTAACAATCATTGAAACTCATGAACAATAAATAGAAGTCATTGAGAGGAATTTAAAATAATTGGCGACTCATAATCTGAGAGCAATTGAAAAATACTCCTCTCAGGAGTTATTATTGCAAGAGGGTAATTTATTCTATTTAAGGGAGAATATGAAGGAGTTATTTTTTTATTCAGTGTGATATTGTTATTTAGGGAGAATGTTAATTAGTTGTATATTGAACGGAATATCGGTACGTCTGATCGTGCACGGCCTTTTCCACTCGGTTGATGTCATTAACGATGAAGTGCTTAGGGAGTACGTACATTGTGTTAAATAAATTGATATCTCTGATCTGAAACGTGAATGCGATTTGATCAGGGTATTCTTCTCGGACAAAGGCCACTTGCCATCAATAATCCATCTCAAGTGTACCTCATTATTCCACAAATATCCAAACACTCTTGAATAAATAGAGCATTGTTGCCTCTCGATGTATAAAATATTAACACAAATAGAAAATACCGAGCAAATGAAATGATATTGTGCGCAATCATCGGTGTGACATGCGCTGTAACAACTGGGTCATATTCAACCTTTCTCGGGCTATTCTCATATCCACTGAGAATTTATCCCAGTGGTAGTGGCTGTCTAGGTCAGGGGAAAAAATCATCGATACCAGTTTTTAAATTTATTGGCATATTGTTATTGATAATCGAGATGGGTTGGACGACCCTGCGTACACGAATAGTTAGTAACAATGATATTTCATTTATTCAATGTGAATTTCAGTGGTTAAATGGAATATTGTGTTGATTATTGGGTCTTACCATTTGGTTTTACCACTGAATTGGAATTTGTTGTCTAGCAGGGCAGATGTGGGATTTATTGTTCAATGATTTATTGGTTGTTTGTTGAAATTACTCGTGATTTTGTTGAGGATAGAGTCTCAAGTTTTATTGGCTCAATGTGTTGTGTCTGCAGAAGGAACTTTTTGGTGCGAGTGACATGGGACCACTGGATGGCATCAACAATCGAAAAATGTCAAATGGATCCACTGGTAGCAACACTAAGCACAAGTGGCTCAAGGCTTTCAAGAGCCTCAAGACTAGTTCACCAACTGGCACATCTGCTGGGGACAAGTGAGTTGTTTTCCTTCTTGAGTAGATTGAGACTCCACGTTGGAATTAATCCACCTGTTTTGTTCCTGCTAACTTGTGTTAACGTACCTGCGGTTTTTTGTGTCAAAGAGGGAAGCAAACCATGTACCATGCTGTCTCCACGGTGGTTGCCATGTCGAGGTGATTAATTTTAATCTCATTGGGATTCATGGGGGTTCTCAAGAGATTTACTCTCTTGATGGGAAAAAAAGGACGAAGTGAGAAAATTGGGGGATTTTACGTCGCGTTGAGAGGAATTATTTATTAGGAATAATCTTCAATTATTTCACTCAATTGTAAAAAAAAGTCTGTAAAAAATTACAGAAAATTCATTGAAATTTCAAGGAGAAAGTCTTGAATTATTAATAACAACAATGTCACATGAAATTCCTATAGAATTAATTCATGATCGATTTAAAAATTGAAGTTTTAATGGAAAATTGAAGATTCAAATGAAATTTCTTGAAAACTCCGTGAAAATTCTGCTAGAAATATTTCTGTAGGTCAGATAGTCGGATAAAAATATGGAGAAGTCTGACCTTTACCCTCGGAATTGCAGAAAAAATTTGGAATCAGAAGGTGGACACCAGTGGCGCGAATACACATACCGTAAAATAACACCCTGCGATGGCTGCGGTCAAGTACTGCGTGGCCACAGTCGACAGGGATTGCGATGTCGGGGTTGTAAGGTCAATGCACATGCTGACTGCATAAGTCTCGTGCAACCGAGCAATTGTCCAAGTCTAGCACCAAAACGTGCCGGTGGTATTCCTTTACTGCGTCGTCAAAAGATGACAGCGCACGCCGATGAAACATTGACAGAGCACAGTGAGTAATGAATTTAATAATTCAATAATCACATCACGTCCACCAGCTAATGGAATTTCCAATTAACATTTTTTATTTATTGGCTCTAACGAGATGGCGATGATATTTTTTATTGGAGTTGTATCGCCCGAGGTGCACCCCCGGCGATTAATCAGATTTGTCTAACACTGAATGGCATTTTGTTCACACCATCCAGATTATTATTTTATTCAACTCAACACCCTTTATCGTGGATAAACAATCGATTGTTTTTCAGTTTCGCTTGATTGATCAGCTTATCGCTATTTAATACGGCATCATTATCCTCCAATTCCTGTCATTGTAATAATTCACGAACGATTCATATCATAGCGTATGGAAAAATGAAAGGATAAAATTATTCCCGTTAATGAGATGATGAGTGAAATGAAAATAGTGAATTTCTGATGATTTTTTTTTTCTACGAACTGCGTAATCCGAGTGTATCAGATGTTTAAAAAAATCGAGGCATTGATAGACACTCGTGACGATGTTCATAAATATCGTATACCCAGCAGGCGTGGATGCCACGTATCAGGTGCTGAAACAGGCAGGTGAAATCCGTGGTAACGCCACAAATTCACCACCAACACCTCCAACAGTAGATCATGCATCGAGTGGAGGTCCATTATCAACGAGGAGTGCAGCAACATCCCATCCTTGCTCCTCGTCCACTTCTGGTAAGACACACGTCCATCCAACCATTAATCAACCATTTCACCCTGTGCCATATCACTTGACATTTTACCACCGCAAGGGACACGACTCGTCCTCAGGGAGTGACTAAAAATAATCCGACAATAATCATCCACATTCGGCTATTTACATTGTCATTATTTATTATTACCCTCTCCTTCATTGCGTTTGTGCATTCGGTTTGGTATGCCATGGAGTTATCAGCTGTTTGGTCTGGTGATTTTTTAATTATACCCTCTGACCCCGGCTTTCCTACACTCTCACGGAAAATTCACCTCAATTCACGGCTGGGGAAGCAGTTAATTATATTTTTCATCCAGCTTATCAGTTGTATTTAGTTAAAGAGGAAATTAACAAGATTAATCAGAATTTTTTCAACTCATCTAGAGTTGTCGGGAATTGACTTTGATATCCGTTGAAATTTTAATTAGAGTATGAGAGGATGGGGCAAAATCGACGATTATCTTTTTTAATTCATTGATTAATTGAATTGTTTCAAGTATTAATTCATTATTTGTTAATCTGCGAAGAAGAAGTGGTTGATAAAACCGAAATATAATGATAAATGTTTTTTGAGATAAACGGTAAAGATTCGACTTTTTTCATCGATCAGTTTTTCGATAATATTTCCGAAACTAACGGAGATATCAAAGTTTTCGTCATAAACTTTCTTCGAGCTCTCGGCTCTCTCTATAAAAAAGGTGATAACAAAAATTTCATTATCCCCCATACTTTCGGAAATATTACCACTTTACTTCGCCTCAGGCTATGGCCTATTGCCAGAGATTCACTGCGGATTTTTCTCACAATAAATCCTGTTAATTGAAAATATCAGATTGAAAGGTGAATAATTATAATAATCGGAAGAACAATATTTGATATAAAAAATATTATTAATTGAAGACCTAGGGTCGATTTCACCCCCAAATTTAATCCTGAAAAATGTGACCTGATTGCTTGCAATTGGTTAGGGCGTGGTAGCGGTGGATCTACTTCGGGTACACGACCATTCGGCCAGCCCCTGGTTCTGATTGCCCCGACCACCTCAAACTCACCACCGGGTTCAGTCACAGCTTCCTCACCACTTCGTCGGAAACGCGATCCCAAAAACTGATGAATTGAGAAAAATGCGTTGATACCGCGATCGAATAAAATAGCTCGGGGCCCACCAGCCCCGACGAAGACAGCACCCCCGAGGAAGAGCCCCTACCATTACGTAGGAATCACCGTTGGTGAGGGAAAAAAAAAAATCCCCATCGGGGTGTTCAAATCCCTTAAAGATAAAAAATACTGGAGACTGGATATTGCCCAGTGCAATCAAAAAGTTGTTTCCTCTTCCCCCAATCTCCAAATATTGTCATTCCCATCACGTGGTCAAGACATTTACTCACCAAAAATAACTTTGCTAAGAAATATTCGATGATGACTTATGAACCGAGTCGTGTCCCCTCGATAAACACACCACAGAAAAATATAAAAGACATTTCTGCCCTGGAAATTTACTCTGCACAAGTAATTTTGTCATTTGAATAATTTTTTATGAGTACACTGTGAAAATATTACACCTGATATTTTTTTATTTAAAATATCATCAATTAAGCAAAATAAATAAAATAATCCTGGATATAATTCCACGGTGAATAAATTAAATAACTCAAATGGAGTCGTGGGAATAAAATTTTCTTTGGCATAAGTAATATTTTCTCAGTGCACTCAACGCACTCAACGCACAATTTCTCTCCCAATTATTTCCCGGTGTTTCCCATTTCCCATAGGTTGAAATCTCTCATGATGCGTATGCACATACCAGAAACACGCACGTACGAATGCCCATATATATGTAAATATGTGATACCCAGTGGCACGTTCTGGAGCCGTATATATTCGATTTGGTTAATTCCCGGATTACTTTCACCACATGTCTGTCATTTTTTCCACCCCCTAATCCCCACTTGTGATAGCGATGTGAACGTAATGAGTGTTCGAGGCTAATGTCGAACGTGCCAATCAGGTATTAATGACATACGTCCATTGAGACATAGATAAAAATAGGTGAATAGATATTCCTGTAGTGTCTAGACAGTAGTATAAACGATCGTATGAAAGAACTGAGACTCGATAGTTCATTCAAGTCAAGAGGTTCCCACATGTTATTATTTTCAAAACGGACATTTATCCAAATCAATGCGCAAATTATTCCCTGGGAAAATCATTTTTTGGAACAATCACTCGGAATTTTTTCTTCCCAAAAGAACAAATACCCGTTTATTCCAAATAATTATTTCCCTACAGAATGAAAAATTCATATTAATTACTCGTAATTGCAGAGTTGAGAGAAAAGTACGAAGACTTTTTCGGATTGAATTTCAATTTAAATTTTATGCTGAATAATCGTATAAATACTGTCCCCAATAAAAAGTATTTCAGCCTTTTTCTATGAATTTCTAAATGTGTAAAAATCACTCCAGAAAAATGATCCCCGAAAATCCGAAACAATAAAAAATTGAAATAGAATCCAAAAAAGTCCGATCCATATCTTTCACCTCAACTCCCGCGAAACGGATAAAAATTTCGCGTGGACTTGCCGATAAAACGTGGATAATTAGTGAATCCTCATGATTTCGAGTCTCTGATTCACGAACGATCAGTCGCACGTTAGACGACATCGAGCATCGAGCACAATTACGGTAGAAGGGCTGAACTCATAATAGATATCATGAAACACGAAGCGCCACACAGTCCGCAACGTAGAAGAGAGCGGCTGAACCTGAGGATGAAGAGCCTGAGTTTGGATTCACCGGAGGGCTCAGCACATGTCCGTCATCGTCCCCGGGATTACACACCTAATCATAAAGAGGGAACACCACCAAGACACTCGGACAGTAGTAGTATCAATCGACTGTGTAAGCAAAGCATTTCAATTCACATCAATGCATGATGTCACTGAAACGATCAAGGGGTTGATGGATGATTTACTGAGATGGGGGTTGAATGTTGATTTTAGCTCCATGCAGCTCGACACAAATGGCTCACAGACATGCACGTGGTGCTATTCGCATGTCCAGCATGGAACTACCCGATGATAACGACAAGTCGTACTCCTCAGCAAGCACATCGCCGTGCCCATCGCCTCACATGAACAATCAGAATCACCTGGCATTGCCTAATAAACGGGTGCTACCACCCAATAATCTTTACGTCGTTCTCTACAACTTCGAGGCTCGTCATCGAGATGAACTGGATCTCAAGTAATGTTTCGTCCATTTATTACATATTTAAACATAATCAAGTCATATGCACACAGTAAATAACAGAATTCTGTAGATTTTATTGGAGAATCGGAGAGTTAGAACATCAAACTTTTTTTTTTTAATAATGAAGAGCCTGATACGTTGACAGAATAAATTAAGGAATTAATAGGGAGTAATTAGGTACTATCTGATATCTTTTCCAATAGTTTTTATTAGTTGTCAACTGAAAATCCATCGTAATAGAAATTATGGTAGCCGTGAGCCGAAATTGACTAGTGGAAAATGTTCGTGTAAAGTTTTGAAGGTAGTGTTTAATCTGTCAGTAGGTAATTGACGTGAAGCCTCTGTAATAGGTTCTTGTAAATTCAACTCCTCACCCTCAGTCACATTACATTTCGGATAAACAATCACTCGACCCATTGTACACGGAAACAACACTTTATCACATTTCACTTCAATGTTTTTTCAACAACTTCACCGTTTAAATTGAAACGGGCGTTGTGACGCGCGAAACCGACGCTCAATGTCACTCGCACAAAGGCAACCGGAGCTTTTGGCACTTGACACCCACCCCCGAGCCCTTCTGTCATGTTGAATTGGTGCTCCCCGTGGCGCTGGAGAAAAGGAGAATTTGATTTTCATGGTAACACTATTTCTCAGAAAGATTCATTTTATCTCCGGTTTCAGGTGACCTAGTCGCTACAAAGAAACTCGAGGGATATTTTCCGATTCTTTTTATGCTCTGAGAGAATCGAGATGTTCCACTAGTCCAGTAGTTCCCCCCTGAGCTGGGTGCTCTTCTTGTATTCCAAAATTTTTGTATTTAAAAATTTCACCCAAGAAAAATAAGAATATTCTCCCTTTCACACGTCGTGACGGCTATTCCGTTGCAATTAAAATTGATATTTGATATGTTTAGTTTAATGATGGATTTTTTTTCATGACTTAAAAGGGCCGGGTATAAGGTGACGGTGATCGATAAATCGGAGAAGGATTGGTGGAAAGGTAAATGTCTCGGTGGTAGAGCTGGATATTTTCCCAGTGCCTACGTCATGCGGATTGAGTCTGGACAGAAAACCCTCCAGGTCACGAGGAACCTACAATTGGCTGATTCAGTCACCCTCTTGCGTGATCAGGTCAATCAAATAAATAATTAATATTGTTTCGTGTCGGAGTAACTGAATGAGGAAATGACTCAATTGCCATTTCCATTTTCCGGTATTTTCTGATGATGATTGACTGAATAATTTTTAATCACCAGATCGTGATTCAAGTTGGAGAAGAGATAGACGGTATAGCGATGGTGCGTTGTGCAGCCGATACTCGATCGTCAGGACACGTTACAGAAGAAGGTGATGTTCGTTCAAGAGATACCCTCTGTCCCGTTAAGTACCTGCAGGAGGTGTGACAGAAGCCTCCGAAAGTACCAAGCAAAGGTTCATACTCAAAGAGTCGATGGAACAATGATCTACACAGACCCAAGTCCTCAGATAAATATTACGACTGCCTCCAGTGTAACGAATATTGTCATCATGAAACGCCTGGGAACGATAGTGTAGCCCATCCGAGAGTTATTTTAAAAAATTGCATTAACGATCGACACCGGGATAGCAGCGGTGACAAAAGTCCCATTAATTTTCAGCAAAAAGCAAGAAGGAGATCCTCATTAGCGCGACCAGTACGCGTTTACGATTCAGCTTCAGTGCAGAGCGTTAAATTAGCCGATTATCCAATAAAAGCCTTTGAAAATTTAACCAATTCACGTGTATTAAATGAGATAGGTGAGACAGCTTATTACAACGGTGGTTTACCCTTCGATGATAATTCTGACAGCGATAATGGATGGCCTATACGTGTACGCCTTGAGGAGATGCTTGAGCTCACCTCCACTCGCAGAAAGAATATTAATTTCATGAAGAGCCGAAAGAGAAAGAAAGTTACGTTGACCAAGAGACAGACTTACTTCAAAGACACCGATAAATTACTCAAGGTATTTAGCGTCAATCATGTGGACCAACAATATAGGTATAATGTCAAACGATGTTCAATTATGTAGACGTTATCTACATCGTCGATTTCAGTGCTTCGTTATTTTTTTATTTGTCAAATTTTTATCTGTTTCTCGATATGTAAAATGCAAATAAATTGCAACCAAGAAATCTATTCTGTTTTCTTGTTATCAATCGTTGATTCCTTCCTTGCATCTCGCCGATCACCACCCCTCTTGATTTATTTATATTTCTTCAGAATTCGGATGGAGGAATGAAGAGATGCGTCATTTGACACTTGATATTTAATAACAAATGTATCATTTAGAAATAAAATAAATTTAATTTTGAGGCGTAAAACGTCTGTAAGATGGATTGGTATTTAATAAAAATAACTACACTGTTAAAAATGTCTCGAAATTTCACTCACAAAATCATCTGAATTTTCAATTATCGAGAATCGATGGAATCATGATTATTTTTTTAGATTCACAATTTATCTCTGGCTGCTTTGACAATTGGGAATTTGTCCCGAGTGCAGGTGCCACTAAAATCATCGGTGGACAAGTCCCAAATGGCGATACCACCCAGTCCTTTAGCTTTTACGTAACTTGCTTTATTTCCGGCTGTGTCGGGATCCTCGTAACCGATCCAAATGCCCTCGGCACCGGTGTCTGAGTTGTAGGGACGATAGGCGTAGCTGCCGTATTTCTTGGAGGGATCACTCACACGTCTGACACCTCCCACTGAGGTATCACTTAGACGAGTGCATACTTCGCCGTAGGAGAGGAGTCCTGGGGTGGCTGTGAGGGGTCCCTCTGCCCCAGGCCCCTCTGACACGATTGGAGGAACTCCGGAGATTTGACTGTCTGCTGTCAATTTCCACGTGCGAGCGAAAGCTGGAATTCCCACTACGATCTTTCCTCCGGGGGTTCCATGCTCTAACCAGTAGCTGAGGATAATAAATATTTATAAAATTATTATCAATTTCCATTAATTACCCGTATTCATTACTTTTTTTTTAATAATTATTGGTCAACTAAGATGCGTAATTCAAATTGGAATTATTCATCTCCTAGGATAATTTTCATTTTTTTTTTTTGACGCCAGTTTTTACCGAATATCTCCGAATCGAGGAAAGATACGGAAATTTTTACGGATACATTTCTCACAGAAAAACTTGAGAGCTACAAAAAAGGTACTGAAGAAAAAATCGTGATGTTCGTTAAGTTCGGAGATATTCGCGAAAAACCGGGGTAATAAAAATGCATTCATGTCACCGATTGAGGATTGAAAAAATTGAAGGGAAAATGGGATAGAATTATTTTTTGATGATTCCACCAGATGCATACCGGACAGTAGCATCGATGTTGTCCTGGGGAATTCTGCCGTAGCTTTCGTAAAGTGGGGCGGGATAATCAGCCTCTTTTGGAGTCCTCTCAGGCGTTCTCTGATCAAAGGCCATCAAGTGAACGGCATCGAGATTCGGTGACAGTAATCTTGCATCATAGTACACTAGGTCATAAAAAAAAATGGAGTTGAACTGTTTGTTTATTTTATCCTCGAAATGTCAACTCACCGCTGGCATTGACGTGGGGCAGAACAGTGAGACTGAGAGCCTTGCTCCTGGGTATGAGTTTAGCTTTCAGGTCACGAGCCAAGTTAGTGAATCCCTCCCTGTGCTCCTGCTCCTTGTCATCCTTGAATGAACCGTATCCGAAGGTCTTCTTGATTCCGTGCCAGATGCTACCAAATGTTCCCCGTTTCTTCTCTACTTTCACTGGAGGAAATTGCCAGGCGAGATCGACTCCATCGAAATCGTATTGATTCAGGAGAGACACCAGTGTGTCGATGAATGCTGTTCGTGCCTCGGGTGTCTCCACCTTAAATCACATCGATAATAATTATTTATCAATTATTTTTCAGGATAAAAAACCCAGGGAAATATTCGCAATAATGAAAACACGAAGAAATGCTTTTTTTTCACGTCAATCCTATCGATAATTTTTCGTCGGAGAATTTTATATTAAATTATATTAAATATCGATTGATCTTTCGTCTTTGAGTCATTCGCAATTCGAGAAACTCACCAAAGTCAAGTACTTGTGAGTCGACTCGTAGGGATCAGCATTTCCTCCAACGCTGAGGTAAATCTTCAAACCCGGAAAACTCCGTTTCAACTGTGCGATGAATTCGTAAAATCCATAACTAGCCCCGGTGTTGAAATTCGGGGGTACTATCTTGAAATTGTCTGGATTTATCGCAGCGAATCCGTAGACGAGGTGGGTGCAGAGGCCAAGGACCGGATTCAAATCCGCAACCTGGAATTTTCCCACGCCTTCCCCAAGGAAAAATACATAAAAAATACATACGCCCATAAAACGCATGGAAATTATTTATTTTATATCAAATTATTATTATATTCATATAATTTATAGTTTTAGGTAAATTCCGCGTAAAAAATATAACATTCTCAAAATATATATTTATCCGTCTAGATTATCACAGAATTAGAAATGATAAGCATCCCCTTTCCACAAATTCACGATTGAAATTTCATTCAGTTGAATTAATAAAATAAAATAAAAGCCTTTGCAATAATTACCAGGACGATTGAAGGCTGTGGAGTTCCAGTAACACACGACTTTGTTGTGCTCATGGAGATCCAGAGCCCAGGAGATGCTGATGCTGAAGGCAATCAGCGTTATCAGGAATAGTTTCATCTTGCAACTCGAATACCAGAGAACAGATCTGGAGAATAAAATAAATGGAGACAACGATGCGGTATTACTCACTCAGTGACTCGCAGGAAACTGCAAGTCCCGAGGAATCCGAACTATTGAGATCATCGCCAGAGGAGGGGAGATCATAAATAAGTAAAGGCCACACGATTTTTCAATGGTACGACTTAATAATGATAACGAGTATCGTCAATACTCGCGAGGAAGGGGAAAAGGAATAATTGGATGTGCTGTCAGCAATTGGAGACATCAATTACTCTTCCCTATCAGGAAAGATCAAAGAGGTGAACATTAATACTGAATTCGTAGAAAGACTTCAAGCGAATTTAATTTCTTTATAATTTTTTACCGATTTTTATGAAAAAATATGGATTTTATTATTTTGGTACTTAATTAATTTATTCAATTTATTGCGCCTGAGGAAAATCAGCGCAGGGAGTGGAAAACTAGGAATACATCAATTTATTATTTCAAGTCCGAGAGATTTGAAAACTACGCAAAATCATTTCATACTATTGATGTCTTGTAAACATGTGATAACGATTTGGGTCTGTTTGGGGTCATGTCATATTTATCTCAGTGGGAATTCCGATATTTACGTGGTAGATCGAAGTGTCCAGGAGTTTGAGAGATTTTTCGAATGAATTAAAACCGACCGAGCCCCCAATATCTGTCTCTTCGCCCGAATAATTCCACAGACTTATAAACACTTTAGAATAGTGAGCGGTTGAATTTCAGGATAATTGACAATATTCAAGCCATCTACCTGGTCTATGGGCCCAAGGCCGAGGAATTTCCCCCGCGAATGTCTCAGTTATCATTCTCTCTGGGATCTTGTTTATTATTCTTCTTGGTAAAAAAATTTGCATTTATTAGTCCACAGCATGAGAATGAGTGCAGCGAGAATGCTAATTGAAAAGTCAAGATTTATCGCATTTACATAACATCGGTAGTACTCTTTCGTATTGTGAAACGCCCACACTCGATCGTGGCAATAAAATTTGCGATTATTCCAGAGTGGATAATGCTCTGTATCATTGAGTTTCAAGCGCCCCAATTTAAATTGTATCAAAGTCAGCTAGGAATGAGATTATCACCAGAATTAGCCGCCAACATCATCTTTTATTAAAACTTCAATAGTCGTTTATTTACATTACTTCGCTATTGTATTCTTGAAAACATATAAACCTCGAGATTAATGAGTTCATTTAATCTAGAGTGTCTATTCTCGTATGCCGTTGCGTCATTGCATTGAAAAAAAAAAAACAATCTGTACAGGTAATTGGAGATGTCAGGAGTATAGGAACAGCCTTGCCATTCTCCTCGGAGAATGCTTCTCTGTCTGAAGTGATAATGAGAATAATGGAATCCCCGCCAGCACTTCCTTCAACAGAAAATACATTAGAATAAGTTTTAGTGTCACTCCTTTCCTCACAAACTCAGTTGTCCTAGATTTATGGAAAAATACGATTTATCGGTGATATTTTGAGATTCTCGGGATGCTCCACCATTTCGGATAGTCTACCGATGAGTTCTGATGATATTCATTACTTTATCTGGTCATCCTCTATCTGATCGTCTTCGTCTGGAAAAAATTACTCGAATTAGGGCGTCAGGTGAAATTTAATCTATTGACTTTGAATCGGATTATTGATATTTTTCATTCGATATTAATTTGAAAATTATTTGAAAATTTTCAATTGATTTTAGGAAAATTCTCAGTGACTTAATAAAAATGAAGACCTTGTTCTTCCTCGCCCAGTGGTGGTTCCCTGTAATCATCATCTTGTTCCTCCACGTCCTGTGGTCGCCTCTCGTCCAATCTACCGGGAAATACGAGACCAAATAATTAAATCCCAAAAAATCGATGCAAATTATTCGCGCAATAACTCACTCAGAAATTTTTTCATCACGATTGAGTTCACCAATTTCCTGGAATCCTGGCTTAACCCGCAACACCCAGGGCGCACCATCTTTCTGGTTGAACTCGTGTTCGCCAACATGTCCATCATCATTATGCACCTCTTCATGTAAATTTTCCTCGATAAGTTTCTGGGCTTTTTGTTTCCTCAGTTTGTCGTCAGTGCTCTCGAGTTTTCCCAAGCGTTCATTAACTTCGGGCTTTCGGTTCTCATCCAAATTCACCTTTTCTTGTTTCACTCTCTTCTCCTCGAGCATTTTGGGGATTGGCACTACACCCATCGGTAATTTTAATCGTGACACTTGTTTCATCGGTACTGCGGGAAAATTAACAACCGATTTTTCGGTCGACGTTGATTCGAATTTTTTGATTGATCTCGTCGAGCTTTCAATGTTTAGTTTCGATAAACTGGTTGTCGAACTAGCCTGCAATGCCAAACAATTAAAAAATGAGAATACTCAATGATTCTCATACATCATTATATCCTTATTAAAAAAATCCTTAATTACAAAGGAAAGGATGAAACAAATAATCGCATGCAAAGCGCAGAGAATCTGGAAATAAAAAAAAAGAACTCAACCGTTTACAAATGATAAAAATTTTATTAAAATTCGAGATAACATGGGCAAGGCACATTTTGAAAAACAATCAGAACAATAAACCCCTGGCACTGGACAAACATCGAATAACTACAAACAAAGATAAAGTACATGTGAGCACGAATTGCTTACAATTAACAGTAAAAAAAAAATAATAAAAACTGCGTTCAAAGAATAGAATCCAATTGTTGAAATAAGTACAGCAGTGAAGCTAGACCCTCAAAAACCCAGATGCAAATATACCGACAATTGATCAACTGATATATCAATGAAAATAATCATTTGTCCTCAGCGTTCGGCATGGGCAGAACAGATTTCTCCTGCTTCTCTTTGAAACTCCCAACATCGTCAGGCCCTGGTTTGTTAATCTGTACATTACTGTACGGCAACGGTAAAATGTGGATATCCTGTTTTTCATTGACAGGTTTATCCCCTCGATCAGACTCTACATTACTACGAGGATAATCTTCCTGGGGCTGATCATTGGATCTATCTTGTCGTGGTGCCTGAATTGGAATAGGATTGCCATTATTTTTACTTGGATAACTCACCTGCGGCCGAGGCGAGGCGATTTTCGATGCTACACTTTGCTGCATGCTCAACTGATAAGAGCGTGGATTTAATAAACTAGGATCAGAGGATGTTGTCTTGCAGGAGGTCTGGAATAATATTGAACACCTCAATGCAATTGTCATCGTAATAATTAGAAAATTATAACATGATATAATAATTGGGTAATAATTACCTTCATTCCCTCCAATTCCTCTTTGAGCTGAAAAACCTCTTTCTTCAGGTGAGCAATTGTACCATCCCTGTCGCTGCTATTTTTAATGAGCTCGTTGTATTTATTATCAATATTCGATCTCTCAGTATCGACTTTGAGATACTGACTCTTCAGGCTCTCAATCGACTTCTCCTTATCTGCAATTTCCTTATTCTTCTCTCGAATCTGGCCTCGAAGGTCCTGGAGTGTAGCCTCGAGCTTGTGGCTCTCCTCCAGGGACATCTTCTGCCTCTTGGCGCACTCGTCCTTCAAGTCCTGGTGCTCCGACTGCAGCAATTTGTGCTGTTGCTGGAGGGAATTGATTCTCTGGAATGCCTCAACACTGTCCTTGTCTCTCAGGGATTTCTCTCTAGTCGCACGTTGCTGGAGTTCTTGTTTAGCTAAGGCATTCGAGTTCTTTTCCTCTGCCAGGGACTTCTCCAGTCGGACTTTGTACTCGAAAATTACTGGAACAATAATTATCCATTTAATTCAATGCACTAGATCGTTACAATTTCCGTTCTCTGAGTTTTTCGCAAATATCTTTGGATCGACGAGACATAGCGAATTTTTTGTGGAAATCTTTTCTCCAGCTCTTCATTAGCCGGACAAAAAAAAAATTCAATCAAAATTTCGATATCAACTCTGGATTCCGAGATATGTGAGAAAAACTGATTAATAGTCAAAATCGATTTCAGTTGAATCGTTTAATCGATTCGCTAATACGATAGATTCGCTATTTGATAGATTGACCACCTTGGAGTTGGGCTGCCAGGGCTTCTTGCTGATGGGCACATTGGACATGGAGATCTCGTAATCTCGTCATTTCAGTTGTGGCAGCTCGATAAAGAAACACAATTAATGCCATCACCACTAGACATCCAGCGTAAATGGCCAGTCGCCCTCCACGACCCCTACCGAGACGGGAGCCGCTCATCTCTGTATAAGAATATAAAGAATATTCTATTTAAGTGCTAATAATTGAACGTATCAATTTTCAACTATCACGCAGACATCCTGAGGGAAATTATGGAGTACCGAAGAAATAAAGAGTAGCATGACTCGTTGTTAGTTAATTTACCGAGCAATTCCTTAGAATTCAATAGAGATATCCAAATTTTTCATAGAACCTTTTTGATAGAGTGGATTAAGTCTTTCAAAAAAGGTCATTACAAATACCTCGTTAACGGTCTTAGATTCTCAAATATTCCTGAAACACCCGTGTGACTTTTAAAATTCGCAAGAGACAGCTAATATCAGAGTCAGGCTTTATGATTTCCTGTATTTTATCGCGAATTCGTGAAAGAATGTAAAAGATTTTGGCAATTCATTTTGCATGTATTAAAGAATGAAAATCGCTGCGTATGTAAGTAATCTAAAATTCGTAATGCAAATTAAAATTCAGCTTCGAGTTTAACACGTGGAAATCTTTAAAAATGCATTTCTGGAGCAGTTGTGATTAACGAAATAAACAAAACTCTTACCTCCTGGAATTAACAGTTATTTGTTCACTAATTAATCATGTTGAGAGAGTGGGTCACAGATGTTCCTGTGGAATGAGCTGCAGTGTGTATTCGTCGAGGAGCCGGTGATATTGAAAAAATGTATCTCTTTTACAATGAGATACAGCAACCTTGGGATTATCTCCGTATTCAATAAAATGTTGGGGCTCAGGTTATAAAACACCCGAAAACATTATCAAACACGGAGCAGGGGAGCACTGAAACCTGTTCCGTGTATGAAATGTACATTTTACAATATTTTGTGTTGAGTTTTAAAGCTCCACCCCAGAGAGGATTGACTAAAGTAGAGGTTCAATTGTGGGGGTCTGAGTGTCCCCAGCTCCATCGTAGTACCTCACCCCCAGGGAGAGAGGGCACCATGAAAGGGGAGCATGAAAAATCGAACAGGTATTTACTGAAATTTGAAAATTCAAAATTTTTGAAAAAGTATCAGGGGAGCATGACAATTGAGGAGGTATTCACTGAAATGTAAAATAAATTATCACTCCACAAGCAATGGAATTGATAATAAAACATTTTTTGATCACCCCCACTCCCGGGGTTGATCTACGATTTTGGGGGAGAAAACAGAATTTTTTTCGAAATCATTAGAAACGAGAAAAGACACAGTAGCACCATTAAACGAATATATTTCAAATAAAGAAAACTCCGAAGAGCAATTGTCACTCGCGATCTTCTAAGAGGCCAACGCCTCTGTACTATCAAATCATAATGAATTCGCTATTTATCGAAGAGCCAGGAACATTGTGAAATACGATGCGGATACTCTGACAATCTGAAATTAAATCAATGCAATACATGACGGGAAAATTGATTAACAATTGAGATTACCGATGAAAATGTCTCCAAACACATGACGATTACTTTTCCAGCGGTTATTTCGCACGGAATTTCACTCCTCATTATCATCAAGCCTATCAGCTTCTGAGCTCTGGGAGTTGCCAGGTACCACTTGGAATTTATTCTAGAAAACATTGACGTGCCATTAATTGCAATTAAATGTAGAGCAATTGATTTTATTTACAGACTGAATTTTATATTGAGACTCATATCCATCATGCGTTGTGCCATCCAGCACTTGATCGCGAGTTGGGTAATTTGAGTGATTGCGAACGCGAGGTTCTTCAGGAGTTTCACTATCGCTTCGAAATTAATTACCATCTGTTGCAGGTAAATTTGGATTAATTAACGGTAATGGAACAGTCATTTAGATTTTTACCTGAACAGCAGTCAAACTCATCGCCATTGTCACTCCTCCGAGCATCAATAAAAAATTAAATGTCAATACGTCTTCCATGATACTCGTAAATCTGTGAAAATTACAGGAATTCCATCACGTAATTTACGTAATTATAGAAAATTGGTAATTAGATTGTACTTACTCTAGTGCCCTATTATGAATCTGAATACACCGTCTAAGAAAAGCGAATCCATCGTCCTTCCGGCAATTGTCATTGAATTCGAAACGTTCAATTGAATATCTTCAGAAGAAAAGATGTATAAATAATGTGAAATTAATTTTATCAGCTGACAGATGGAATTTCTTTACCCCAAAGCAGCGAATAAACCGCAGACATGACTGGAGCATGTGTAAAATACGCAATCAATGGCAACGAGCATCGTTACGACACAATAAATAGACACTGCAGACAGTGTAATGAGGGGAAAGTAATATTTGTCAGGATCAATTGGTCCCCAATTAGCTGGGATGAGAAATGGATGGGGTATACTGTGGCTCGAATTGAGAACAAGGTGCAAAATTATCGTCTGGAATGGCTGCGTTGCAAATATAAATCCAGATCCGTACAGAGTACCTGTCAAGTCATGAATGAATAATCAATCAATCCCAAAAACACTCTTCTCACCTAAAAACAACATCGATATCTGAAATCCGAATTTTGAGTGCTCACGGAGTAGCTCATTCTCACGACCACTGGGAAAAAATTCCCAATTTTCCTTCAGCTGCTCTAACAGGATTTTTATCTGAAAGACAGTGGCACTAGATTAATTCCACTGAGGAGGGGCCACTCACCTTTCCCAGGAAAAAAAAACAATTTATCATCTTCGTGAAGCAGGTGAGTTCAACGACGAACGGAGGGACCAATTCCATGAAGAAATCGAGATCGTTCGAGTGTTCGGCAACGGCTGCAATCTAAAATTCATCAATTACATTGAAATTTTTTTATTTAGACGAATAATTGTTTTCACTGGAGTGATTTATCGGGTTCAATAAATAAAATATTATATAAATTGGTATTAAATTGAAGTAAAAATTGTTGCGGTAAACCTGAGAGATTATTTGGCTGCCAACGGCTGACACCAGTAGGATCCTGATGACAGTGCGTTCTACGGCTGATTGATAAGGCCATTGTCCAGCCCAGCAGGACACAATCTTCATGGGTTTGAAGTAAAGTTTCTCCCAGAAGTCCATGTCCTCGTTTCCTCTCTCCAGGTGTTGTCGCGTGAATAATCACTCCCACTGGTGGCGGGACGGACTCCAAGACGGGGAACTACTTCGTCGGGACAGAGCATCTGGTGTTGACACCTTCAATTGCACATTTCAACGGGTTCTGGGAAGAAAACAATTGCAATCCACCAAAGGTGCAATTGTCGCATAGTTGTCGCGGAGCATCTGGTGTTGACAGGTAGATTGCACATTACGTGGACCTTCAGGGTGACGACGGAGGAGGGAATCGTCACGCATCAGTGAGTGTCACTCATTCGAAAGGGGTAAATAGAGAAACCATGACGACGAGACAATTCCAAGACTTTTTGTTATTATTCCCCGGGTGTAACGCGACATCAGACGATCTCCAGGGGACGGATCTACGCCGATTTCACCGGCTCACGGGACCTTATCGGTTTGTTCCATTAATAATCAATTTAATTTCCATTGAATGATATCCGATTAAATAATTATTGGATTATATAAAACAATCGGTCTAGAATATCCATCATTATAATTGTCTTTATTGAAAGAGGAAATTTAAAAAATCCAGGGAGTATTGTCGAATAAATTTGATTAGTAAATGAATTTGATAAATAGATTTTTTTTCGTTGGTGCCTAAGACAATTTTTCGGTTATGGAATGTTAAAAAAATCGAGTGCCAATTGAATTCAAATTCAAATAATGCGGTTTGCCGCGAATGCTCGGGCCGTCGCTCGTTCACCTCCATGAAAACGTTCAATTGGGTGATAAACATGAATTGAGCATTAGATGCCAACTCGTGCAGATCGTAGTGAGTCCCGTCACACATATAAGCAAGATGGAGGATCTCGCAGTCGAAGTATGCGGCGAAAACGGAGCGTATTATAAGGTTTGCCCTGCGATAAGTATAACCAAAATAACGATTATTCAAGCATCTAAACATTCATCAGTTTTTCGAGAATAGGGTAATCAATATATTCGGTATTTAACCCATGTACTTGAGAGTTTTTCAACGGCTTTACATGAGCCTCGTACGAGGAACGCGCGGCTTGTACGACGCCATGTCCTCCTCATTTGACAGGGCGTGATTTTTTAGATGGAATTAATATATCATCGAGTTTATTCGCATCATGTCTCATCACGTTGTCATTTTACGGATTCTGTATTACCCCTGGACTAGAGTCTCCCTGGGGATTACTCGACAGTTTATTAACATTCGGTGAAATTATTTTGCAACAACTGCGGGATGTTGATGCATTCAGATGAGTTATTCTACTATTTTTCATGGACTCCTTGATTTTTCAGGCCTATGTCACTGATGTCTTCAAGGATGAAGTACTGGTGGCCTTCGACAATGAGTGAGTGAACGATTTTTTGGTGGATAATTCGGGGATCAGGGAGAATATCGGTAGACATGTAGACAGCTCTGGGGATGTCTAGACAATGGGTATTCCCCTTGATTCTGCGCCCTTATCTGTTAATTCATTGAGACTGGCAATTCTTGGTGGTGATGATTTTTTTCCCTGGAGATTGTCGAGAACAAAAGAACGTTGACACGTTCCTTTGTTCTTCATGATCATGTATATGCGTATTTTATCTCCCTCACTCGATAATTTGTGGTTTATGGTATTGCGAGAGATTCTCCCTCGGTAATTGGTGGATGATGGGGGGCTGTTGTTTGTTTTATTGATGATTTTTATTCTCACGACAGCTGGCAGCCCGAATCAAAGTTTCCATTTGCTCAAGTACGTCTACCGATGAAGGATGGCCCGAAGGCAGAGTTCCAGGAGAGTCAGGAGATCGAGGTTTACTCGAGGGCCAATGATCAAGAAGTCTGTGGCTGGTGGAAGGCCATCATCAAGGTGAGAAATGAAAAAACATCACCCAATGATTTCTAGATATTTTACTGATCATTCTTCTCAGATGATCAAAGGGGGTTTTCTAGTTGTTGAGTACCTCGGCTGGGAGTATAGTTACACAGAGATCGTCGCTCTGGAACGTATCAGAATGAAAAATACAAATCCGCCAATCGACAAAAATACCTTTCACAAGATCGAGATCGATGTACCTGAAGAGCTCAGAGAGTTGTAAGTATTATTCGTGGATTTCATATATTTTATGAATTTATTTCAGTGATTATTCAATTGACTTGTCGATTTCTCTAGTGCTAAGATGGATAACGTACACAAGAAGTTCCAGAAAGCGATAGGTGCAGCTGTTTGTCGATATATACCAGACAAAGGAATCCTCCTGGCCATTTCCAGAAACGAGAATATCCGCAGGAACAGTAGTATGATCCAAGAGATGCACTTCCGAAATCTCTCGCAAAAAGTAATTCATTACTTTGACATTATAATTAATTTGCAATTCTTCATTCATTATTTTTATTTCAACATTATGAATTTTTGCCTCCAGGTGCTCCTGCTGAAGAGGACGGAAGAAGCAGTTCGCCAACTAGAGTCCACGAAGCTCCAGACAGTCGGGGGGTGAGCACAAATCACTGGTCTATCCCTCGTATTTCTCTTGCATATTCTTTCCAAAGCAATAATATTCTCCATTCGACCCAATAACTCAAGTATCACAATATGGGTTTTTCGCTGTCTTTCTGCTCTCTCAATTTCCCTACCCTCCCATCCACGTTTCATTTGCCATCCTGTCTGTGGCTTTACATCAACTCGTTGAAAATTCATAACTTATGACTAAAAAAGAAATAAAATAGGTAAGACCTCAATTTCCCCCTCAATGTGCTCGTTAATGCTCTTCATTAGGATTTGGTGACGTGGTAGAACACTTGAATTTAACTCAATGACAAATTTTCTCTATTAAAGATACAGAAGAAAAAAAAACGATATTAAAACAGACAGAATGGAATCGAGGTAATTAAACTAGAGAAACGTCAGCTCTCTATGAATGGGGGTTTGGAATTTTGAATTATCTTTCTCATTTCCAGCAAATTTAGATCATCAAACTTTATATATCAGCGTGTCTCAGACTATGAGGCTGGGGCCAGATCAAATCCAAGGTGAGACGTCATCGATTTTGATCGCGATCACCGTGATTCATTAATTTCGTTTTAGTTTGTTCCACTGATCAAGTTCGTCAATACGAATTATTGAATAAACAATCAATAGCCTTTACCGACTTTTCTATGGCGTTGTGACACTTCTGCATTTAGATCAATTCAATGTGCGTATGAGAGGATAAAACAACTAAATGAAATCAATGAAATTCAAAATAAATTTACCATGTGCATGCTACAGTGTTTGTGTTATTTCATTCACGATGAAATAAACATTACGTTTGCTTGGAATCACGTACTCTGGAGCAGAATATATCGACAATTACTTGTTGTTTTCTTTTTTTTTTTTTATTTTCATTCTACCCGATATAAATGCTGTCGTAGTCAGTTGTGGGATCACTGGGATACAGTGGAAGTAGTTTATCTCACAATTAATGGATTCGTGGTGTTTCTGGGGAATTATTCTTTGAGCAGACGATGTGCGATTCTCGGCCAGCCCATGTTTGAGATACACTGATATATTTTTGTATGTTTACGAAGAGTATGGGAATACCACTCACCAAATCCGGAGGAAAAGAAATAACAAAAATACCGAGGGTTCCCCTTAACAATTTGATAATTATTTCCCAATAATAATTTGAAATTTTTGACCCCTCGATTGAATCCATTCTCCATCTCCATCAATCGCATTCTGCATCCCAGAATCACTTGTTGCGTCAATCATTCATGAATCAATTCGCGATAGGAGAATAATAATTTTTAGTTGGTACAACGTCAGAGAATATCGATCCTAATTCAAAGAATTTATTATCTCATCTGCATGGGCTCCAATTGCACGCGATGTTTAGTGGTCTTGAGAAACAGGATACTGCTGTTATTTTCCCTCTCATTTTCAGCCTTTTATCACGTCAGACGACACGACTTCCTTTGCTTGACGCTTCAGCTAGTGATTGCTAAATTCAATTATTAAATTTTCATCCTCTATTTTTACTAAAACCTTAAGCTTCGTCCAACGATTAATATAGAATTGAGAATTCCATAATTGAATCGACTCATGTAATTTGTACATTAAAAATTATTAAAAATTATACTGTTATTGTCATCAGATACACGGACGAATTCAATGTTCGTGAAGATCTGATGGGTCTGGCGATTGGAGCACATGGGGCTAACATCCAGCAGGCGCGAAAAGTCGAGGGCATAACGAATATAGAGTTGGAGGAGAATTCCTGTACATTCAAAATATACGGCGAGGTAATATCCGCTTAGTCGCACATCCTTTGATACCCTGTGAAAGCATCTGAACGTGAAATATAATAATTGCAGACTCACGAGGCTGTGAAGAAAGCACGCTCGATGCTGGAGTACAGTGAGGAGTCTATACAAGTGCCAAGAGTCCTCGTAGGAAAAGTTATTGGAAAGAATGGGCGGATTATTCAGGAGATTGTGGATAAAAGCGGTGTTGTGAGTAGCTTTATCAACATTATAATCATCCCCATTTATTTATAATTTTTCAAATGGTAAATCTATGATGAATTGCTTGCAATAAGTTATGAGACTTTTTTTAACTGCTTATGAATGCCAAGATGTCCACAGTCCTGCGGGACTGAGGCAAGTTTTTTTTTACGATTATTATTATTTTGTTTCTATGAGTGTTATTAATAATTTGTGTTACTTCTCACATTGGTTTACCTCAGAAACTAAAAAAAAAACGAAATTCAAACGAGATTAAACTCTGGGGGAAGATACTTTCAGTCTTACTTATTGCAACGATCGAACTAGTTTAATTCAGAGATGAAAAATTAAATCAAGAATTCAAGATTCAATTGCTTTTTAAGAGGATTTTGTTATGTGACATACAGTGCATTGTTTGTTTTCGGTAGATTACATCTGGCTCGAGTGGGAATGTACATACTGATAGAGTAAGTATATTACCTTATATTGTTTGTGACTTTATTTCATCTGTTCCATCAAAAAAAAAAGAATAAGAAAAACAACAAACAAATGAGAGAGAAATAATGGAAAGAGTTAGGGTCAGAGAGCATTCGATTGAGAAGAGAATCATTCTAGTATTGAGATATTATACACGAATGTATACATGAACCACTCGGGCCAGTTTTCATTTCTTCTTCTGAAAAAGCCATTTAAATATCGATCCAGAAGGTATGAGAGTTTGATTTTCTAGCGGATGATTTTTTTCTCCTTATTTTCTTTACATAAAATTCCCCGAGATTGTTGATCTCAATTTGCTTTGAATAGAAATTATAGAATCGCTTGTGTTGAAATTGAATATTCAATTTTTTTCGTACTGACGATTTACGAGAATTCACACGTCATCATTATCGCTTTTAGGATATGGGATGGAGGGAATAAATATATTTTTTTGTTGTTGTTTGAACGTCAGGTTCGAGTTAAAATCGAGGGGGATAACGAGCCTCAGCCGACGATGCCTCGTGAGGAGGGACAGGTTCCATTCGTTTTTGTTGGGACTGTTGAGAGTATTGCCAATGCAAAAGTACTGTTGGAATACCATTTAGCACACTTAAAGGTAATTTGAATGTGTTAGAGATCTCAGAGATGAGTTTAAGTGTTCAGTCGAGGTAACGAGGGTGTGGGCATTTTCAGGAAGTTGAGCAACTTCGACAAGAGAAATTGGAAATAGATCAGCAGCTGCGGAATATGCATGGCTCGACAACGGGACCGATACCCAGTTTTACACCTGTCAGGCGAGGCATGTCCTCGGGTCCAGAAGAGGGTGGTGGGGGTCGTGGTGGACGTGGAGGACAGTCACGGGGTCGTGGACGAGGAAGACCACCAGCACGACTCAATGCAGGTACACTAATCATTTCTGTTTAATTATTTTCATTCAAATACATAAAATTTCTCAATAATTACGTGAATTAAATTTGTATTCATTTTGGAATGCCAGGTAATCGTAGAGACATGATGGACGGCAACGACGAGCGAGTGAGAGACCTGCCACCTCGAGGGGGAAGTCATCAGGGTCATCAGGGTCATCAGGGTGGCAGTGGTAGTTGGACGGGCAACAGACAGGGTAGACCGCCTGCACTACGACGTGACCGCAGAGACGACAGACGTCGAACCACTGACGATGAAGAGACTGTCCTCGATAGCCAAGACGTATCTAGCATCGATCGAGGTAATTTCACCGATAAATTTCCTCACTAGCCTCATCCCCATCACCTTCCCGACGCCATCAACTCGCAGCATGAATTAGACGACGAACTCTGGTGACCATCTAACACAGATCTTGGGATCCCAGGATTCATTAACCATTCGCACGCTTAATATTCCAAGGGGATACTAATGAACTAACGATTAACATTGAGAATTAAAATCATGGATGGTCACGATTGTTTGTTTGTGATACGTGTAGAATCTGTATCGAGTGTCGAGGGAAAGCCTAGGGGGAACAAACGAAGGCAGATTCGATCAAGACGACGCAGTGCAACGCCAGACAGCAGTCAGAAAGGTCATTATTTTCTCGAGTTCTTTTAATAGTTTGTGGAGTAACGTATGCACAATACGCGAGAGACAATCTGATTCAATGACAAATATATTTCAATAAATTGTTCAGTTATTATTTTTAATGAAACAAATCTTTCAAAATGCTCGTGATTTTTAATGTGGTGATGAATGGGGTTCTGATTGCTCCAGGCAATTCAGGACAGGCTGACCAGACATCTGTGAATAAAGAGGGGACTCCCATCTCCAAGGACGTGATAAATTCAAACAACAGTGGTCCACAGGGCCCCAAGGGTCAGAGTAATCGTCGTCCACACAACTGGCGTTCCTCCTCCAACAACAAGCCGAAAGAGACCCTGGTAAACGGTACCAGTGGCTAATAGCCATCCTCCATTATCTTCTTCAATCGACCCCCTCGGAGAGTAGAAGAAGGATTGACACGAGTCAATGAAGGAAAACCGTTAAGATCAGAGATAAACAATGAATTAATTACCGAGATAATACACTAATGACTACTCTGAAGAAATGGCTGATGGACACCTAAGCAACGTGGACACATGACGCTCTACCCGATTTATTCAAGGACTTTGAGAGGAACAACTGAGGAACACAACAATCTGTTAATGATTAAACGAAGAATGATTACTTGGTCTACTTATTCACATCTTCAACACTGTTCGTTTCCAATAGTGAGGATCAACTGCAGTTGTTTTGATGGGGTATGAGGGCAGGAAGTAATTGTGGAAAAAAAAATTCAAAGTGAACTTCGTCGTTGGACGAAAGGTAAATCATTCTTTCGTATACACAAATGAGAAATGAAACATTTAAAGACATATTAATATCCATGCATGGTTTAGTTTGAAAATGATAGAGATTGACTATCATTGCGTTTGATAAATATGGACACATTCATTGGGATATTGATGGGGGCGTGGGGATGATGATTATCGACGACCGTGTTGCACTGTTTTGTGCACATGGGTTTGTTTCGTTGAGTGCGATTGATATTTGAGACCCTTCCCGGATTGTGAAACCGTGCCTCACGTTTTTTCCCCCTTTTCTTTCAAAATAATGAGATGAATCGTCACGAGACTCGATGACCAACAAACTTTATTGATGAAAAAAAAAATCTCTCGTCAGGATCAAGTGATTAACGGTTGATCTTATGCTAGGGATTGAAAACCGAATATGATCAACCAAATTTAACTCGTATAATGAACAATCTAATTGTTCTCCATCCTCTGGATTTATTGATAAATTATTGATAAATGGTTATTAAAAAACAGGGTCAAAACGAGAAAAAAAAAATTTGATGGAATCGATTGATGATTAAATGAACCGAATGAAAATTAGCATCCATTCCTAATTGTGATTGGCAGCTTGGCAAATTGTTTTTCGTGGTAGAAAATATATCTTCTCCCAATGATGTCTCCTCATTTCTTTCTATTTGCACAATGTTGAATTGTTTTTTATTACTTTATCCAACATTTTTTTATTTGATTATTATTAATTTTCTTGTCCAAGAATTACTATTCTCCCCCGTTCATTTATTGACCTATTATGTTCTCCGTTTGAGTGGTAATTTCCCTATACTTGGATTACGATAAATATGGAAAACATTTTTAGTTTTTGGTTGATATTTGAGGGGAATTTATGGCTTGGTCCTTTTGTACGACGTAATTATTGTTTCTTCTTTTTATTTGTACGAATTTATTATTTTCGCTCGTCATATCTGTAATTTGTCAATACTAGAGATTCCTGGATTGATAATGAAACGTTTAACTGCTAATTGGCTGATTAAAATCATCAAAATTTCCGAAGAACGTTAAATCAACACGTGAAACTAATGATTCAATATGAAAAATCAATATATTTAGCGATACCAATGTATGATGTGCCAGACAGGAAAAGAAACAGTGAAACATGGAACGATGATACATGTTTTATGATATCTAAAGTCTAGCTGAAAGTGCAGATTTAGCGCATTACCTTTATTACTATATTACTACTTAGGCGAAAAGATACGAAAAAAAAAATCATAAAAAAATGTGGATGTCTGAACAAATAAACTAGCTTTACTATACTAAGCTATTAAACAAAAAATACAAAAAAAAAATAATTAAAAATACTAAAAAAAACACGTAAAAATAAAGAATACAAAAGTAATAGATGATCACTTAGTCAGCGGTTTTAAATTGTCTCACGGTGTTGCCTTGTTCCAATTTAAAACAGTTGTCTTTAATCTCTTCTTCCGGACATGACAACAACTTCATCGGACGTGTCTCAAAATAAATCATTGCAAAGCAATAAATACACTGACGATGGTTGATTGCAAAGAAAAAATGATTAATAAATAAAAAAAAAAAACTAAACAAAGTACGTATTTTGACACCTTAAATAATTGTAAACGGAACTGTGTGCGCTGCCAATTTTGTTTGAAATGGAAGAAAATTGATTAATGAAAAATCAAGTTTTGGCAGCCGATGAACACTGAGATATCCCCCAACTTGCTTGTTTCAGATACATTTGTATTGATTGCAATTGTGCATAATTTAAGGAATAAAACATTTCTGTACATAATTTGCCTTTCATTATCTTCCTGATAACTTTTCTCCAAGATTAAAAGAAAAATCTACAGCCCAATAAAATCCACCAAGTCATTTCAAACAGTTTATTATTCCACATTGACAGATTCATTTGAAAATATTTAAATAAATTGCATTAATTACATCACCTGGCATGAGATGTCGCTGGCACCGACTTCTTATCCTCTCTGTCAGCATATGTCAATCAGGTGGGGAAAGAGTGGAGGGTGACGAGGGTGACGAATTCAGCGTTTCAAGTGTTCTGTCACTGGTGTGAAAGTCTTCGACTCCGAAAAATCATAAAACCCAACTCCCCCCGCTAATCACCCCTCCACCTCCAGTGATAAAAATCCATAAAAAATAAAAACCAAGTGACAAGGGAAAATAAAAAAAAATCCAGGATTACCTCCGGTTTCACTCAATGCAACAAGTGAAAGGCGATGTTTTCCCATCTACTCATGGAAATACGAGTTTATCGGATTTGAGGTGAGTCATATACACCCGCAATTACATACCCCAAGTGCGCGGAGATAACGAATTTATATGCCTACATTATCGTAAAATAGCTGTTGTCCTTGATGCACTTAACGACTAGCTGTTTCCAAAATGGAGTGATTACTCCAACGTATCTGCTCCATACCTCGAACAATCGAGAGTTCGAGGTTAATGGGTTATTAACCCACGGATACAGAGACGTATTATCGAAGCCATCGATCAATCGAGTCGTGCTTTAAAAATAAATAACTTATAATTATCCTCAAGTATTTGTACTCTTGATGGATTTAACCAAATGGAGGCGCCAGAGTCGTTTTCATTTGTCCCTTCTCCTCGGTATTTTCGTGGATTGGCTGACGATGGGCTCTCGTCGTACCATCAGCCAGTCCACAATCACGTATCAAGAGCATCAGCTGTTTTTTCCCCCCCGAGTACTTGTCAATGCAAAACCATTGCGAATCAATCGAAAGTCACTTGCACACTCGTCGACGAAGTGAATGTGGGAGTTCTTGTGAAATTGAAAATTTTCACTTTACCTGAAAATTTCGCAACCGCCAATTAATCATCACCAGTCCAATTCCAACGTGCGGTCTCGTGGTTACTCTCGTGTTCGACACAGCCAACTTATAATTCATTAGTCAATAATTACCACGTTCTCCACCCCTGGGTTATACCACCAGGTATTTGGAGTCGAGGCCAAGCCGAGGATTGAACCACTGAGTGTCGTTGTAACGACGATGTAATAAATACCGAAAATGATGAAAGAAGGTGAATCCATCAGTGGTTGCACTACCGCTCCTAGAGCGAGAAGGTACTTCCCGAGGTTTTCCCTCAGAAGGTTATTGTATTCGAGTCCCTTCCTGGGGCAAAGGATCGCCAGGGCGACAAGCTCCAGTAACAGGAGCAACAAAGGTACGTTTCAGCAGAGACGATGATGTTTATACTCCCCTGAAGGATGTGGAGATAATTGTGGTTGTTACAGGTAAAGATGGGGGCAGTGGGAAAGCTGTGGATGTTGAAAAAGGTGAGGCCAGGACGACGAGTGGCTCTGGCCACGTGCCATACACCTCGGACCTCCACAGGGCCACCAGCAAGGGCTCCGTCCTCTCCACAGCAGGAAAGGTGCGTGTCAATTTGTCATCTGATAACTCCCCAGGTCCCTCAAAATTTGAGGGGAATTAATCCGACGAATAATTTATTATGAATAAATAAAATTCTTCCCATGACCATTTTCGTTATCATATAGTACTCAATGAATATCTCGTAATTGACAACCGATATCCAATTTTTCGTCATGAAATTTATTGCAGGCTTTATTACAAGCTATGAAAAAGATGATTACGAAAATTACGCTATCTCCCTCAGATCTGCAAATATTCCTTGAAAACTCGGGTACAATTTACGCAAAACTTTAATCATTCCTTAATTGCTTCCTCGTGAATGCCTCGGATTTAATTGACATGTCGTAATTTCACCGAGCTAATCTTCCGGTTGTTCCTGAACAATTGATGGGAAAGTCATTGTCTCATCCCACAGAGTTGCGAGAATGGGTTAGTGGAGTGTCCCCTGTGCCTGGCAGAATTGCCAATCGAGCTGTTCCCAATAATCCAGTCGTGTCACCATCGCAGCTGTTACGACTGCTTCCAGCAGTACCTCAGGGTTGAGATATCCGAGTCACGTGTCAACATAGCGTGTCCAGAGTGTGCTGAGCCACTTCATCCAAATGGTAAGGAGCTCCATGAATGCTAATCAAGTAATGATATGCAGTGACTATCGTTTTTTTTTCCTTAATACAACGTCACGTGTACGTTTTTTTTAAACAGACATCAGAATGATATTGAATGATCAAGTCCAATTGGAAAAATACGAGGACTTTATGGTGAGGAGGGTGTTGGCTGTGGAGCCTGATGCCAGGTGGTGTCCCGCTCCTGATTGCTGTTTTGCTGTTATTGCCAGTGGGTGCGCATCTTGTCCAAAATTGAGGTGTGAGAGGCCTGGATGTGACTCGTACTTCTGTTATCACTGCAAAGCACGGTGGCATCCCAATCAGACGTGCGATGCTGCCAGGGCACAGAGGTCTCAGCACTACGATCGTACCTCCTCACTCAGCTTCAGTCAGAGTGATTCACAGCACAGTGAGTCTATTTTTAGTTATTAATGACGAAGAGACTCGTTGTTCCACCTGGAAACATTTGTCGGTCTCTTGGAATTCTTTACACAATCACTCATTTATTTGTCTTATCGTCGCGACGTTATCTCATGACTAATGTGATGAACCAGGGGATGATATCAAACCATGTCCGAGGTGTCAAGTGCTTATCGTTAAGATGGACGATGGTAGCTGTAATCACATGACTTGCGCTGTTTGTGGCGCTGAATTTTGTTGGCTCTGCATGAAGGAAATCAGTGATCTTCATTATCTCAGGTGAAATGTCATGATTATCAGTTATTTTCCTGCCCATTATTATCTTCAAAATTATTCCGATTATCTCATTCCATCTAATTTAATGATGAATTTGTTATTTTATTTTTTTGTTACTAGTCCTTCTGGCTGCACATTCTGGGGCAAAAAGCCATGGTCACGAAAGAAAAAAATTCTATGGCAACTTGGCACTCTCGTTGGTGCACCAGTTGGCATTGGCCTTGTAGCTGGAATCGCTGTTCCTGCAATGATAATAGGTGAATGGAGAAAACTTGAATTATTGTTTACCAAAAAAATTGAATTTATCTCATAAACTGTCGATTTTATCAGGAAAAACTGAAAATTGTTCTCTGATATCTCTATCTCAAATTAATCATTTCTGAGATAAATCGACTATTAAAATACCAAATCTAATATCACTTACCACTAAATTCCAAAAAATTTAAATTTTTTATCGTAGGTATTCCTGTCTGGGTTGGTCGAAAGTTGTACACAAGATACGAGCAAGGTAATAAGCATAAGAGAAACGCTTTCATCGCAGGCGGTGTAACAGCATCGGTAAGTCGATATTTTATTTATTAACCATCCAGAAATTATCATAACACAAGCACGAAATAATGACATTAAGATCGGGTGGAACAAAGATTTATTTTGCACCTGGGGGTATCTGACATTAAAAGACATTTCTCCAAATAAAATCCACATTTCTCAATCCACTGATCTTCAGGGATTAATTGGAAATTCGTCATGATCATCGAAAAAAAAAAATACTCATTCATATATTAATAGCTCAATCAGTATACAGCCTCGATAATATTTCGACGTTAAAAAACTCGAGACATGTACAAAGTTGACCACAAAACGCCAGTGACGAAACATACAAAATCTTAAACACTATTACTTTCAAAGAAAATATCGAGAGAACGCTCATCTCCGTAAATAATTAAAAACAGTCCCCTTATTATTTATTCTCGATTCAACAGCTACGTGAATTAAATTACAATTTCGATTTCTCCCATTTATCCTTAAACTTTCATTCAGCTGAGCATATGCAAATACATTTCACTACTCGTTTTCTCTTAAAATCTCGGAAAGCTGCCCCAAAGCCACTAGAGCCTCAGTATCGAGGAATTTGCTCTCCCCCACAAAACCCGGCTCACTACCCCTCCGACATACCTCACGTCTGAAAAGTGAAAAATAAAAAAAACGATAAACATTAAAAATCCACTACTATCCTTAAAAACCCAATAAAATAAAAACACAACTCGAACCGTGAAAACTTATAGTGGATAAACATCACATATATTCACTTTCAATTACAATGTTTGAAAAATGTTCGACAAGACTCATTACTCAATACCCGGCAAATTTCCTCATTAAATCTACTTGGCTGCCTCGATGCTGTCGACATTGAGCACCCCATCCCTGTGAAAATCCTCGAGAACATCAATGAGCCTCTGCTCAGTGAGTGGATCCCCAAAGGCAACATCGACAGACCCAATACACAATAAAAGTGCTAAAAGCTGAGATCTCCGATAGTCCCTGTCAAGATCATCCCTGGTATATCCCAATTCCTCCGATATATCGAGCCCAAGGGAGCGACAAGTTGTGGTCAGTGTTTCCCAGTACTTGTCGAGTAGTCCAGGTGTATTTATCCGTCTCAATTCAGTGGGCACTGAGCTCACAAGTAGAAGTGCAATATCATTAGTGGGTCGACTGTAAGTCACCATCTGCCAATCGAGAATAGCGCATTTGCAATTTCCCTCGTCATCGTTTTTGAACAGAAGATTGTTGCACCAGAAATCAGTGTGAGTGATGAGAGCGAGGGGATCCTCAGGTGCAAGTAGAGATGATATTATCTCTTTGGTTTTGGGTCTGAGTGCGAGGAGGGCCTCGAGGACAGCCTCGAGACCTGGTCGACGCTCCAGAAAGTGGGCCAGCTGTGGTAAACCTCTCTCAACAAGCATTTGATATGAGTCCGTTGCCCTCGCTGTCTGAAATAAAAATTGATAACGCTCTGACAGTGGTGTTGCCTCTCTGACCTTAAGCGTAAGTGATAGAGCGTGAAGACACGCGACTGCGCTCAATGCTGCTTCGGTTTGTCTTAATGTCAAGCCACGAGAGAATTGTGCACCCTCGAAGCCACGATTACGTAGGTTCTCTAGCACGAGAAATGACTCGGGTGGCTCTGGTGTATCCTCAGTACCACCAGCTGCTTTGTAATGAGCGTGAATGCATTTTGGAATTGGAAGCTCAATGCACTCTGTCTCGGACGCAATCTGTTTCTTTTGGAATGCCTCCAAATCTGCCACCACCTGGGACAAATTGTCCAACATCAACCGATTAAATCCCTCAACAAATAACTACTACAAGTCTACAACTACTCCACTCTCAAATCTCCAATACAATTAATCAAGAAAATTTTATAAATTCATAGTTTATTCTCCTCACCTGAGTGTAAAATTTGATCTCTCGTAAATCAAACTGCGCCTCAGTGACGAAGAAACGATTGAACGGATCTTGAGGAAGTAATTTGACAATGACATTCAGACGATTCTTCTCGTCGCTGACGGTGTAGTCAATGGTGACAGCTAGAATATCACTGAGTACAGATTCGCCAGCAGTGCACCCTGGATTCACCTCAAAATCATCGACGTGGATGACAGATCCCTCACCATGATGAATCATGAGAATATTCTCGAGCCATTCCTTGGTGACAGGCGTTGCCGGCCACTCGGTTGCCCCTGATGCATCTGTATCCTCACTGTCTGACATCTTCAAAGTTAATCTTATCACCGTTATTCCCTTCAATGCACCGTACAAACCAATGAAACCCTCAATTTCATACACCTCTCAAACTTTGATTACGCTTCAAGCCCGACATGACTCCACTGGGCGCGACCAATATCCTTTTCACTTTTTTTTTTCTCCCCTTTATTATCCTCTTTATTTTATTATTCGTGGCCCCCCTACTCTGTCTTTCCTCTCGGTTGTTACATTCACTTCCGCCAGGCCCATCCACTAGCTCGTCACACCTTGTTCGTTTGAGCCATTATTCCAGTTGCTGAACGCTCGAATCACTCACCCAGAAGTTTAAATTTTTCGATATCACTTCACCACCCCTTCTGTGAATCCTCCTGGTGATTTTCACCCCTGCCCTCCCCCCTCCCCCCCCGGAGTCACGAAAATTCCAAGGGCTATCAGCCCCACAAACTCAGTCGCCCAACAATTCCGTCTCCTGAGTAACCAACACTCTGAGAATTTACGGGTGCCCCGATAAATGTAGAGATGTAGTTATTATGTGTCTATATCGTATGGAACTGAGTTTGCGCGAAACTCCTCCCTTCAATCAATATCTCGGTGCCCTCTCCCCGTTTTACCACTACCTTATCCTCATTATCGTGTACCTCAGGGCCCTACTGAGAGCCCCCGTTCTGGTGGGGAATTGGAAATGGAATTATTGATGACTTCATTGACAGCTGACGATTCAGTGACATTTCACTGATATATCGCGGATATAGCAAAGATATAGAACAGATATATCACTGATATTTTGGGATGACCGGTTGATTTTAATACGGGGTAATTTTCCTGTCTCTGATGTTTTGATGAAAAATTCAGAGAGGGATGGAGACGTATCATGGAGAATTATTCAGGTTCTAGTGTCACCGGTGCTGGCTGGTCTCGCAGTTGGAATTGGGGTACCAATTCTTCTTTTCTACGTATATGGAGTGGTACCTGTGTCCCTCTGCAGGAGTGGCGGCTGTGGGGTGTCCACCAATGGCTCAGGAGTCAGATTTGAGTTTGATGATGAGAATGAACTGATGGGGGCACTCTCTGGGAGGAACGTTGGAGGTAAAAAAAAAAGTCACGACTAAAATAACGATGTCTCGATCAGTTTCGGTGATATTCGTATCGAAAACTCGAGTGTTAAAACTTGATGATATTGTAGAAGCTCAGTAAAAAATTGAGGTAGTGCTCATAACCGTTGAAAATCAATGAGCCGTTGTTGCATGGTACATTGCCAATAGAAGGACTTTTTATTTCCATCCAGATGCAGCATCGATAGACGTTGCGAGTCACCGAGGTGGAAATCCATCGATTGGTGAGGCCTCCCTATCTCTGGGGAGTGGCAGTCAATTGGAAAAATTGGGACGGGAGAATGATCGGGAGAGTGCAAGCAATGTTGCTCTAGCTGGTGCAAGTTTAGCTGGTAGCATAGCATCGAGTGTATTGCCTGGTGGTCAAAGACTGGAGGTCCAGGCAGATGTCACCTCCACCCAGAGATTCAGTTTGTGCAGTGAGACAGCATCAGCAGCGACGAGTCTCTCTGAAAAATCGGTTAATGCATCGATAGCACCTGATGACGGTGGTGCATCCACAAGGGCACTGGCTGGTTCAGTGCTCAATTTCAAGGTTGACAGTTGCTCCATAAGTGGAGGGAGAAGTGTCGATAATGAATCCGCAATCAATCAGACGACACCTGTTGATTCGACAGGGCAAGGGGCATCTCTCAGCTCCTTGGAGGAGATACCTGGTCTTGCCAAGAGGTCCAGGAGAAAACCCACACTCGATAGACAACACAGTGACTCCAGTAGCTGGACGGCTTGTGGAGAGGATGGAAACTCTGAACGCGTGAGATTCGATGATCATGTCAGCTTCATCGAGGCACACCAGGAACCCGGGAGCTGCACCAGGGTACAGGGAAGGAGGAAGAGGAATAAGGAAGGGGATGCAGAAGGTGATGTTCAAAGGACTAGGTATTTTTTATCTCTTGGAATGATTCAGTGGAGTGGTTTCATTGAATTCCGAAATTTCCATTGCACTTACCTCATCTTTTTTTGATAAAAAAAATTTTTTTAATGGTATTATGATGAGTTATAATAATAATAACAATAATTCAGTTGGTGGATGCAATTTCACCACCTCACTGCCGACACTCAAAGTCTCGGCCCCGGAAAATTAATTAAACGGATTTATTCTGTATTCCAGATGTAGCAACGATGAAGATAACTCAACAGAAGATAATAATTCCCGTGCAAGGGTAAACGTGGCAGCATTGAGAATTGTATTTTTTCATAATTCATCATCAGGTGAGAAAAGGCTGCCAGTAATTGAGGAGCCGGGCTCCTCCACCAGCCAATCATCAGCCGTAGTTTGTATTTCAACACCAATGAATAACAACGAGACGAATGAACCTGACACCAGGGAGGACGATAAATTACACTGCTGAATTAAAATACCATTAAAATAAATAACTGAAGACTGACAAACGCGCATGTAAACGTAATTATACAATTATAATTATATTATACACATATGAATTTATTGTCAAACGGTCATACTCGAGGGAGAGAAGAGGGGGATAGGAGATGGATTTGTATTAAAGTTTTAGAATAGAGAAACACGTCGCTGAGGCAAATTATTTGACTCGTTCTGCAACGATTTTGTCAATGAATTGATTTCAATATCTCAGTCGCTGATGAGTGGATGAAATCCAAATTAATTTATCTATTTCAATTCAAAGCGTTTACCACGTATTTAATATTCATTTCCAGCACGAGAGACGATTAAGAATGTTGCACACCCTTACCGCGAAAATTCACGTGAAAAAATAAATCGTTCTTCGCTTTTTCATTATTTAATGACTAAAAGATGAACGGACTGTCACGAGACTTCGTGAGCCAGTAATTTTGGCTAAAGGAGTGTGGGATATTCTTAAACCGATGAAAGTGCGGGATTACGATAGGATAAAGGTGTTATCTTACTGTGAAATAATAGCGCTTTATTGCAGTGTACATTGAATGCGAGGGTACACCGTTAATTAATGAAATGAAAATAGCTGAATGCATTGTGTATAAACATGCTTTACATGGTATATACGGAAATTCATCCGTTCGACGTTAATGAATCCGTGTCTAATAACGAATCGTTTGATGGGTGGAGGTGTTTTTAAGTGTTTCGAGTGGACTGGATGATTTATTAAATTAACTGCGTTCATCAACGAATTGAGAGAACGTGGAGGAGTGCCTGTCTTTCTGTCCAAGAGCAACATTTTGTAATCCTTCCTCGATAGCTTCCAAGCTGGAGTGAATGTGGAATGATAATTTTATCATCGATGGAGGTGGAAGTAAACAGTAATTTCGTTTTTCTTTGTAACTCGGTGAGAAGGGGATAAAACAGTACTGATCTTGCTCAATGCCGATTGAGGAACAGGGTGAAGAGATATAGACGAATTAACGAGGAAAAACTTATTTAAGGAGATCCGAGTGGCATCTAAAGTTAGGGGTGGACTAGAAAATGTAAGATTTCTTTCATTGTTATTTTTTTTTTTTACGAGGTGCTCTCAATTGCGCATCACACATTTCTTTATCGGTAGGATAGAAAAATGAACTGATTTTTATTATCCTATTAACAAGGACTTTCTAGCAACAGTCACTGTATTTTTTTTTTAATCAACGGAAATGAATGTTTATCTTTTATTTGCACTAGGTGTGAATTTAATGGAACATTCAGAGCATTTTAAAATGTCAATTTTGCGATGGATCTCCTTAAAATTAATAATGTGAACTCTGTATTTGTTCGAGTTTCACTCACGATGCCAAAAGATTTTAAATCCCACATTTTTGATACCAGAATTTTTTGTTTAATCATTGATCCCACTGTGGAGTTAGTTTTTTTCGAATTTTAGTTCACTCTGCTCTTGCGTAAAACTGCCATGCACATTTTGAATTACCTTTCGGGCATATTGTAATATAGTGAGATGTGAACGTGAGACTATTCCATTCTGGGATGAATTATTTTCTGTGACACTTGCACTGAGGAGTGCGGGGGGTCACTTCTGGCAATTAAAATTCGTCTCGTGATGTTATTGAGCCTAAACGTTAACTTGTGGTCGTCGTTGAGAGCTCTGGTATAAAACATGATTTAAGATGGAAATAGATAAGCGATGTGGATTACGTCACTTTTTTCTGTTGAGAGTGAATTTATTCACACGAATTAAATATGGAATTTGTATTGCAGTATAAAATATGGGATATAAATAAAGTCGAGATATTTAAGTGAAATTTGTCATCTTTTGTATCACCATTGGCCCAGGGGGATCATCTTTCAGGGCAGAAGAATTTTTAAACTTTTGCTAAAATTCACAAAACTTTACTAAACATTTAAAAAATAAATGGACGAATATAGAAATGCATGAGTTATTAAATTACACCTAAAAATTATAGATAGATATAATCTTTTGATTCTGAATAATCTCAAAACTCAGTTTTCATCATTTAAATATATTACAAACATAAAGATATTTACAGTGACCTACACAAATATATCGGTGATTTTTTCATGAGTTCATCGACCTTGAGTTTGAATAATTCGCTCTGAATGGGTTCATTCATTTGAGCGAGGGGATTTTTAACGACGTATTGCAGATAAACCTGGAAGAAAGTAGAAATAAATGGAATCACCGAAACCGGCGCAGCATTAATCATAGGTTATCATTTATTTACCTGGGAATACAGCTGCTGGAGAAGTTCCCTGACATTCTGGGCTCCATTGTCAGTATTCAACACGAACTTGAGGCCTGATGGAGTCTCCAGATAGTGCAAGGTGTATTTACTCGTTTTATAATACTGGAATCCCTCCTTCGAGTCCAGAGGAGAGATTTTATTGACAAATGACTTTATCGAGAACAGCATTCCATACATCAATTTAGCTTCCTGGAGGATTTTTCATGAGTTATTGTTATCGTCGGATGGATATCAGTAAGGAATACTAAACCTCCTCTTTGGTGATGCCCGATTTATTCAGTCTATTCCATTCTCCGTAATATAATAATGTACCTCTCCTCGAGAATATGTACAAATTGTGAATTGTCATTTTTTTAAACTTGTAATTGTCAAACACCTAGTGTACTCGTAACTGTCAAATTTTTTTAGGTTAGTTTGTCATCAGCTGTTGTGATTGGCTGCGAGATAATGACTACAAAAAATAACTGCAGCCTCCAGAAATCATGACTACTGTGATTGTTTCGAAAGAGGGAAGTGCGGAGATTTAGATATCAATTTTATTCAACAGTAGATAAAATCCTTATCCCCTGCGGGAAAAAAAATATTGCGTTTTATTTGAATCTTCAGAAAAAAATTATTTACTGCCTCGATAACACTCAGTATTAATACCTCTCCACAATATTTACAACTGCGTAGAACAAGTGATAAAAAAATCTTTAATCATCGCATACCTCGTGCCCACCAAAAAAAAAAAATACACAGAATTATAAATCTCAATTTCTTTATTAATTCAAATATTCACTTGATCTTAAAAATACAATATCAATATTATTTTTCGATACAAAATTGAAATTAACGTAATTAACAGCTAACCGTTATTTATAATAAAAAAAATAGCATTTGCTCAATCAAAAATGTTTCTGCGTCATGGAATTTTTTAATAAAATCCTCACTAGCCCGAATCTAAATCGAAAACAAATTGAAGTCATTCAATCACATTCGTTTAGCTACATGGAATATGAGACCTTTAAACTAGAGGATAGCTGGCCGAGCTGGCAACACCACACTGATTCCCCTTGTTGCGAGACATCTTGATGTATCCGTCAAGTCCCCACGAGGGTCCCCAGCTGTTCTTCACGAGCCAGTAATCACGTCCCTCCTCGTCTGTTCCATATCCAACAATGAGTACCCCATGATCCAACTCCTCGCTTGAGCATTCAACTTCGTCGTAAACACCTTCAGAATAAAATTGGAAGGACTGGTGTGATGCATCAATGGCAATGGATACAGGCCCCACAGTAGCAACGGCTGCTTTCAACTTGCGTTCATCACCCTGAGGAATATCCACAAATCCAACATCATCAGCGCCGATATTTCGTGGATTGAACTTGCATTTCTCGTCTTGTCCGTCGTATGGATATGATTTCTCGGTGTCGAGGCCACGATTTGCCTTGATGTACTGGAATGCCTGATCCATGAGACCTCCTTCGCAGCCATTGTTACCGTATTTTCCAGAGCAGTCCACCAGGTTCTGTTCGCTGAGGGAAACGAGAACACCTGTTTTTCTGAAATGCTGACCCTCCAAACTGCCAGTCTGAAAAAAAAAATTGAATAAAACAATTACCGGGAATTGACGCAGTTGGAGGTCATGATTCAATGAGGAAGTAAAGAATATTTGAAAAATCTAGTTGAATTAAATCGGGTTTATGTGAACTGTTTGGCAAATTATCGTTTCTGCGTAGTCGATTATCTTTTCTGGGGACATTGACCTCTCATTTTGGAAAATAAAATAAACACGTACTGCTGAGAATGCCCAGCATGATCCACAATGGCCTTGATCTTTCACAGGGGTAACGGCACCTTTCTCTCTCCAATCAACAGTGTTAGGCAATTCGACGTGAACTGGCTCGATGTACGTCGCACCAGTGGACTTCCTAATTGCCTTCAGTCCACCTTTCTTAGTCTTATTGAATCCATTTAAGGTGCCGATAAACTCGTGGTGAAGCTGAAATCCCAATACAATCGCTATAACAATTTCAATGAATAACTAATGATAATTCTTTCAATTCTATCAATTAAATAAACACTGGATCATTGACAAATAATTCAGGGATATTTTTAATTATTCTGGAGATCTTTTTAAATAATGCTTTATCATTTTGGTATTGGAAGTGAAAAACAAATGGGAAATAACTCACCATATCTGCATACTTATTGAGGTTGAGTTTGTAAGAGACAAGCCCGAGCTCGTACTTGGTATTGTGCTGAGCTATTTTATATTTATTCTCCATGAAAATCTTCATCCTAAAATTCTCCACAATATCGTTTTCATAATTCTTCTTGTGCTGGAGCTAAACAAAAAATCAATACATTGAAAAAGAACCCACGTCAATTAAAATCGCCTTTGTTACCTTGAAGGTCTGGAATTCCTCGTGAACAAGATCAAAGAAAGAGACAGCCTGAGCAGTGGCCATCAGAGCCACCACCACAATGAAACTGTTCATTGTGTTTATTATTCCCTGAAACCAGCAGAAACTAGTTGCAATTACTCGGAATAATGATGCATAGCGAGGATGACGAAATACCCGAAGAAAAAAAAATCACCTCTGCCAAATAAATTGCCTCAACTATTTATTTGGACTTGAAATGTGTTTCCGTGTAGTCAGTAAATTTACATGGCAAAAGTAATATTTTATCTCAGCGATGACAATTCTACATTTCAAAGGTTTCAGCAATGAGTCATGCCCTGACTTTTTGTTGGGCGTAATAATTGTCGCCAGCACATGTCGATTTCTCGATAGAAAAATCATAACTAGACTTTCGATTCTCTTGGATGATGAAATGCGTAATTTATTAGGAATCTTGTAGAAGTTACGGAATAATGACCCAACAACTGTCGCCCACAAACACAAAAACTGTTACCATAAAAAATATATGTTCCCTCGACATCACACACGAACTCAATTAAAATAAATAAAAAATTAATTACCGATATACCTGTACGTCTGCGCCTCCAGATTAAATACAAAAATCAAAATTAACGCTCAAATTAAATTCCCAAAATATCGCGAACAAACGATGCGATTTTCACCATTGAAATTTTATTTCAAAAATAAAATAAATGCCTTCAAATCGAATAAAAAAATATTAAATTTCACTCTGCCAATATCGAGGTATCAAAATTGATAACTTCCTTTCTCTCCTGGCTACTAAACGTATGAACTGCGCACAAAGGACAACAAAGGAGCGTCGCTTCCATGAAATCCATTTTCTCCAGATTTTCAATAACGAAAATTATTATCCCCCAGGTATTCAGTGTAATTATAATGAATGATGGATTGCATTGATTAGTATTAAAATGCACTTGTACTCACCTCAAAATGACGAAAACAAAAGAAAAGCAGGATAACCGATGCGTTCGATGCAACAGCTGACGCTTTTATGAATGAGATCAAGTGGGGGACGCCTAAATACTACCCCCAGAGCCTTCGAGACATCGACGTCAACTCGATCCCCAGTGAACTTTTTTTATTTCTCCAATGAAACCCGAACGCTTCCTGAAAGTCACATGATCCACACGTACAATTTAATAATAACGTACCCCTAATGGTCATCCACCGTCTACATGATGTCGAGAAAAATTTTAAATCATTACAGAAGGTAAAACATATCATTTAACCCATAAATTACGTGTAGGGAAGACAATATTATGTACTATTTTACTATACGACTCGATTTATTGGGTTTTTTTACATCTTATGCATTACATTTATTATTAGGCATTATTTTGTACTACAATTGTTTTTTAGTGCATGATTTGTCTCGTTTATAATCTACGCTTTAAATCCACGTTATTATGATAATTATCATCGATGAACTCTGGATGAGAAAAATGACTCTTATCGTCACGTGTGTGTTTACACAAACCCTATCATTTATTGGAACCGTTACTCAGAGTCACATGTTTATATAATGGATTTTGTGACTGGCATTATCAAAATATTATCGGAGTCAACCCACATTTGATATGCGATGACGGGTGGTTGAAAAAGTTTCGTTATCGTTTTGGGTTTCGAGTTTAACTCGGGTATCGAAAAATGTGTCTCATTGCGATTAAATCGTATAACGAAATTCCATAGAAAAATATTAATTATGTGGATTAAAACAAAGAATGGCGAGAGGAATTGCTCATTGAGATAAACGCCTCGAATTCTAAGAAAAGAGAATTCCTCGGATTTCCCCAAGAGTCTCTTCACAGCTAATCTATTGAGAAAAAATAGCCACCAGTTAAGTACTTCAACGAAATCAATTGTGGAGAATATTGAATTGTCATACATTTCAAATGTGCAGCTTCCAGGAGTGTCATGATGCCTCTCTTACCGATATCACTCGATAAATCCATGTCCGCGCCATTTTCAAACTCCCGGTGAAAAATCCTCAACAATAAAAGAACAATCACCACAATTACGCCAACAATTTATTACGAACAACTTGGAATCCCTCAAAAAATGAGACTTCATATCTAACAATTTCTTAACAATAATATTTGAGCAGCAATATTTTATAATACTTAAATTTTCCAATAGACAAATTAAATAATCGAGTGTCAAACAGTTTTAAAACTAAGCCACTCATTACGCACTAAAAGAACAACGATGATTAGGTCATGATTAATCTGACATTTTATCAAATAGACGCTGTTGTCCCAATCAGTCTTAAGCTCTGATCTTTCCATTAACAACAATCCAGGAACAACGAGTGGAGACTAGTTCCTGACTCGATCAATGTCAGAAAGACGTAAGTACCGGTCCGGTAGGAGACGATTTATTCCACGCAATTACCCGAAGAGATCTGTTTTGGACGTTATCTTTTTTATCGCTGGGAGAATGTGGATGGCCGTGTACTGGCCCATCCCCAGGGGCATCCTGAGGTCCACACTGTCTCTCCTCTCCTCGGCGTACTCCTCCGTCTGCTGGTTCAACAACCGCAGGGTTCCCACCAGTGATAAAACGAATGTCGTGATACCAACGATCGCTAGGATGTAGACTACAGATGTCTGAACAACCGGAGCTATCACCAGCAGCAGGCGCATCAGAGAAATTAATTCGTTTCCATCCTTTGAAATTTCCTAAAAAAATAATTGATATTCATATTGAATTGCAATTAAGGAATGAATTTAAGTCATTTATTGACTCATGTGAATGCAGATTTCAGAAGTCAATTGAAAGATTATTTTTGGATGAGTCAAGAGTCAACAGTTGGTGAACAGTTTGGAGACAGCCTTGAATTTTCGATCTACATAGTTAACATTGATCCGTCAGGTCGAGTGAAAGTGGCACAATTATTGTCGATTGGTAGAAATGAGTGGAAAAGATTCCATCATACCAGGTCTGACCAAAAAAGAGGAACGACGAGACCATTAAACGCTTTGATTCTTGGATTGTACACTGTGTGTTGCATCACCAGATTCGTCTGGATCCTGGAGTTGACGTTGAGTGGTGCCCCCACATCCTAAAAACGTACTCATTAAATATCCAGACCCAATGCAATTATTATTCCCGTATAAATACTGCAATAAATACTGTAGAAATTGAGAGATTATTTCTCACCGGTTGGATAAATATTCTAGTGCGATGTTTCTCAGGATCTGGATTGAGCCCTTCCACACCCTCAATAAGACTCGGATCGGCGTCCAAAAAGTGAGGCAAAGAGACAGCCGCTGGGATATCTATGAATAAATAAAATGCAATTATTTATCATGCGGTAATTTCTAGGAATTGGGTAATTGATTAAAATTCTCACTGTAATAACACGGAGTCAGATCGGAAAGCCCTCGCTTAAGACACGTCTCCATTTTCCGGCAATAACACTCGTTATCTGCATTCATCTCTGGTGGATCGAGAAAGTCATCCGCAAATTTGTATTCAAAAACGCGCAGCCCCTGCTCGTAGCTCTCGCTCTTGAAGACAATCGGCAGAACCCGACAAAATGCCTTCCTGAAAACCCTGAACACCACGTCCCTGTCGATATCCGTAGGAAATAAAGTGCCCTCCGTTGCTCCCCGAATCTGATTGCAGATAGTATTGCTGCAATAGTTATTAAAAATTATTAATTTCGACAACCACCTCATATCCTGATGGTTTCCGAGGAATAACTCCGAAGATAATAGCGACAGCGAAATAATGAACGAAATCTTTTTTGCAGCTTTCAATTCGGTCTATAAAAAAGGTCTCAATGAAAATTTCGATAGAGCCCTTAGATCCGGAGTTTTTTTCACTTTAGTACAGATTTCTTCGATTAATAATCTCCAAGGACTTTTAATTACCGATAATTAACTAATAAACTTACCCAGGTATGGTTTCATTAGTTTCTGGCTCTGTATACCCCCAATGGGGGAGTCCAGGACTCCCATTGTACGTTTCAATGCTGAGATATCGTCCATTTTCTTCCAACATATTTTTACTTTTCTGGATGTTCATGTTGACAACATTCTCTCCCTCGTCGTACATCTACGAAAGAAATAATATACAAATGCATGGATCCACCGAAATGAATGACTTTTTTTATAAAGATCCTCAACAAGATCCATCAGCTGATTTGTTATATTTAATTCTATCATCTCTTAATTATCAATTCCACTTTGTTTTTCACCCGACGATTGCAAAACCGTTCCGGTAGATTGAGTGAAAGGATTCAGGGACCGACGAGTGTTGCAACTGTTGGGTCGACATTTATTTAGACCGGATAATTGGGATTTCCAGTCAGCTACCGGTTAATGAGAAAATGATCTCACTTACTCGATCAAGAAGCCCAAATTTACGAAAATTTATGAAATTCGGGACTATCCCAGCGGCCAGACGCACTAGGGGATCCTCGTAGCCCCACAGGTACTCGTAGACTGGCATTGTCAGGATTGGTTTGCTGTCCAGGAGGTTCGCCATTTGGGCGAGGGGATAATTCACCAGGAAACCCTGATCGTGCACTGCCGAGGAGACCCCCTGATAATTAATTCATCAAATAACGCCATTACTAATCCGTTATTGTTTGAGGAACGTGACAAGTGCTGCGGGGGAAATTAAATGGGTCAAACTCACCAGCATCGGGACGTTGGGGACGTTGACGATGTCGTCTACAGGATTACTCCTAGACTTCTCAGGAACGAAGTAGACTGTGCGTTTCGGTGTGTATGATATCGTGCCGTTATCGTGCCACACGACTTTAGTATTTTCTAAAACTTCCCTGAATAATTCAATAATAATAGTCAGGAATTATTAATCATGAGATAAATCCCGAGGAGATTCAAATTTCTGTCTTCAATTTCCAATTTCTTAGAAAAATGATGAGTCAGTGAAAAATCCGGAAATGAAATATATTTCTTTAGCAATACGCACTGATAAACGTAGGGCCCAATTTCCTCGACCTTGAGCTTCTCCTGGCCTGCGAGAAAAGCCTCCGGATTGGTAATATTGAAAATATAAACTTTGATGTAAACACCAATGGGTGGTTTCTTCCACGTGAGATAGACCGTCGACGTCGGGGTCATGGTCAATTTCTGGGTGAAAGATAAATGATTAATTTCACAAAATAAATTCCAGAATAAATCGAACAATTGTGCATTACTCACATACTCGAATATCAATCTAGTGGGATCAACGGCATAAAGTGCATAAGCAATAGCACTGCTAATTACACCAATCATGAATAAAATAATGCACTCTGAAACATCAATTTGATAAACGTAATCACAATAAAAATGCTAATGCCAAGTTCACGCTGGTGATGAAAAAAATCAGTGATAAATAATAAAATGAAGTTCGTTGCACTGTCAAGACGATAGCAATAACAATATTCCTTCACACTTCAATTACACAGCAACCACTTGTTCGAAATTATCGAATGAAAAATAATTGAACGAGCGATAAATAAGATCCATCAAACTCGAACTCCATTGATTCGCCAGAAATTTTTATGAATGAAATCCAATTTAAAATCACCTGCGTTCCACTTTCGTGGAGACCTTGACTCACATCTGATACACAATAAATTTCTGACACGCGATAATCTCTTGATCGGTGGAAAAATGTCTAGAAGATCGGAGGAATCTGATGAGATAACGAGAGAGTGTTGTCATCGGGTGATTACTCTGGGGAATTACTCAGGTGCAGGGAGATGATGGGATAAATTGTTTAATGAGAGGCCTTGATAATTAAGAGCTACAGATGACAGGTGAGAGTGAATTTTTCACTTGTAACATCACGAAAATGTCAAAGGTCCAATATTCCACGTGCGATCATTAAAATCTCCATTACTTTACATTTCATCTGCTCTCATTACCAGTATTGCAACGCCTAATTAATTAGATTCTTCGAACGCAACAAAAATAAATACCTCGACTAAAAAAACCAGAAAATTTTTTTTTTCACTCATTAGGGAAAAATCGGTAAAATCATTGAATTAATTTCCCCAGTATAAATCATGTTTTTGTCTTCTCACTTATTAACTCTATTTGCGTAGGCTTATTACGCATATAATTATCATTCTCTATTGATGCTTTTTCTCTCGTTTTTTTAGGGATCGGCGGAATTTTTTTGTTATTTATTCATAATTCGCGGCGCGCATCGCGACAGCATCGATTATCGCATTCATTGGATGACTGTTTAAAAAAATAGGCAATTCAAGAGATGAAATTTATGACTCAAATGTGACACTTGCCGTTCGTCTGGATTTAGCCTCTGGAGATAATAAATTGTTAACAATATATTATTTATTACTATAGGTACTCACTCTTGTACTGCTGGAGTTGCGCCGATGTCTTCATGATTTTATATCACTTCCTGCAGTTCAAAATGCTTCTGAAAATAAAGGAAGGATTGAGTATTTGAAGGACTAATGGAGCAGTAATTTATTCGGCTCTAAATCGAGCGAGGGATGAAGTCATGCTATCTCCCAGGTGCGAATTCCATTTAATCAGGAGTTCCAGGGAATTTCCCTCAATTTTCCATAGCACATGGGATGAAAATCATCCTCTGGGAAATAGAATTAAATCATCGGCACGTGTCACGGGAACTCGACCCTCGAAATTTATTGTTGGCGCGTGTTTACCTACAGTTGTTTGCGGTTTTATTCTGTTATTATTTACGGAATAATTTGATAAGTCAACATCTCAATTCCTATCGTATCCTATAATTAATTCATCCATCGTAATTTCGAAATCTCCGTCATTTAAAATTAATGAAAATAAAATTCTAAAGCGTTATCTCAATATTTAATTCTGACGAAATAAAAAAATCCGACAGAAATGGAGAATCGACAAGAGAAAATTGGTAAATGGATAGAAAAATTGGTAAATAAATTCTCCAAAAAGATCTTCGAGGAATTTCGCAAATTCCCTGAAACCTCCGATGGATAAAACATCCAAATAAAATAAATGAATTCCAACGTAATACCAGCGACGTAACGATTACGTTCGAATGAAATAAAATAAAAAAAAAAACCCCGAGTTATCTCACCTGAAAGACAGTGAATTTTTCGCAGGTAAAATAATCAGCGCACACCGGTTTATGGACGTAACGAAAATATCACTGGATTATCACTGCACTGAAATTCCCAAGTAGAAATATTTGAGTGAAAGCGATTTGAATTCCGTGGAGATGATAATAATTGCAGTGAAATAACTGAAATAACTGAAATAAAAATGATGAAAAATCGGTTGAAATCGGTAAACGATACGTGAAAATAGAGAAATAAATCGCTCAGTTGTGGTACATTTGAGAGAGAAGATCGATTTAACAGGCGACGGTACAGCAACCACTCGTTTTATAGCAATCCGTCTCGTAACCCCGTCGACCCTTTGGCAACTGGCTTCAATCGTTGAAGAAGAGAATAACCCAAGTCCTGGGGAAATCACCGTCATTTACCTGTTGCCATCGTACCATTGGCCGATTCCTCGTCAGTCCCCCAGATTAGCCTCGAGTCCGTCCCATTCATCGATTCGGCATCGATTATTCAATAATATAAACCCACGAGTGATGCAATAAATAATAAATCGGTTTGTTTACACCAAAATAAATTCACTAATGATTCGTTGAAAAAATTATCAATTCTAAGCCGTGAAAACGCAGTCGTTAATTATTCAGGGATGAAATTCAGGGTACAGAAATTTCATTTATCACAACCGAATATCTTTCGTAGATTTCTCGTCCTTGAGGTCCTCGCTCCCAACTGAAAATCGCGTGTAAAAATTCATAGAATAAGATATTAATCATCCAAAGTCCAAGATCACTGGCCACTGGGAATACCGTGGGCACAAACTATTTGATTGACAAACATTTCTGATATTGCGATTAGCATGAGGAAGATCACGTACTAGGAAATCTCGGAATAATTTGCATACCCCGATCGATCTTCAAGACCATCCAAATCCTTCCAAATGGTATTTCTATTTTACTTCTAACAATTCCATCATCGATTCGTGTATGAATCAGTCATATTAATCGATTGAATATTGTCAAAGTTTAATATATTCAGTTATATTGTTATTGTTGAATTGATGCAGTCATTTTAAATCGATCTCCAAGGCTGTTGGATGCACTGGATCTTGCGTATGGCATCACAAACTCGAGGATTACTTTTAAATTCCCCATGACAAGGGCCTCACTGTTACACAACCGATACTGGCACTGTACCGTACCCCAGACATCGATATTAGTAATAAATTTCGGTGGGACCAAACCCGTTTCCAAAGAGGACAAGTTACGTGGGTATTAGCACACCATCGCGCACTCGTACGTGTGTACAGGCAGGTGCAAACAGGTGGGGAGTATATTTTATAAAATATCTGGGTCCTAGTGATTCTGCAAGAAAAAAAAAAATAATATGTAAAATAAATGGGACTTGTCAAAAATGATAAATCCCCCAGATCACGCTGCACAAATTATGCTGGACGATCGTCATCTAGACAAGAGTCTACGTCAAATCTCCAGGGAGATGTCTCTAAGGCTTCGGGGGATGACCAGTGGACGTCAGAGATCAGAGAACAAGTCGTATATCACACGGGAATGAAGCAACAATAACCGAAAACATAATGTAATTGAACAACCTCGATTATGTATTCCGTGTAAACGGGTTTAACTATTTTTTTAAGACTTTGAACAATTTATTATACTATCACCTGATCGCGAGAACATTAGAAGGTACAAACACCGTTGATTAATTACTGTTTACTCCGTATGCTCATTTTTTATTGCGTTGCTCTGAGACAATTGTTATTCCCTGGAGAACAAAAACATGACTTGTCGATAAAAAATATTAATCCCTAATTAGCGTATTGCGTCAAGAACAGGAAGAGTCCTAATGTTTTTGCAGATTTGTCTGTCCTGACGACACGAGTCTCGAGTCGCAGATATGAATGGAGATATTTTGATTTTAGAAAGTTGGAATATGAGAATATTTCTGGTACACCGTTATAGAACGATAATTTTTCACTTCGAGATGTCATTCATCTCAAGCTTCTGGATCTCTACATTTTCCCTGTCGAAATGATGCAATGTATTCTCAGGTACTGATTAAATTAATTGATTAATGAAGTAATGACACGGGAGAAGCCATAAAAACGTAATGCACGAGGAAAATAACAACGGGAAGGAATAAATGAAGTGAACACTTTCATAATTTATAGATCGAAGTTGCCCTCGACCGTTGTATTGCCTCTAAACTCTTTTACAAATCACTCACCATATGTACAAATCTGTCAATTCAATATTTACAATTAATACCTAAATGACGAATGTGAGAATGCAAGTAATGGATTAAACTGAAAGACGTTATGAAGTCATTGAATATTCCTGGAGTTCTTGGAACCCTACGCGCAATACTCCGACGAATTCCTCTCCCAAACGAAGTCGACCTCTCGACTTTAGAATCTGAGAAGTGGTTTGTTTTTAATCATGTGTCTGCAAAAAAAAATCAATGATTAAAAACGGATTTAAAGTCGCCAATAATTAATTTTCAAAATCCAGAGAATTCCCCAGATTGTATGAATTAATTTCTCCCGATATCCAATTTACAACAGTCCTGTTTTTTTTTTTTTAATATAAAGCTGGACAAATCCAGTCAGTTTTTTTTTACATATTTTGCATTCAGATTAAACACGTACTTATCCAAATGCTCCCAAAACATCATCAAGGCCGCCCTATCCAGATGCCTTTTGGTTCGACTGAGTTCAATGACAGTGACAGCCCACCTGGCAACATTGGCGTCGAGTTTCATCTCATCATACTTGATATGAAACGCGCATATTTTGGAGAATATATCCACAGGATTGCCGTCATAGGGCCACCCCTTGAACTGCCACGCCGGTCCCATAACGAAAACAGCAACAACTCTCTCCCAATCACTACTACTCAATTTCTGTGGATTATCAATAACCCGATAAGGCACAGTGAGTCCACCCTCTTTTCTCCTCTGCAGTAATATTTCATTCTCCCTCTTGCAGCCAGCTGATCGTTTCTCATCGCTGGATACGAATTTGAGCTCCTGGAGGATGTCCTTGGAGTTGTACATGGTGATGAGAGAGGTATTTGCGCTTGGAATAATGATGATTGGTGTACGACTGGGTCTTTTATTCTGAGCTGCCTGCTGAGGTGTTAATTTTGCTGCTGATGTTGGGAGTAGACCGGAAGTGGGTATCGACGAGGTGTTGGAGGGTGGAATTTTTCGTACAGCTGGATTTGTTCCCTCGGTGACGGATTTGAGGGTCATACCGTGGTATGTTCCCATGGTGTCGATCTTGAAGCCCTCGGTCTCCTCCTTCTGCCGTATGAATCTCTCCTGGTCGTAACGATTGTAGACAGCTGGTTGGGGTAAAGGCCTCATTGGTGTTGCCCTCGGGGTTGCCAGGGGTGTCGGTGCTGACGGCCCCTTCTGGCGTCCCTCCTCCCTCGCTTTTATACTCTGGAGAATTGCAAATATATTCTTCGCGAAGATCTTTCCTGTACTCTGGAGGATGGTTGCGCGGGTTCTCCATTGTCGCTCCCTGGAGACGATGTCCTTGGTGTCATCGACATCCATGTCCAGGATCACTCGGAGGTCTGAGCCCATTCCTATGTCGTCGTTCTCTTTTATTGTCGTACGTTTTTTAGCTAGGCGTTTCGCTTTTATTGCTGCGATCTTCTCCACGGACATCGCCTCCGAGAGGGATTTTATGTTGTCGACGGTGACTGACGCCTCCTTCGGGGCGTCCAGTCGTGCTGCCAGTTGTTCTTTGACTTTTTGCACATGGGTCTCCTCGAAACGCGGCTTCTTCAGGAGACCACTGTCCAGGCCGTCCTCGGCACTTCGTTTCACCTGCGTCGGTATCTCCAGGGGTGCGGATTTGTCGATTGCCGCTGATGTTGCTGTCTCGCCATTGAGGTAGGCCAGCAAATCCTTTCGATCTGGACGACGCACCACTGGAATATTTTCTGCTGCTGCTTGTCGCACGTACACCGGGTGCGTGAGCTGGACATGCTTCAGGAGAAATAGCAGGCACTCCAGGGTGTAGTATTCCTTCGGCGTTCCCTCCTTGCCGGATCTGGAGAGGTCAACCGAAATTGAAATTTCTGGAAAACCCATCGCCAAATTCCACGTCTGACCTCAATTTCCCTTTTTCACTTGACAATTCCGAGGGACTCAAGAAATTGTCTGACTCCCGTTGAATTTTCTACTTATCAATTTTTTTCCTTCCCATTTGAATTTTCCGACATTTTAGTCAATAAAAAAATTCCAAAACCGGAATATTCTTCTTCCCGAAAAAGCTGTATTTATTTCTCCCCGTCGTCATGCAATTTAAACAAATATAAACAATAGTAGAAATAAACTCACCCGTAAGTCAAGTAATTGGTTTTGACATTTTTCGGCCAGGAGAATTCACCGAAAATAATTTGATTCTCCCGTTCGATAATTTCCTTTTTATTAACATTGTATTGCCGCAGTAAGCTCAACGGGTCCGCCATATTTGCACAAATATCAAACACAAACTGGAGTGAACCTGAGGAAAGGGGTGGAGTGGATGAAGAGAGAGATGTGCCATAAAAGTGTGGGTTGTTGTCCTTGTTCCATTCTCCACGATTGGTGGATTCTGGATTCCACCCTTGGCCCCCGTCCAGGAATCAATGGATAATCAGCTTTCCCTCCTGAAATCCCAACGATAAAAAACATGATCCTCATTTATTTATTGCAATAACTCCTGATCCCTACGCATTAAATATCCACGCTTACCTCAGGTCAATACCCCTTTTTTCTGCAAATATTTCCCCTTGAACTCTCCCTCGCCCAAAAAAAAAGCCACTCCATTCCGATTGTTAAAACCCTCAACTAATGGAACAGAATAATTAATCTGGGTTGAGAAAAAATAATTAATGCTGTGGAATCGATCGGGATTGCCTGCGTGCGGTCTGAGTTTAGACGTAATTCGAAAAAATTGTGTTTTTCATCTGTCACTCAGGAATTTCATCACTGGCGACATCCCTGTGGTCTCAGGTTGAGTGACCCCAGCTGCATCGTAGTACTGCATCCCAAGAGAGGGAGGGCGCAACACGCAATGCAGGGGTGTTCATCAATCATTATAAATGGTTAATCAATAAAAATATCGTTTAAAAACTCAATTTTTGAAAATCGAGAAGATATCCAGTGAAATTGACAAATTTGAAATTTTTTTTAAAAATACCTTTTCAAAATATATACCCCTAATGAAATTAAAATATTGTAATAATGCGTTATCCTAGTGGTAACGTGCTTGCCTACCACGCCGACGGCCCGGGTTCGATCCCGCCGTCATTAATTTTTTTTTTTATAAATAATTTCAATTGTATCTTTTTTTAATTGGCGAATCAATCTAAATATCGTTTAAACACTGAATTTTTGAAAAGCGGAAAGATATCCAGTGAAATTGAAAATTTCGACATTTTTAAAAACGAAACATTT